GACGATGCCGACATAAACCCAGCAGAGAGGGCCGTCAGCTTCATTTTCCTATACACCGTCATACTGCTGATCCTGTTCGTGCTCATCAACTTCTTTATGGGCATCATCGGTGACGTGATGACAGCAGAGAAGGAAGTGTCCGCGGATGGGGCGTCAGTGATCGAAGAAATGGAAAAGGTCGTGGTGCCCGAATTAAAGAGAACAGTCATGAAGAGGGTTCGAAAGGATGTGCAGGACATCCCGCCCGCAAGGGCAATGGCCATTATGGATGCGTTGAAGCCGGAACTTCCGTTCGAGGAAAAGGTGGAGGACCTTATCCGTTCGGTGTCTGTGGGCGACGATGGGGAGTACCTCGACGAAGCTGAGATCGAGACAGCTTTCGACATTTGCGACACCGCGGACACTTGTGGCATGAAAGAACAAGACAAGTCCTTGTCGAAGCTCGGTGATCCAGAGCTACAGCTCACCCCACAGAGAGCCTTCAGGGCCATGACCATCGCAGGCATGTGCCTGGATTTGTTCGGGAAGGCGCGACACAGAGAAGCGGTGACGAGGAACAAGTACTATGTCCTCGCCACCAACCCGATGTTCGACAGACAGAATAGGGACGAGAGGTCCACCCCCTCATCTGACCTGCTGTCCCAGATCCGGATGCAATCTCAGGTGTACAGCGCCATCGGGTCCATCATCCAGGCGGTGCAAGCATGGCAGAAGGGGGTTTGCAGGTGGCAGATGCGCACAGCTTCCGAGATCAACGCAATGCTGGCGGCCATTGAAAGGCTAGGCGTGTCCAAGGGCCTCCCCATGTGCCCAATCATCTGCCTAGGGCCTCCACAGCGAGCTTTGGAGGTGCTGCAAATTCCCAGCACTGCGACCGGGAAACAAGCGAGGGCGAAGAAAGTCGAACTCACAGCGACATCCCAGCCGTCTTCTAATCTTACTGCCAGGAGCGCGTTTTCCGCGGCCACGCCCGATGCCTATAACCCCCTGCCCACGAATGAGGTATGTGTCGCCTTGATATGCGAAGTGAGGCAAACCAATTTGCGTCCGCAGCTCGAAAGCCGCGGAGGGCAAATGCGACTGAAATTTGTCCAAGGGAAGAGATGGCTCGTTCGTCACAGCCTTTGTCGCACTAAGCGCGCCTTCCCAAAGTTTCCCTTTCCAATTCGATGCGGTCGTGCGTTGTGTGTTCACAAGGCGTCCGCTCGATCAGGTCCCTGCACTGCGCACAGCACCAGTGGAAGCACGCATGGTCAGCCCCGCCATCAAATATTGCACCGCTCGAATATTCCTCTATTTTGCTGCAAGCATCATAGCGCGATAGCGTTGCAACAGGCCGTCATACTGCCTTGCTCGTGTCGCCGGATGGTGGCTTATGTCACCATGCCACATCGCTGTTGACGTGTGACTGTGGTGCTGGTCAAGGCTCTGGAATTCTCTCATTCTACCCAACCCAAGGCAATTCTAGGGCAGCCGTCACAAATGGGCCAAAGCCTTCGCCGGCACTCTCACCTCACGCTGCCGCCTTTGGCCCTGGGACGGAACCCACTCGAAATGTTTCCCAGTGCCTCCGAAAGAATTCAGAGATCCAAATTGGTGGCGCCTGATCAGAAATCAGCCGAGGCGTTGCAGCCTGGTTCTCTGCCGCTTGGGCCCGATCAACTATGGGGCTTTGGCAGGACTGTCAGTGGTGAGACGTTCACAGTTCAGGACAATGCACTCGCGCAGCTTGACGAAGATGAGTCGGCAAAGTTGTTTGATCAGTCTGGTTGAAGCAGGGGGATCGTGTCTGATCGTATTTTCGGTTGAGCTTTAGAAGGCGCCCCCGCAGAAAACAAGCGCGCATCACGAGCGTTCGGTGCGGGTCAAGAACGGTCTTGGGAAGCTCACGGTGTTGTTCATTTCTCGCCTGCAAGGGTATTGCAGAGCATCTGTGGGCAAGTGGGCGCCCTTGGGATTTCATCTTGTTTCGTGCTGTGTGATCACACGCGTGTGAGCCGTACGGCTGCTGGGCAAGTCTCCATTTAGAGGGGATGGGACAGAGCTGCCGTTGTGTGTGAAAATGAAGGATTTGCAATGATGTGATGTGCGAATCTGATGGATTTGCGGTAATGCCCTTTCCCGAGTCTCGAACAGGAGCACCAGGTTTGGTTTGGAGTGCCACACACCATTGTGAAGAGCACCCTCACGTTGAGTGGCGTATGTCTGCACACGGTGCGCATGATGTCTAGCGCTCATCAATTCTAAACTGGTATGATCTGAGTAGATCAAGCCCGATTGTGGTGCTTCGCCCTGTTGCCATTGCATCAGCGAACGGTTACACACTTCGAAATGGAACAATGCGCAGCCTTTGCATGCTTCCGTTGCACGTCACCACTCCAGGGATCCCAGAGGAGCTTCACTGGGAGGGTTGTTATTGCTGATGCACACAGTACAGCCGTCTCTGAAATCGTTTCTCAATTTCTTCATTGGAGCTTTATTCCCCAGACCATTATTTTTTCTCCGATGGGCACAGCAGCTTATAAGAGAGCTGTTGCCAAGCACATGCATCCATCCCAGCCTTGTTATGCATGTAGCATGTACACTGCGTACGAAAACGGCCCAATCGTGGTGCTCTATGTGCAGCCAGTGAGCATGAAGGCAAAAAGCGGGCATGTTCGGTGCTGGTGCATCTTCAGGCACCCCTTGCCGTAATTCCGTCAACATTGTGCTTGGGCGAAAGTCCCCCTTGTTTAGTTGAAAATATGTTTCATGTGGGTCCCCATCATCATGGGCATCCAACAGTCAATGTTCAGTCCCCAAGGAAAGCAATTGGTAATTCGCTGGTGCTTCCTTGTTGCTGAGGCTCCATACGTCTGCTCTGTGCCCAGCACGTCTATACAACTATATCTTGTGCTGATCTCTAAGACCCAGCTGCTCAATAAGCTGGCGCCTGTGAGAACAGAAGCAATAGATGAACCGACTGTCACAGAGACGTACATGGCGACAGTGCCACTACCCAGAGTAAGCAACGGATGCCTTGCACACCAGTGCCGAACAGGCATCAAATTTTGATGCCATTTAAATGGCCTAATTGGGGAGCGAAAATTGGTGAGACATCATTCGAGCGTCAATCCAGCCGTCACAGCTGCAGTTCTGTATGCTTCCGGCGTCTCGTTGACAACTGTTGGAAGCGCGGTGACCGCCGTCAAAAGCCACCAGCCAGAACGCCAACTGTTACGCTGTGGGCGGCAAGGCTGAAAGGATGGCCCACGGAAGAGGGGTACCTCACCACACTGCGCCCTGCCCAGCTAGCACCCAGTCGATCATTTTGTGGCGCCCGCTGTGCACACGAACATCGGAAAAGCAAGCCTCTGGTTTGCTGACACCCAGCGGCAGGCACCCACCTCAGCAGGTTGCCCATCATGTGGCTCATTTTCTTCTTCACCACAGACAGCCTCCCCATTCAGGACTGGAAGGCAGCCATACCTGGCCGCAGCAGCGTCAACGAGGTGGCTGCAGATCGGGGCGCAGGAACACCACGACAGCCAGCGCCCCCAGAGTTGCCAAGATCCATGTCGAATCCTGCGGCCCCGCGCTCGTCCCATGTCCGTCATTCCCTTGGGATCCTCTCCACCAGCGATGGGCACGCCATGGGAACGTCTGCCGATCGTCTGGCGTTGGAGATCTGAACGGCCCACGGCGTGCCGTGGGCCTCAGGGACCCGAAGACGCCCGAAGGCAGGGTGATGCTGACTGCAATCCCCGAGGACTCCATGCATGTGCATGCACATGGGCTTTGTCGGTGAACGGAATGGACGGAAAGATGGGGTGCCGACCACATGGTGTTGGGGTGTGTGGTGCTTTGAGGGGCCAACGTGCTAGCAGCGCTGCGGACGCTAGAGATGAGCATTCCAGAGCTGTCACCAAGCGAATTGTGCACGTGGACGCGCGTGGGTGGGCGCCGGGCGATGCGAAATGCCGTGCTTTCTCCCATCTTCAGGAATGAACAGCAGAATTTCTTCTCAGCATTGATAGATTTGAAACCTAAAAGAATCCTTGTTTTCAAACGTTTGTAACATATTTTGCCGGGGGCCCGCTGAAATGATTCGCGCCGCCGTGGTCAAGTTGTGGAGCGCAGGCGTGGGCCACGCCTCGTCCCCCACGGCCATGCCCGCCCAAGAGGACTCCGTATTGCCGCACCCGCCGCTCGTCGCGCGGCGCTCCCACAGCGGCGCGCCCCGCCCGCCGCTGCGAGACAGGAATCGGATCAACGACGCCACGGACGTCAAGGCGCACAGGCACGGATGCTCGCTGACGCTGCCGTTCAAAGTGAGAGGGAAGCCCTGCAGCGTCGCTTCGATGGCCCCGGACGCCCACGGACACCGAACGGGCAGATTTTCGCCTCCGTGTGACGAGCTTGAAGCTCTCTTGAACGGTCGGCTGGCGCGCTGAGCACCACCGATCGCCCCATGGCCCCTTCGGCCGTCCGCCCCGTCGCTACAGGACCGCGAGCCCTCCGGAGACATCCCAGGAATTCCTGCGACCTCTCCCTTTGATCGTTCGAAAAATCAACCTGCGCGCGGCGCCACACGGGTGTCCCTTTCGCGCCATCCGTCACGGATCCAAACCATCGCATCAGACGCGCTGGCCCCAACCGGACGTCACACTGCCCTTTGGTCCCGTGTCCAGAGGCCCTGGCGTGGGCGCCGCCCGTTCTCCGCCTCCGGCACGCTCGGCCCCAGGCGCCTCCTCCCGTCCCCCCTGCCCTTTCAAGTGCAACTGCAGCAGATTCCCCCGCTACCCGCTCCCAAATCGTGCCCCGACGCCGATCAAGATCTCCTCGTCCTCTTCGACCCCTCGGAGTCTCCCCCGGCCGACCCTCCCTTCCGCCGCGTGGCCCTGGATCCCTTCCTGGCGTCCCGCCTGCGCCCGCATCAGCGCGACGGCGTCCGATTCATCTTCCGCTGCCTGTCCGGCATCTCGCTCCCCGGCCATCGCGGCTGCGTCAACTGCGACGGCATGGGCCTGGGCAAGACGCTGCAGGCGATCGCGGCGATGTGGGCGCTCATGGCCGGCGGCATCGACGGGCGCCCGGCGTGCCGGAGGCCGTTGGTGATCTGCCCGTCGAGTCTGGTGGCCAATTGGGGGCGGGAGGTGGACAAGTGGCTTGGGGGGAGGGCGATGCCGGTGGCGGTGGAGAACACGGAGGGCGGCGCGGTGAGGCGGGCGCTGGAAGGGGGGCCGTACCGGAGGAGCGGCGGGGGTGGGCTGCCCGTGCTCATCATGAGCTACACGACCTTCCGGCTGCACAGGGAGCAGGTAGGGGGATTGGAAGGGTAGTCATGCATGCAAGCGTTTTTAGGTCAGCACGGGCAGCAGTGGTATGTGAGAACGAATGCCGGTGCGGTGCGTTGGAAGGCCCGGCGCAGCGTGCATAAAATGAGTCTCTCTGTCCTTGCCGTGAAGATCCCTTGTTGTTTCGGACACCCTAAACCACTGACCCACTGGCCGGCGTTGGCCTTGTCAGCACAAGAAGAAGGCACTATCACGGAAAAGACAGAGGGACTGACATATTCTCGTCGGCTGTGTCGGGTGGAATGGTGCTTGCCACCTAGCCAACTGCTTTGGTAGAGCAGTGGGTCGTCCCATCAGAGGTACCTGGCTCGATCCCAAGTCCAGTCGTCCTCTTTATCTTCGGCACTAAGACATGTTGGTGACGTAGCGTCTGACGCACGTGTGGACCGCGGAGATGTCTCCGTCGATTCTGTCAATGGATTGTCAAAAATCAATGCCGGCTGCATGTAGTTGGGGCGCAATTTACCCGATTGGGATTGCCACGACATGCATCCCCGCGGTTTTTAATACGCTGCTTCGGTCGCACACCAGATCTGTGTGTGTACGACGTCCGCACGCCGCCCTTATTGCCTATATGTGCCCCTTGGAAAATGCGCACCTGGTGTATGAGGTGCGGATTTTCAAGGCGAAGGTGGCGCATTGATGGATGCAGAAAGCCCAGGGCCATGCGAACATTGCACAATGGAGACTGCAGCATAAGCAACCTGTTCCAGCTTCGAAATTAAACGGCCGCCAGAAAACGGAGATATTCATTGGCCACCCGTGATTGCATTGAGAGCTGTGGCGTTGCTTGCTTCAGGTTCTCGCCTGCAAGCCAGATGTTCTCATCTGCGACGAGGCCCACCTGCTCAAAAACAAGAGCAGCCAGATCGCGGTGGCCACGTCCGAGGTCCCCACGAAGATGCGGCTACTGCTGACAGGAACGCCAATCCAAAACAATCTCCTGGAGTTCCACGCGCTGGTGAAACACGCATGCCTTGCAGGTTCCAAAGACACATCCATGGAAGGAGCAACTCTGCGGTCATTGCGCACAGTGAACGAGCACAATATCATTAATGAGTGTACATTAAACACGACGCAACGCGATTGCAGCTAGGCGGGCGTGTGCGAGCCGTGCACAGTGAGTACTGCGCAGAGAATGCATTATTGAACCCAGTCAAATTTGCAATGGAGGCCATTGCGCAGTCGAACTGGGCGGCCCGCGGCAGCGGGAAAGGCTCCACGCTGCTGCCACAGCGCGCCGCTGAGAGCTGAGTATCAGGCCCAGGAGGCGGCGGCAGGCCATGACTAGCACATCGTCCGCAGTGGGCATGAGTGCGATTGCGCCAATCTTTTCCCCTTCAGGTCGACATTGCAAATCCGGGCGTTCTGGGTGACGCTTCCCAGTTCCACAAGCACTATGAAGAGCCCATTCTGAGGGGCAGGGACGCTGGCGCCAGCGACGGCGACATAAAGAGAGGCGAGGCCGCCTCCGCGAGGCTCCTGGAAGTGTGCAGCAAATTTCTGCTGAGGCGGAACAGCTCCATCCTCCAAAGCTACCTACCGCCCAAAGTGGAGCAGGTGATCAGAGCACTGGCGTGGTGGTCGTCGTTTTGCACATATCTTACCTGCGCTTCAACCCTGTTCAATTGGTGAACACTGTTATCAGAAGTGTTATAAGTGATGTACCAAAACTATCATGTGATGTGAATCGCATTATTGTTTTATTATTTAAGCGTGGAGGGGGGACATGACTCTGACAGCCCGGCTACCATTAAATCTCTGACCAAGGTGAAATGTTTCGGAATGAGCTAGGCACCTTCCGTCAATTTTTAAGTTCACCGGCAGTTGAGTCCTAAATCCTCAATTACGCCCCACCCCAACACAATGCCAGGATACTCGCGACTCTGCGCCGATCGGCACGCATAAGCCCCTGCCGCATTTGCACTCTTTCAGCACATTTTTTCAGCAAATTAACCTGTGTATAATCGTTCAGCAGCATTTCCCAAAAACAACGTGTCGCCTGGCAGGTCGTGTTTTGCAAGATGTCGCCCCTTCAGCTTCGGCTTTACCATCATTTTCTTTCATCCTCTGCCGTAAAGGCTGCCGTCGGAGCCAGAACGAGCAGGGAAGGCCCGACCCTCTCCGCGCTCGCCGCGATAACTGCATTGAAGAAATTGTGCACGCACCCAGACCTGGTACGCAGTCCCAACGTGTGTCGTATTCACACGTCACGGACAATTTATGATGATGGGTTCGAAGCTCCTGTCGTGTTGATTCTCCTGATGCGAGTCCTTTGGAACCAACACGGTGTGCAGTGCCAGACCCAATTGCATATATACTCGTGAAATTGCCAATACATGTTCTGGTGTGCATTGAGAATATCTATGAAATCCACAAAAAGCTGCTCTTTATCTATAGATAGATTGATACTACCGTAGTAGATCAAATCCAGTGGGGAAACCAAGGTGCTGCAGTTCGGTGCTTTCGCCACTGTAAAGTAGCGGACAAGTCGCGATTGTCTCCTTCATTTTGCATCTGGAGCTAGAAAGCCAGGCTGTCTTTGTCTCCATCAAAATGGAAACAGACTTAAGACGGTTGCGACAGATACTTCCTCCATCCTGTATTATTTGTCGTCTATTTGAAAGATAAATCTCGCCATAAAAACCGCATCTAAATCAACAATGGAGTCCAGAATCGGAAAGACTGGGTCTCAAAGCCATAAGTTCCAATTTTAGAGGAAAAAAATTCCGTCCTCACCCCTATGAGCTGGCCCCCGAAATTGCCTTGGTGCGGTCCAAAATATGCGCGTTCAATTCCCGCGGTCTTGCATAACCCCCTGGTTTAGGGGAACTCCCGTGCCTGGGAAGCGCAAGTGGTTGCCACCATTGCGGCAAAGGGCGGGGTCCAGCACGTGGCATGGCCCTTGCCGAGCACACTCTAACGTGCTGTTATCCTCGTCTTAGGCAGCCATCTTCGTACCGTTGACGATGCCCAACATCGCCGCTTTTCTCAATCTCCAATGGGCGGAGCTCCGACGAGCGGAAATGCCAATGTATAAGCCCTGAAACCTGGATTCAGTGCGCGCTATTGCTCCAAGGCTGTTTGGCAGCCTTGCTCGGGCATTTCGCCTCAGTTGATGTCTGAGCCGATGTTTGCGTGGGTCCCTACGCTGGCACTCCCAAAATAGCCGCTGTTTATGGATGCAGTGGCCGATGCTTGTGCGCGGTACACAATCCGCTGGAACCGACCAAGCCTCTATCATTACAAAAGACCCAAATTCACTTTTACGGGCATCTTCCTTGCACCCAATCCTTTGAAATTGTGAAACAAGGACAAATCGCCATTCCCGTGCCAATTCACTAATTGTTCGTGCGATATCGGGGTGACAGCCATCACCATCTTCGGATCCTTGTCAAAAGGATTGGGTGACCTCCCTCGGTTGCCTTGACAGCAGAGAAGGAGTTCGAAAAGCCCTGGCCAAAAAAATCTGGGTCTGGAATGTCGCTCCGATCCGTTAGATGAATCCTGAAATGGCGTTGCAAGCCACGGCGAGTTCGACGATCAAAACGTTAGAAACACGTTTTCCATAACCATACCTCTTTGCAACCACCCTAGTGAACTCCACTCTAAACAGCGTCAATAGTTTTGCAAGGACGGGTTTGTTCGCTGCCGCGAATGCGTGCTCCTCAAAACAGCCAAAACCGGCTGTTTTCATGCGCAACGTCCAAGAACGGCCCTTTTTAGGCCTGAGGACCATTGCTACAAAGTGCTACCAAATTATCAATACTTCATGGATTGACTTCAAATTTTGATAGTACACTCCAACATCACAATGTTGAGATAAATTTCATTGAAAATTGATGTAGGCACGACATAGAAGTAGCGTCACAAAATCATAGACGACAACTACTATGGGGCGGAGGAAGTGCAATATTGTGTCTGTCGCTTGGCCGGGCTGTGTAACCTGCCTGGGTATAGGGCTCAACAATGTCTCCTCAGATAACTGAAATCCATCCCATGCGTTCCGCATCAGCAGAAAGGTGTTTTTGCTGCTGCCACGTGCCTGGCCGTCAAATTTGCGTCCATTCAACATTGCTTGATGAGGCCTCATGAGGTCTGTGTTTTGGAGGAATCGCGGACCGCCTACGCACATTAACGCACGCCTCGCTTTGTGCTTTCATATGCCCTTAGGGCTTAACAAGGCTTGTTAATGCAGGTGCTGTCCCTTTGTCAGCGGGGCGTCGATCCCCGCGACACCAAGCGGTCAGTGCGCTTGAGCGGTTTCGAAGGCGCGGCGCCACTGTACAGGCTCCCGGACATATCTCCCGCGTACCAGGAGGGCAGGGCCCAAGCGTACCACTCCGGAAAGGTGCTGATCCTGGATTGCCTCCTGAAGGCCGTGAGAAAGGCCCATCCGGCGGACAAGGTGGTGGTGGTTAGTAACTACACGGAGACGCTGGACATGGCTGCCAAGGTGAAAGCAATTGGGAAATGCGTTGCTGGTCGCATGTGCACTTTCGCAAAGCGCCTTTCCCGCCAAAGGAATGCAGATTGGCTCCGCTCGAGTTGCGGTATTCATCGCCGCTGTTGAGCACATCTTGTTGCCTTGCCTGGTATTGCACACAGAGTCACGAGTCCCACACATATCAGTTTTTAGACAGTTGGGGAATATGAATTCTTGAGTTTCGTGCGGAATATGTCAAACAAATCAATCACCAGAAGACACCCAATGTTGGCAATGGCCAACGCGCTGCCGTTTTCACTAATTAGTGGTATTACACTTGCGTGTATGCCATGGAAATTAAGCCGATAGGTATCAGTTGGTGTCAAAATGGTGCCACGGTTGGCACCACAATAGAGCGTTTCTGACGATGAAAATGAGCTGCGAAACTTCCCGTGAAACGAACAGCATCTGTGAATTGAAAGGGTAGCAAATATTGAATGCATGTCCAAACGCAGGCAAAGACTCCAGAACAAAACCTTCAACCATGCAGATGATGTCCTGATGCTCAACTTACCATTTAAAATGATGTACATTCAGACCACCTCGTGAGTCCTCAGCCTCGGGGCATTTAGTCGAATGCAAAAGTGCGCAGCGCTTCCGGCACAGCATGTGCCGGCAGTTTCCATCTACGTAACTATGTGCGAATTAGACTTAACAACAAAATGTTACGGGTAGTGCATCGAATACTCCGAAATTTATGAATTCAGTGCTCTGCCCAACGCGCCACACCGAAGCAATACACAGAACAATATTGCACGATGCAGAGATACGCTACACAACATTATGTCGTAGTTTAGTATCACATACATTCATTCAAAAGGGAGAGGAAATGCCAAAGGGACCTTGATTATTAGGACGTGTCAAAGCTGCTTGTTGATTTTTCGATTCGGCAGTCTCTCCAGCAGCAATTGGAACATATTTTCGCACTGTCGCAGATGTGCTTGTCCAGCGGATGGAGATTTTTGAAGTTGGACGGCTCTTGCGCGACAAAGTTGCGTCAGAACCTGGTGGAGCAATTCAATGACGAAGCCGACGCGAGTTTCGTTTTCCTATTGTCGTCAAAGGCCGGAGGCGTGGGTCTAAACATAGTCGGAGCAAACAGATTGGTGCTTCTCGACCCTGGTGGGCATGTCTGATGATCTTCATAGCATGTGTCAAACATCACGTAAAACCAGGGCTTCATGTGATATTTGCACCATCGGTGTGGACCTGCGCAAGCTGTGTGACTTCGTGACGCAACAATCGTTAGTAAATTTTCGCAAATAACACAAAACCAGCCCCATGTCATCTAAGCAGATTGCTCCTGCCAAATTTGTTGTTCGTTTCATTTCCCCAGGCAATTGAGATGGCAGCTGCAGTGAAAGAACTTAGGGAGTCGATGTTGCACATCCGTAGATGGCTAACTTCAATAGAATTATGGAGTTCATAATAGGAACGTGCATAATGTGAATGTCTACCAGAGCGATGGACTGGACTGGATGAATAGAGAAAATGTGCTTGTCTTCTGCGAGTGCTGATATCTATAAGTCGTATAGATATAGATGCTCAGATTGAGGGGTGCAGTACTATGCGTGTCCTTATCTGCTCTAATGCCAGAGAATGATATGTGAGATACTCCACGCACGTCCCTCAAATATGTGAGCCACCAATCCTTTAGCAACCGAGACACATATCCCATCGTGGCACCGACTGGAACGATGGAAATCCAACTCCACAGCAACGAGTCAGGTTTGGACGTTCCGAAATATGGGCGCAGCTTTGAAATGCGGGAGCGATGTGAGGAATTGCGCAGTGTTCATTTTGGCCAAAGAAGAACGCCAAGGCACCGCGCTTTCCCGTAATGGGGATACATTGCGTAGCTCACACATCTACACTACTTTATTGCCAAATGCCCACTGCCTCGCTCACCACAATTGGGCGATTGCGGGCGCTGTTGCCCATTCACCTGTTTTCCTCGCCAGATTGGAATCCCGCCAACGATCTACAGGCAATGGCACGTGTCTGGAGAGAGGGCCAGACCAAGACGGTGTGGATATACCGTCTGCTCACGACCGGCACCATCGAGGAGAAGATATACCAGCGGCAACTGGCGAAACTTGGGCTGTGCGGTGCCGTGGTGGACGACCAAGCAGCCGGAAATGCCAAGAAGTTCTGCATGAAGGAGTTGAAATCACTGTTTACGGTACAGACCCTCGCCGCTTGCGCCTAGCTGTCGCTTGTACCGCGCATGCGACCATCTTTCAAAGATTTCCGTCCAAATCCTTGGATCGAAATAAAGTTGCTGAGGACCAACCACTGTTTTCCACGCGTCCCACCCTTTTCGATCATGGAATCATAATCTTTGAGATGGGCAAACGTAAGATCTGGGCTGCGGGACACAAGCACGGGAGCCTCGCCCTACACGCGGGGTTAGCCTAACCCGGTTAGGCGATTGGAAATAAGGACGCCCGGAGAATTTTCGACACCATCGTCGCAAGCCAGCCGCCGGTACTGATCTTCTTTTGTGTAACATGCTTCACAACGTCAGCTTCTTGCTCTGAATTGCAGTGATCCCAAGGTATTTTCTTCCGTGCTGGCCGCCCAATTTTACAGGATTTTTTTTAACATAACCCCAATTTCCACCCAAAACGTGCGCGGAGCCTTGCGCCCAACAGATCAGTAAATCAGTTTGACATCCAATGTGCTTGTTGATGCATTGCTAAAGGCTTAACATACATAGCCATGGTGCTTGCCGCATTGCGAAGTGCAAGGCCATGTGCACGCAGCGAATGTATCTGAGTTTGTGCCGCCTCCCAGCTACTAAACATTTTACTGCACAATCGACTATCGTTGCTCACAGGTAGACCCAAACGCCGTGTGCGACACCCACACTGCCATCAAATGCGGGTGTTCTGGGAGGGGCCCCAAAGCGGGTGATGCGCTTCCCAGAAGAGAGGGCAACGGGCAGGATGTGCTGAGCTGGGGCCATTTCGAAGACGTCTCATCCTCTCCGGACCCAATCTGGGACCACGTTTCGAAGTGGATCTCCAGCAGGTTCGTCACCTTCGTCTTTTGCGACCACGTGGCGAAGCAGGAGAAGGCCGGCAGGGACAGCGTTGCAAGCGGCAGCAGCGACGTGGACTAGAACGCATGCCTTCGCGTTATCCCGGTCGACTCAACCAACGACGCAATATACTGCCGATGGATGCCAAACAAGATATGTTCCACCACACCAGGATTGACCCTGATATCAGATACGCGTTTATCCACATGCTGGATGAGATTGTTGCCGTTTGGTGCCCCTGCAATTCGAAATTCTTCTGGCCTCTTGACAGATTAGCAGCAGTTGAGGCATTTCCAGAATGTGCGGATTTCGGCAGTGTCTGCCGCACATCCATCCACAAGGCAAACTTGCTCAGAATGGATTGGCGATTGGAAGCCCAAGACACTGCAGATTCTGTAGTCTGCGGTGTGGACAATGACGCCAAGTCCTTGGTCTCCTAGCTTTCATGGTCAACTGTGCTCATGCCAGATCATGCTCATCATCCAGAAAATGAGCGTCCGCATGGATTTCCTGCGCGACGTTGACAGAGTCTGTTAACGTCAACAGTCTGAATGTAGACCGTGAATCAGCGGACCACATTCCGTCAATGCCGCTTGGCAAATCCATGCCCTTGCGCACACCACCCCGACTTTCATGGGATGGCGTGTTGATCGGCATCCGACATTTTGTTGCGCATGACATGCTCTGCATGTTTGTGCAGTCGTCAGACCTTGGCCCCGTGTTTGTGTGGTTCTTTGCACAGTCTGTTTGGCCAAGGCGCAAACAGCAGTGCACTGTTCATGCAGGGGCATCCTTCGCCCTGGTAAGGCACACGCGACCCGACGGGCGTTCACCGCTGCTGCACCACCTTCCCCTCCGTGCCTGCACATCCGGCGAATGGCTTCACGGATCAAGTTTGACAGCCTCCGCGGAAAAGTCGGCCGCCATGGGCGACGGCAAGCTGACGCTGCCAGCTGTACCGCGCACGGCCACGTGGCTGTTCCGTGACGTCGCAGTTCTAGCGTTGGTCAGTCAACATGCCACAAGGTGGCGAGCCACACGGCCCAGTATCGCCGCACCGTGGTGAAAAGAAGACAGCACAACACATCGCCACCGAATTCATCATTCCGCTGATGATCCGATCGGGTGACACGTGGCCCCGACGAATCCACTTGCCTCGCGCCGACCTGATTGGCCACCTGGGTCGAGTGTGAGCGAAGTACTGGCAGAGCAGGGGCCGTTTTTTCCTGTTGCCGAAATGCTGGACGAGTGCCGCGTGTCCCTGACAGGGCGGATCCAATGCACAGGCGCCCGTCCGCTCCCTCGATCAGCATTCCTGGTCCGGCTGTTCAGCGCGGCGGCGGTTCGTCGTCCCACGCGGATGGGATGTTGGCCGGCTGTCAAGTCGGGTGCTTGGGCTGTGCTCCCGCGCAAGCCCTGCGGCACGAGCAGACGTTGGACGCGCCGCGCCTGGGGAGTAAACGTCCCGTCCGAAGCCTGGGAGAAAATTGTACGTCAACGAAACGTAATGGGGTCGAGGGCGCAGCCCGTTTGCGTCGGCTCACTGCCGTACGGTGCACCCTAGCGTGGTGGCAGCAGAGTGTGGCGTGAGTCTGATGTGCCGTCGTTGGTGGGATCGCAGCCCCCGACGGACGCCGGGGCCGCCGCCAAGCCCCCATCAAACCATCCCGAGAAGCCAAAGGCGCCCCCAAGCCGTCCTGGGGACGCTGTCGTATGTGATGGCCCCGTGACAAATGCCTGGCGGGCGCCCTGTTCTCCCAGGCAACCACGGCATGGCGCCCCCCACGTGGCACCGCGAACTCGTCGTGAAATTCCCGCACACACATGCGCCCAGTACGTTGGGCACCCCCCTCCCCCGCACAGTCACCCCGCCCCAGTACGTTCTGGGCTCCCGGCCACATCAAACCGGCACCGTATTTCTGGCACCACACCCACGCTGCTGGCCTCGACCTGCTGCTTCACGACCTGCCCAGGTTTACGGCTTGCTGGCCTGTGCCTTCGCGCCGAAGAGTGGCTTAGCGCTCCAGAGCCGCGACGCCGCGGTGCGCTCAACGGCTCGGGCTGCCCAATCGAAACGTCCTCATCCGGGAGTCGGTCGGCAGTTGGAGGCTGAGGCCGCGGAGGGCTTATATCCAAAGCCTCTGTCCTGTTCTGTCATCTCCCAAGCGCGGGCCGCCCTTCGCTTCTTCTCCTCCCGCCGGGCCGAGCAGCCGGGCACGGCCAGCCGCCGGGGTCCAGGTACCGCCCCGGGCGCCGCGGAATGGCCCAGCATTCGGGCATCAGCGAGGCCGGCTCGTCGACCTCTGGGCCCCCCGGCGCGAACTTCGGGATGCCCGGCAGTGGCGGGTTGGGGCGTCGACCCCGGGCGGCCCGCGATGCCGGATTGGCCGCCGGGAGGCCGCGCGGGGCGTGCGGCTCGGAGGGCGACGAGGCGTCGTCGTCGAGCGCCGCCGCGCCAGAAATCGTCGCCGGGGCGGCTCGCGGGCGCCCCGGGCCCGGGCCGCAGGTCGACGAAGATTTCATCCTCTTCCTAAAAGCCCTGCTGGCGGAGGACGGCGACGGCTGGGCCGGGGGCTGGAACGGGTCGACGGGGTCCGCTGCGCGAGGTGGGGCGCGCTCACGTGCCTGCGCGGATCCGACTCCCGGCGCTCAGGCCGGCTCGCGGACTTTTCCCATCTCTTGGGCGGCGATTGCGGCGCCCGCCGCCCCCGATTGCGGCGTCGTCCGCAGTCCCCCCCCCCCCCCAGCCTGAATTTCGCCTCGAAATCCCCCTCTCGTCGCCTCCCCCGGATGTCGCCTTCAGCCGCACAGCCCCCGCGCCGTCTGACGGCACCCTCGCTCATCCCCGCAGGATTCGAGGACCAGGAAGTGGACAGCCCCGCGCGACCACCGCTGCTTTCTCCCGACCACCTGTCATCGACCCCCATCTCTCTACCTGCCGCTCTCCGCGCCGGGCGCCACCTCGAGCAATCCGTGCCATCCCCCTCCCTCTCGCCAACCAGGCCGTGGCCCCCACGGGCGTCCGTCCCCGCATCCGAGGCGCCGCCGAAGGGCCGCCGCGGCAGCGACTGGGCCGCAAGAGGTGCGCCCCGCTGGGACATCATCCCGGCTGCCTGGCCGGCGTCCGTGGACGGCGCCTCGTACGGGAGAGCGTGATCGTACGACAGTGTACCGCGCGACCGAGGCCGCCGGCGGGGGGGGACCAATGCCCATCCACGGCCGTCCTTTCCCCCTCCCGACCGTCTGTTCGGGCCGCATCAGGCCTTTGGGTCTCGTTGAGGGGTGTCTGAAGGTTCAGCGCGCGATTTGGGACTGAAATCTGTGGGGTTGCCGGTGCGCAGGCGACGGAGCGATTGAGGCCTCGGGAGGGGCGATGGCGCCGGCCAAGGGGGCGGCGCCGGCGGGCGGCCGCAAGCTCCACCGCGCCCTGGGCGACCTGAGCAATGTGCACCCGGAGCTGATGCCGGACAGGGCGTCCTGCACCGAAGATCGCCGCGAGCCTCGGCGGCTGCTCCCCGTCGACCCCCCGCGGTGGGCCGCCCGCGGCCCGACGGCCCGGCAATCGAATCCCGATCTCTTGTCCGCCGCGGATGGCGGCGACGCAACGCTTTCGGAAGTCGGGGAGGATCTCGCCCGGTGGCCTGGTGGCGGCCGGCCGGCCAAGCGCCCGCGCCGGCGCGACCAATCCTCCCCCCATGGGGAGGGAAGTCGCCGCGACGAATCCCGACGGATTGGCTATTCATCGAGCGGGGCCCGGTCGTCGATCGACGACCCGTCGTCGCGAGGGTCTCGCCCGCCGCCGCGCGTGGACGGGCTCCCAAAGCGGGGCTTGAAGAGGGCCAGCGGACGGACCGCCATGGTGCCCCTGGTGGCAGCAAACGGTGGCGACAGCGGCCATGGGCGTAAAGTATTGGAGCGGGAGACGGCAGTCGGGGGGGAGGCCGGGGCGGAGGAAAACATGCTGGACGACGGGGCTGTCCGCCTGGTGAAGCTGCGGGATCGATTCCCCATGCTGAAGGCGGCGGCGGGGGGAGGCCGGGACGGAGGTTCGGGGAGAGGCGACGAATCGACGAACGTCGTCGCGGATCCATTCGCGGCGGTGCGGCCGCCGGCGGCCTCCCAAGTGTGTGGTGCGGCCCGACCGGGAGAGGATTTTTGGACGGCGCCAGGTGGGCGTCCGGGGCCCGGGATCAAGGGTGGGTGTTGAGGGGCTTGGGGCGTCTTGGGGTAGCATTTGTCACAAAGAGAGAAAGCAGTTTCGCAAATGGGCACCCGCTCGGAAGCGAGTGCATGCTAGGCTCTTTTCCCTGCTGTGAAAGGATGACGCAGAGTCTGGGGCGTCTTGGGGGTGATTTGGGCAGATGTGCGGAGGGGTTGGCGAAAAGCCTGGGGCTGCGGCCGGCAGGGGGGTGATTTGGTGCATTTCGAGAGAAAACAGGTTGTACAAGGACGCCCTCTCGTGCTGCTCCACCCCAACGGCTGGGAAGGGTGTAGGAGAGATGTCTTTTTAGTTAGGCGTCGTTTTGTCTCCAGGGGGAATCTGAATTCATGGCGGCTTTGGAGCTGCCTTGCGTCGTGCCAGGTCGACGCAAGGGGATCCTGTGAATGGCCCCGGGGAAAGAGAATGTGCGGCAATATAATGTGGGTGTTGAGTGACAAATGTCAATTTTGATGCAGCAATTCTGGGGGTTTGGGGTCGGGGTGCATCAACGGACGCTGGGAACCGCATCTGGGGGTTGGGGGGTTGGGGCAGCTGGGCACCTGGGCGATGCTTGTGTACACAATATGTCTCATGCTTGTAAAACGACTTTAGCGCTCGTGGATTTCTTTGCCCAGCACCAGCAAGCCAATGCCCAGCTGGGGAACCTTGTTGCAAATCGGGCTCTTGTCCATATTGAATGACTGGATGCGCGTTTGGTCAACGCTTGTTGCAGTATCCCGTGCAGATGTCGCAAAGGGACATGCCGTGACACGTGGCATGCCATGCGTGACCCGATGTGGCGTGGATGCCGCACATCGTGGCCGCTTCGTGTACTCGTCGATGATGCGCAGTAGCCGCAGTAGCAGTCCAGCGCAAAACGCAGTCGAGGAAGAATGTAGCCACGTTGTGAGGTGGGCAAGTGGGCAATACGCGGCCGCCCTGAGTGGGGTGTGCGGTACACAGACGATACATGACGAGTGCAGAAGGTCCCATCCAGGTGTTGCGCACACCAGGTGCCTAGTTTCATGCGGAGCAAGTTTTAGGGGGGGGTCGTGTTTGGGTACTCTTTGACATCGGGAGCAAAGAGTTGCCACGGGAACCCATCTTCAGGCTCTGAAGATAAACAGACTGGAGACACGCAACAGTCACTGCGATCTCGCCTATGATTCAGAACCAGCATAAACAACACATAAAGAATGCCATTCTTGAGGCCACATCTACACCCCTCCCAACACAACTGCGGGACCCCACTTCCCACCACTTCGGGTTCCGTCTCGCTATCTCTGCAACAGCGCTGTCGCAGTGGCACACAGCACCCTGGGCCGAGCAAAAGCATGGCAAAGGCCCAAATCATATGGTTTGGGTATTAAATCCAGGCAACGTCACGAGCGCACTTGCATCGCTGCTTTGATGGCCAGCCACCGTTCGACTTTGTGCAGGAAGCAAGGAACAAAGCAAATTTCCTTCACAGGACCCCGCCCGCTGTCTCTCGATTCCCCTTTCGCCCTGCGTCGCCATGCTGGCGCGCCTGGGCATGCATTGTTCACGTGCACAGACGTTCTCATGCACATTTGAGCATTTGGGGACATTGAGATTTCGCACAGGGGGCCTTCACGGTCTCAGAGGCTTGCGGGCGCGTTTCATCCACGCTGGCAGGCACCCCGGCAAATGCAATCAGACATCCCCCTTTCCCCCAAACTGTCAAATGCCTATCAGTGAATCTACAGCCACTCCGTTCTCCAACACGCGGAACCATCTGCAGCACATCTGGACGGAACATCGCTTGCCATCTTCAAGAGCAAGACCCCCCATCTGCCATGTTCGGCCAAATGCGCTCAATGGGTCGCGGCTCCTTTCAGGTGTAGTGCTTCCTCACGTACCCCTCGATGTACTTCAGCTTCCGTATGACCTCCGGGTTCATTAGGCCCGCCGTCTCCCCCAGCAGCGTGTGCTTGCCCCTCTGCGTCTGGTACGCGCTCAGCACGGCCTCCACCGTCCGCAGCAGCCGCGCGGGGCTGGTGGTCAGGAAGTCAAGCGCCTCGTCGCCGCTCAGGTCGCCCTCAGTGAAGGCGTCCTCGATGCCCTCGTGCATCTCGGCGCCCTCCGGCAGCGTCAGCAGGTGCTTCAGGATGCGCACCTCCGGCGGCTGCTGGGCCGCCGCGGTCTCCCTGGACTTGAGGTACAGGTGGAACATGACCTCCTTGACCTGGAGCGCGGGCAGCGGACAGGGATGGTCTCCTGCCTCAGGCAAATGTGATGCGAGCGGCGGTCGGGGTCGGCCCAGCGTGGGGCGCGGGCCATGAAACAGCGCAATTTGGAGGGCACAGCGTTTGTGACAATTTCTGTGCTGTTGCTGTGACGCAGGGCATCGAGGTGCTGGTGTTGCGCAGGCTGATGCGACCATTAACTACTGAAAACGTGCAAGCCCCACCACTGCCATTTGTGAATGTGTTAGAAAGTACGTTGGTAGCTTTCGTGAAGGCATCAGAACACTGTGAGCGTGCGCTTTGGCATCCAGGCAATTCTTTAGAAATAGCGTAACAAACCACTCTTGTGAAATTGCGTTTGAATATTCAGCAACGAAGCAGCATGCAAAGTCAACAATGCTGGGGTCTGGAGGAACATGCATGTGCATCAGCCATGGGCACCTCGTCTTTGGTGTATGGAGACTCCTTCACTGACATCCACGCCTTCGCCATGGTAAGCATCATGGCTGGATCAAGTCCCCCAGACGCCGCAAGTTCATCCATTCGCCGGTCAGCCTCGTCCAAGCTGTCTGCCTGCCAGAGCACAAGTCCAAGCTGAGAACCTGCACTTATGGCCAGAGGATGATAGCCATTTCACGTATCAGGGGCCTGCCAAAGACGGTTCCTCGATGTGTTGGCCCACTATCAACAATGGCTGCAACAACGTGTGTGGCATGTGGACACCATTAATGCAAAGAATCCCATCACTGCAGACAATGACTGAGCAGCCATGGATGGCATTCTTGCTCCAAAGCACAAAGATGCCAACAACAAGGATGTGTGTGCCTTGTTCAGATAAAAATGGATGATACTCTCACAAGTTTCACTGTTGCTTCATTGGTGGGGAGCACTACTTTAATGCCACAATAGAAACAACAGCATGTTTTCAGTCTTGTGAATGCACATTTACACAAAGCAATGCACAGCAATTCATACCATATTTTTGGGAATGGTTTCGAGCTACCTGAAGAATGTCGGCCAAGCTGTCTGCTGCCAATTCCATCGCCCGCTGGTCCTTGCCAGCCTGGTCGTGCATCTCAACCATGGCCATCACCATAGTCGCCATGTTCCTGAACTTCTCCTGGGTCTCAGGGTCACTTGCTCCTGCTTCTGTCATATTGTTGAGATGACGAAAAAAGCCTTGGGTAAGGTCCCCCCGGTGCTCAGCAACAATGGCCTCCCATTCGATGCTGTTGGTGCTAAGAAACTTGGCGAGCACACAGTCATAACGCATTATCTCTTCATGCACCTGGCCGCGCAAGACTTCTATGAGACTATGTTCTTGCCGTGCCCAAGGTTGACTGGATGGATGCAGAGACATGAAGACCACAGCGTCTGCTGACAGGCAGCTGCTGAAGTGCATGCCAGAGCACAGTAATCAACAAATGGGGATGTTGCAACTGAACTATGTGCAAATCAGTGCCAAATTAAAGCGACCAGTCAGGCCACAGCCACACTGTTAAGAACATGCAAACCATGGCAGCATTTAGACTGTACAAGGGCACAGTGTGCAGGCATTGTTAGCATGAACAGGCAAGCAAGTATTTTTGCAGCAGAGGTGCAGCTCTGTAAACCTCAAGTCTGCACAAATAAGGGCCTGCATCAAATAATTACGACACCACAGCAACAATGTGCACAGTTTGGTTTGGGAGCAACATAACTGTTGCCATGTGGTGCGTGACATCAGCAGTTACCAGGTGCAAAAGAAGGCCAGGGTCTGCAATCGTTCGCACAAGTCGCTGATAGTGTTTGTGGCCCAGTTCATGCCGATGCTGTGCAGCATGGTCTCACAAGTGGACTGGCAGGTGGGACACCAACCAAGCAAAAACAAGATGAAGTGCATCCATTTGCCTTGAAAGCTTTGGAAGCAGTGCGTGACTGACATCAATCTTTGCAGCTAGGGGTCAAAAACGCAATCCCACATTTCTGAGTGCCTTTAACATCGTTCTCCATTCGAGCTTCTTTTCTGGCTCCTCCTCTTCTTCCGATTTCTCCTGAATCCTGCAGTTCCAAGACCATCCGTTGTGTCACTGGAGCCTACACCAATGGTCTTGAATGACACAATTAAGCGGTCAAATCCTTGCATTTTGAAGATTTAATTGCATGTGGAGTAAGCCTTGGCTGTAAACTGCAAACCAATTTGCAGATGGCGATGAAACTCCCAGATAAATCACTTCCACATTGTGATACACAGTTGCTTGATGTAATACAACGCAGCCAACCTGGAAATGAAGCAATCGGGAATCTGGTACCTTGTGATCGGAAATCCAGTGGGAGCACCAGGCAGTGCACACTGGCCTAGGATGCCAGCGGCGCGGACGATTCCAAACTTGCACCTGTCAGATCTGCCCATGGACCCTATCTTTGGATGCTGCTCTTGGGCCTGGAGTGACTCTCTGTCGCACCCCTCCCGTCCACAAACCCCACACCCACCCTAACCCCCTTCCCATCCCCGCCCACCTTTGGAACACCTTGTCTGCCAAGGTAGGCCATTGTGCACTGATGGCAATCAGCCGCTTCCAATCCTCCCTTGTCCTCCCCTTGAAAACTTGTATCAGCTTATCGCAGACCTCCTTCACTTCTTCAGGGGTCAAGCTGTCCTTCGCAGCCACTGCAGGTTGTTCAGCCGGCTCTGTTTGGCTCCCACCAGGGATGGCTGTCAGTTTCTTGGTCAAAGGCTCAGCGGGTCCTTCTCCCGTGGAGGACTGCGCTGCAGACTCTTGCAACGAGCTAGAGGACCCCAAGGCTGCAAAACAGACGGGATCACGTCTCATCTGCCACGTTGAATCGATCTGTGCCATCGAGGAGGGTATACAAGGGTCTCTCAGCGACAAGCTGTGATTGCCCGACACCCCCCTGCCGGGCACACTTTTGCTGCGCCTGATGAGCGGGCATGTCAGTTTCAGACAACTCTGTTGTCATCAGGGCAACAGGCTCCGACGTACATAATATGGAAGGTGGAATGCGGCGCATCATCAGCGCTTCATGCGAGGCTTTTTGCTGATGGGCGTCGCACGCTGTGCGCAGCGCACATTGCACTGACGCCTTGGCGCATGGCAACTGAAATCAAGGTGCTGTGGACTCTCAGGTGGGTGCCGGCAGGTCGGGTTGCGGGGGAGAGTATGGTTGCGCCCATTCTGCCATCAGACGCAAACGACATTGAGCTTCCCCGCTTACCGTTGCAGGCGAATCGCGGTGGTCGGCCGCCAGAAGCAAGGCAGCGTCTACCTCGACCCTGGCGCGCAGTTGCACCGAAAGGGGCACCGTGAAAACTCGGTCGGTTCGTCACCCTGCCACGCACTTGCGGCTCCATTCCAGGCAACTCGGCACCGACAAACAGAACACGGCTGGACATGTGTGAGCGTGTTCCTGTACCATGCATGATGCGTGTTTCGGCCGTCCAATGGGCTGGGTGAACGCCAGAATGTGAAGTCTCATCCCATTCCTGCACGGATGCCGGCTGCAAGCTGCGAACGGTTTACTGATGTTTTTGGACAAATGTAGGGTGGTTGGGTTCTTCTTCGTTTGTGTCGAATTCGGGGCGGTTGCGCAACTTCCCACTGCGAAGGCTCCGGGTCTGCTCCACTTGGCACCCCTGTGTTGCTCCGGCTCTTGTCGCTGGTGACTCGGTGACTGGTGGTGCCTGACCAGCCCAACATCCCTTGTCATTTTGTCCCCAGCTGTTGAATGCAGAAAATCTACAATGCCAGGGTCTCCCAATATTCTCTTATACACACAAGTCGACCCCACCGATGTGCAAAGCTGCCTTCTATTGGAATCCTTTATGGGGCAGAAGTCTTCGTAGCAAGTTGTCGGCATTTGGCACGCTGTTCCCTGCAGCTTGAAGCGAATTTTGTGTTGGGTAGATTCCCGTTGTTTAACGACGGTTTTTTGGCTAGTTATTGCTCAAACGACGAAATTGCAGAGGTGACCCATCCAGTGGCCAATGGTGACCACTGTGCGGGCCATTGATACATTCTTGCAGTCTTTTGTCACTTGCATTTTTGTCATTCGCCACACAGCACCTGCTGCACAGTACTGTTTGCATAGGACTGTGCAGGGCGCTCGAACCCAGGGCGCTGGCTGGCAGCGCAGTACATTATTGCTGCACTGCACCCACATCAGAATCCAGAAACTCGATCCTGTCGCGCCTCTGCACGAGCCCGCCTTTTCCGGCAAGGGCTCCTCCTCCCAGGCCCCGAATTGCGCACGGCTTGGGCTGCGCCCGACCGTTCCACTCCGGGCCGCCGGGGTAGCCCGTGAGCGTCCCCAGGCGTCGCCCTGGTGCCATAGTCTGGTCGTGCCTGGTGCGGAGAGAGCCAAGATCCCCCGATCTTCCTTCCATGGGACCGGCGTCCTGGGGCATCGATCACTGAGGAGCAGCCCCAGGGGCGATCCCTGAGGAACAAGGCTGTGGACGACTCAACCTGGAGGGTTGAAGGGGGCCTGTAGAGCGATCTGAGGGATCACCGTCAGCTGTAATACACCAAGATACGCCCAAACGCCCATTGGGGGTCCCCGTTTGCACTGCCATGGATATGCGGGGTTCCCGTGGCCGTGGCTTCGTGCGGGTGGGGAAGTCGCAGCTTGCGCCGATCTTCGCCGAGGGAGCGATCGATTGCCACTGACCGCCTCTTGCGGCGGGCCTGTTGATCCGCGAGGGGCTTCCGGGGCGTAGGGAGGGCATGGCTGATAGCGGCGGATGGCAGGGCGGGCCGGGGCAGAGTTGGGATTCGCCGCTGGGTGCAAAGGGTGCGATGCCGGGGAGGAACTTCGGGATGGATGGGGGCGCCTGTGGAATTGGAGCGGTGGGTGACGCCCGTGGACGGTGTGGGGGTTCGGGGGATGAGCCGATGCTGCTCACCTGCAAGACCACGACGGAGGGCATCAAGATTGACAGGTGGAGCTCATTGCAAGTGGGATGTGATCAGAAGTCATCGGCGCTGGGAGGCAGGCTAATAATATGTATTAATATGTTTCAGGGCAGGCAGCAGCACGGAACGGCAGCAGTCGGGACGATTTAAGTTGTGATGAGATGCGCAATTTTCTGTTATCCATGCAGGTGTTTTCGTGTTGCAGTTTTGGAGGTGGGAGCTACGATCATTGGCACAATAGTCAGGAGCTTGTCTTTCGCTTCTGGTCGTCAACGTCCCAGCATATTGTTTTACTTCCCTGTTGATTTGTTGACTTCAATGTTCCTGTTACAGGATCAAGGCAGCGCACTGGGTGTACCCAAAGAACATTCCCTTGCGCCAGTATCAGCAGAACATCGCCCAGACCGCCCTGTTTCACAACACAATGATTTGTCTCCCCACTGGCCTTGGGAAGACGCTCATTGCCGCTGTTGTCATGTACAATTTCTTTCGTTGGTTCCCCCAGGTGAGCATTGCTGCAAGTCAGGTGCCCACTGGAATGCCTGCTGGCAATCGATGCATTTGGCTGTGAATGTGATCTTCTGGATGGCAGCTGCTTGTTGACGAACCTGTTCCAAGAGAATTTCTGATTCGAAATGGTCTTGTTGCTTGCATGGGCCTGAGTGGCTGTGCGTATTTCTTAACTGCTGAACAGCAAGCCAGCAATTACAGTGTTGTCACATTTTTCATAATCTGATGATAGAGATCGCTGACTGTTTGAACACATAGATTCAAAGCTTTTCTTATTGTTCATAATTGATAAGATCAACATTTGCACTCATCCACACAGGCTGATCAGGGAGAGTTCGATATGTGCTCCCAGGACCAAACGTCTTGATTGCAGACTGATGGGCGTTGTCCAGATTTGTCCCTGGCTGGGTTCAACTGCACAGTGGTCGCCTGGGTCTCATATTCTCCTGTGATCCCATAGCCACAAGCATGGTTTACCTGCAATGGCTGTGAGTGTGAATCTGTTGCATGCAGTTAGCAAAACAATAGCAAAACAAAGCCCTTGCACCTGGGGAGGTGATGACGGCATGGCAGCATTCAACCATTGTTTGATAGTGGTGCAACAACTGTGCATGTGAGCTCACGTGCACTGGGCAAGCACACAATTGAGTTGCAATACATGCATGAGGAAGCAGCTGGTGTGCAGGGAAAGATCGTCTTTGTTGCACCAACAAAACCTTTGGTCGACCAGCAAAGGGAGGCATGCCTTTTCAAAGTCAGCATACCTGAGGTAATCAAGGCGCTGTGTGGAGCAGTTTTTATCACCCCTTGCTCTTTGGCATTTATCTTCAATTGTGCTTTCATCATGTCTGTGGCGACTTGATAATAACGAGTATTCTCAAGGCCATGGCTGTGCATATGCCAGTGTTGCTGTGCTTGGAGCTCGTCGCTAGTTGGCATTGAACAGACCATTTGCACGAATCTTCATTCTCAGACACTGTATTCTCAAGCTGTATAAAAAACGCGAGCCAACTGCCGAAGCAACAGAAGTGCATTGTTGAGAATCAAACTGCCTGGGCAGGACTAAAAGGTAGCAGGACACTGCTTTGTAATCAATTGGAATCGAGACAGCTGTTGAAGCCTCAAACAGTGTTGCGAAATAGTGTACAGTATGCCTACTTGAAGACATCGATGCATCCACCAGAGCTGGCATAAATGTCACAGGGTCTTCTTGCAAGCATGTACATCGTGGCTTCATGCTGCAGATCTGCCACTGGAAAGTTGTCCGGAGCAAAGTACTGCTGCTGGAAATTTTTGGCCTATCTAGATTGCCTCCATTTGCAAAGCACATGCACAAGGCTGCATTGCATGCATTAACTGCTTGCCATCGTGCTCTTCTTTGCCATGCATTGTAAATCTTTTAGTTGCAACTGTACCAAAAGCGGTATTGCAACTGCAGGGCAGTCTTATGCATTTGGCTGCATGTGGAATGTCTGAAGCAGCTTTTTGATAAATGCTGAAGTCTGTATGTCTTTGCTCCAATTGTAGTGTGTGTGCTAAGCAATCAAGCAGTCAATCTGTCTGCCAGTCAGCGAGTGAATGAAATAAGTTAATGTGTGTACTTGAGCTACAGTGTAGTTAACATGTGTAAATGTTCAGCACATATGCACTCATCTATAGTGTATGTTTTTCTGTATTATATCTATCAATAACGCATCCATTTACAAACTGCTAAGTGGTGACAAATGTGACGAAGGCAGAACTTCAGGAGAGTCTGGCCACCAGCAGTGTTCAACAATTTCCAAGGATGCAAGATCATGGTTTGTCATGTTTTAAAGTTGTTGGCAACACAATCAATCTTGATTGACAAGGCAGCAGTGATGGTTGTGCGTTTGCAGTACGACACAGCTGAGATGACTGGCAAGGTGGGCCCTGAGCAGCGACAATCGATATGGGAGAGCAAGCGTGTGTTCTTCTGCACTCCGCAGGTGTTGGAACGGGACATGAGCAAAGGTGATGGAGTGTTTGAAACGCAGTTGCCCACGGCGGGGCCAAAAGGATCTTGACTGTCTGGATGCGCACTGATGCCCACTGTGGGATAAGATTCCAGACTGTGGATATGTCATTGATTTTCTGGCCCAGGAAGGGGACCATTTCTATTGGTGTTCAGCCCACCTGCAGCTTGAGCAAGAATTGAACTGCATACAACAGTTGGACACGTCTAGTATGTTTCTTTCCTTGTTCTAGTTGTGATGTGATACATTGGAATATAGTAACACACAAGCCGAACGTGAGCACGTGGGCCAGAAAAGAGCTGAAGTTAGGGACTTTTCCTGCAGTTGAGCTATGGGTGCCTCCTGGGACAGAGTTCCTTGGAGTTGTGTGCGTTGCTGGCAACTGTTTGTGTTTGGCAGGAGGCTATTTCTCCTGCAACTGTGAGGTGTGATGTGCTTACAAATCCCTCACTTGGTGTTGGCAGTATGTCTGACAAAATTAACTACATTTTTGTGGAGAACGAAGATTGCAGTCCAACCATAAACTGCAGTTTCACAATTGAATTTGAAACATCCATTGCCCCAAGGTCCCTAAGTGATCTGATAACTCGAAACTGATGTGGCCCCAGATCGTTGACAGTGCCAGGTTGTCCACAACATTTGCACTGATACAGGAAGTACATCAGTGCTATTGTACCATACCTAATCGTTGTGTCATATAGAGCAGCACAACTGTACTGTGCGTGTGTGCTGCTTTCAGGATTCCTGGACGAGCGCAAGATCGTGTGCTTGGTGGTGGATGAATGTCATCGCAGCATTGGCAACTATGCAACAGTGAAAGCGGTGGACATGATGAAAAAAGAAAATGTCAAATTCCGTGTTGTTGGCCTCACCGCCACACCTGGCAGGAGTCAACAGGTTGTGCAGGTGGGTGTTCAGCAGCACACAATTTCAGGTGTCGAACGATCGCTTTTGTGCCTGAGGAAATGCTGCTTCCTATTTACACTGTCACCCATACGATGCAATATAATAGTGTAAAAGAGTAACGTAGATCGTACACTTTGGGGACGCACAGCATTCAAGTTGTATTCCTTGCCAATCCATGGACGTGTGCTGAATAACTTTCTTGCCATCATCAGCTCGACTTGAGCACCTGTGGAAGTGCTAGGACTGCAGCATTTAGTTGCATATCCTGGCCAAGACTATGACAATGACTTTAAAGAATGCTTGGAAACATACTGCTTGTACAGTGTATGCCTAACGGCATTGCATGCACATCGTCCAATGGTAATGGCATTTGCATCTGCTGGACTTTTCAACTTGGGAATGTTGGTGGGATCATTGGAACTTGGGACAGTGGAAGGCATGGCGATCAAGATAAGAATTGCGTGGAAATGATTGACAGTTCCAAATTCCTGTAACAATGATGGTGAAAGACTTGGCTGCAGCATGTTTGCACCCTGCAAGAAACACCACCAATGTGTTGATCCCCTGTGTATTTATAACACACTGGAAACTCAGGGTGCCCCACCCCAATCTTGGCACCTGTTGACAGAAGTACTCCTACAAACAGCTCTGGAATCAGGCAGTGCATATCTTCAACAGCTGGTGGGAAGACTGCAAGCGAGGTCTCTCAGACAGAATGTTGAAGCATGGCATTCCTTGCCTTCCTTTAGGCAATGCTGGCTATCGGAAAACACCATTCACATCTTTTGCCCCTTGGGATCCTTTTGTCCCCAGGCCCCCTGCAGTGCGGAAAGCAGGCAAGGGATATCGTGCCCACCTGTGCTGCTTGCAGCCAAGAAACAGAAGGCATGGCCAATCGTGATGTTTGAAACTGTGCTCAAAGGGCCCAATCAAACACTAGTCAGCTGCTGCGTTTGTCTTCTTCTGTGCCGTTCCAGGACTTTGCTTTTTCAGACATTGCAGGTAGTTGCAGTTGAACAATTGAATATGGGCTCAAAGGCAAGGAGACTGTGTGCATGTGCTAACTGGGTACAGATACCCTGCTGCAGGAAGTCATGGAAAACCTCTTGATCAACCGTGTGGAGTTTCGGAGTGATGAGGATGCAGAAGTGGTGCTGTACACACACGAGCGCACTGTGGATGTGCTTACAGTGAAACCAAACACCCACCTAGCCGAGTGCTACGACCTTTTGCACCAGGTCATGAGGCAGGTCATCAGACCGCTGATAGATGCGAAGGTGGGCAAGGAAAATTGCGATGACTGGTACGATGGAGGACAAGCAAAGGATCTGGGCTCCCAGCGATGATCAGACAATTGCAGCTCTTTCCACATTGGAAGGACATTGAGAAATCGCTGAGTATTGGTTAAATCTAGCAAATTTCGTGCTGCATTGCCCTTGGTTGATGTTTCCTGATGCGGAAATGCTGTGCTACAAGCATTGCAACTGCCAGGATAGCCTTCTGCAGGAAGCAGCTGCCAGGGGCCTGCATTGCTCAAGGGCATTTAGATCCACAATTCTATTGAATAAACTATTCTGAAATATAATATTTTGACATAGATCGTTCAATGAGTTAAGAGCACTTGCATTGCTGGCCACTAAAGGAACATGTCTTCCAACAAGACGGAATCGGTGCCCATCATGATGTCGACTTGGTTTTGCTCCATGGTCACTGCCTTTCGTTGAGTTAAAGCTGCAAACAGCCTGTATTCAAGGGCTGGCCGTCGAAATCAAAGCTGATGTGCTACATGCTGACAACTTGTCTGTGTGGGGCTCCCCAGGTATATTTTAACTTTGACGTTGAGCGCATCTCTCGCTTCAGTCTTGTCAATGCCCAGAAGCGATTTAGAGAGGTTGGGAAGCGGCGATCGGACCTGCCAAGGATCTTGCTGCTGTTCTCACAGGTACATGGTAGATTGACTGGGCTGGCATTTGCTGTCATGGTTCATTCAATGGGCTAGTCTTTGGTGTCATGGTTCAATCTATGGGCGACAGACTGTGGGGATGCTGCGAACCATACTTCGAGGTATGTGCTAATAAATGCAGGTTGTTTGCAGTAATGATTCTGTATTGGGAATGTGGTGGGCTCAATGGCAACTTGGATAGCATTTGTCCAGAGGTCAGTTCAAATGCCTTTGCCAGTCCCATGAAGAGTTCCAGTCCTATTTGTGGGGTGAGCTGCTATAGGAAACTTGGAATACTCGTTGTACACTGGAGCTCACCTTCTAAACGAAACTGTGTTGTGCCCTTTTCGCTTGGTAACACTGTGCAATAGGCAACATTGTGCACTCAGGCTGCATGCAACAAACCCAGTTTTCTCCGAGAATTGCATTAATATTCATACTCATTGACTCAATTCATCTAGTTGGCTTTGGTGCTGTGGTGGATTGAGCCATTGCACAAAGTGGCTTGTTGAATGTTTTGCATGCTATGTGTTTTGATTCTTTGTGCCTTGTGGGCGACATGACCAGGTCGGAATCTCTGGCTTGAATGGTCCCAAAAGAAGCACCCACCACCGCATTCAAGTTTTAAGGGCTCTGTCTTGTAGTGCAGTCTCGACAAACTATTAATTCATGCACTCAGCAGTGGCGGCCAAATTGGACAGCAGCATCCTGAGCAACCTGAGCTGTGCACACAGGCAATGTTCCTTGCAGCTGTGCATGAGGCACTGGACAACAGTGGGATCCGTGTTGCAAACGAGTTCATGGCTTCCCAGCTCCAGGGTGGCCGGCTGCATGACCTGCGATCCGATGGCGTCTTTGCCCAGGTGGGAGAATGAAGCCCTGTTCATTTCTTTTCCCTGCAATCCTTGCTATCCTTTTGGGGTATACGTCGCCTTGTGCTATCTTGTGACGTTGTGCAAGGCCCAAATCTCCCTTGTTTGGACGTGAATTCCTGAAGTTTATGTAATTTTCACAAATGGGAGACAACAAAATGTCCCAAACAATGCCTAACAGTTGAACGGACAGTGATTTGTTCAGACATGTTCGGGTATTGATGATTTTCGCTGCAAATATCTCTTATAAATATGCGAACATGTGTCGATGCGAATGGTATCATCTGCTCGTGTTGGACTTGCAAACGGTGTGGCGGGGCTGTTATGTCACCATCTGCTAGTTGCTGACTCATACTACCAATGTCTCTCAGTCTGTTCACAACCTTGTTCTGTTGTCACGGTTTTGTGAGATCTGCTCATTGGCTCAATATTTATTCCAGCAGATTCGTGTTCCTTGGTTGATTTGTGCATCTGCATTGTCCAAATGAATGTATCTGCTCAACTGGGCCCCGGGACAACCTATGTCGTGGTGAAACAGAATGGGCTTCTTGCAGCATATTTTAACTACTGGTTGTATCTGGTTGTGAGTAAACCCTGCTGCCAAGGTCAAGAGCCGCAGAGATACGATACTGCAGCCATAAAATATGTGTATAGTCCCCAGGTCCAGAAAGCACATGCAGTTGATGCCAACCAGCGAAATCAGTCATCCCTAAACCTTTTAACTTGACTTACCAACAAGCAGATATGTGCAGCGGCATGTGCTGTGTGTGTGATTCATTATGATGGTTTCAATTGTGACATGACAAAAGGGAACATGCCCCCTGCTTGGACATGGAGCTGCAGGAGATCACATTTTAGACATTGTGCATGTGGACTTATGCCTGACAACTCCTTGAAGACACAGAGGTAGTAATCTGGCTCTCATCAACAAAAGCGGAAGTCACAGCCAAAAGGAATGAAAATCAAAACATGATGCGTGCCACCTCTACCTCCCCATACCTCTAACGGCTGCTGATTTATTCTGTTCAATTCAAAGGATTCACTTTGCCCATTGCCTGTTCATTCATGACTTGGGGAGCTGCCAAGATCTTTGCTTGCCTGTGTTATAAGTTCCTGGATAGGATTAACTGGATGGTGGAGCGCAACATGGAGCATCCCAAAATGGCTGTGCTGTGCGAAGTGCTGCTGGCCCACTTTGCAAGTGGTGGTGGCAGCCGTGTCATCGTGTTTACAAACCTCAGAGAGACCGTTGGTGACATTGTACAGTTGCTGAGAAGACACGAGGACACTATCACAGCAAAGTAAGGGAGATTGAGGTGCCTTTGGCTTTCCACCAACTTGACAAATTTATGAGTAATCACCTTCAACTCATAAAGCAATATGCAATGAACCCGCTGACATAGCCTAATACTGTTGATGGGCAACGAGGAGTTGCGTACTGTGAGCCAAATCAGTGTGCCTTTCAAGGCCTGCTTGGAGCACTCAGAACATCCAAATTGTCCCCTTTGAGTAACCTTTTCGTACTTTGCTTTGAAAAGAGGTGGATTGGAGCAGCACTGTTCTTGACATACTCATCCCTGTCATGCCTGCCTGGCCTCCAGTTGCTCTCTGTCTATTTTGTAGTCCTGTGGCCTTGTCCAAACCCTGCTCAAAGATGACAGGATGTTGCAGAATGACAGAATGAGCAATTCGTTCCCAGAACGTCTGTGGCACCAAAGAGATCTGCTGTTGGCAACACTGGATGGTCCTTTCACTCTTTGGCATGTTTTCATGTTGCAGTCTGACCTGTGTACTTGACATTCTCCATATGACACGAGTCTCATGGAAAAGTCTGTTTCATCTTGTGTGTTCTTTTGAAGAAAGTGTCACTTTAAATTTGTTGCACATGAGAGATTCTCTTTTCTGTTGAAAACTTTGTCATCTTCGTCAATTCCTCTGAAGCCTTGTGTTGTTCAATTGTTCTACCCATTTGTGCTTCACTGACAACACCACAGAATGTTCATTGGGCAGTCGGGTGGGCCGCAAAAATCTACTGTGGGGATGAAACAAAGCGAACAAAAGCGTGTGCTCCAAGATTTTCGCGAAGGCAAATTCAACACGCTGGTGGCAACTTGCATTGGAGAAGAAGGGTTGGACATTCCTGAGGTGCGCTGTGCTGGGTGACACAGCCTGCATTGACTGCTGCCACACTTTGATTGTCCTGTGAATCTCGTTCAAGTATTGGTCTATTATTGAACTGTGGGATGCTTGCAGTGTGCATATTCGAGCAGTCGTAGGTAGCGAATACAGGTCCTCTGTTTCTGAGCATTTTCAAACGTTTTTTACCTCACGTGCAGAAAATCCTTAAAACCAGGTACAGTTAGGGGCCCGGTTTAGCTCCCCCTGGTGGCAACGTGGCTGAGGGTTCGTTAAACCTGGACGGGTGGCTACGCTCCCCCAGTACTATAAGTGCTGCAGCAGTACTTAACGGAGTTTAGCAGTAGTCTAAGTCCCGCAAGGAATCCCGTGCGCTTCCCCAAACACCGCTAGATGTGCCCACCAGTGCGTGGTTCGATTCTCTTTATCCTATATGCTGGTGTAAAGGGTACCCTAGCCGCCGGTGTAGGGAGTAACCCAAGCTGTTGGTGTAAGGGGTACCATGGGCTCCGGTGTAGGGGGTACTCTGGCCGCCGGTGTAGGGGGTACCTTGGCCTCCAGTGTATGTGTACCTTGGGCGCCGGTGTGGGGGGTACCCTAGCTGCCGGGATAAGGGTACCCTGGCTGCTGGGATAAGGGGTACCCTGGCCGCTGGCGTAGGGGGTACGCCACACCCGGCCGATCGGACCCATACTGGCTTTTGGTGCCAGCGACTTAGTCGCAGCGCCGAAGTCGAGGGCGCTGGGGCCTGTCGCAGTGAAGTAAAGTACCGCGGAATGGTGACAAGCCGTTCAGGGGGTGGCTAAACCTAGACAGGTCACTAAACAGGGATCGGTAAAATGCCCCCCCCCCCCTTCTCGCCCTGCTGTACTGCAGTATATTTACCCTTCCGCATAGTAACGTAACGCTTGGCCTTTTCTTGCGGAGAAATTAATCCAAAAAATACAGCTCTTTTATTATGGCTTTTGCAGAGAAACGTAAAAGAATTGAAAATAACGCTCTGAAGAAAATGCGGAGCAAAATGCGTAATGGTCAAATTTGGGATGTACAAGGGTTGAATACACTACAGTACAGAAACCCCAACACTACATTCGATCATCAGCCAATCTTCTCGTTTTCACTTTACTTTTGTTGCAGGCTGACAATGGCTGCTGATAGTGGTGGTGAGGCTCAGGTTGTGAACACATTGACGACCTGTCAGAACAGGATGGAGAAATAACACCATCTTTTGTACAACTCCACACAGACATTCACAGTATGGCAAAAGGTCCCACCATTCTGGGTTCAGGAGAAGGTGCCCACTGTACGGGATGATTTCCTTTCATGTAATGGCGGAATCTCCCTGTAAGCTGGTCACAATAACCACAAGCCACACACGTCAGTCCATGAAATGGAATTAGGACATGTGTGAAAATGTCGACTTGTGTGTGATTGCAGCAGCACACATGGTGGAGTTTTGTTGTGAGCATTGAAGTTCAGCATGCTCAGGCACCTGTGAGCAGTTGATCCATTGTGGCAGGCTTCATGGCAACCTGAATTCTGTGTGTCCACAAAACAGCAATCCAGTTGCCTGCCAATGGAAGTCAGAAACTGGGGACTATGTGCCGACATGTTACAAGTTATGCAGGCAATTGCATTCCAGCGTTTTAGGGTAGCAAGGCAATACAGCAGATATTCAACGTAGGGGAATGGGCTGGGTCTTAAGCAACTCAGGCAGCACTTGCTCAGAGAACCCAACAGTGTGGACATTCACTGCAATGGAAGGCACCTGCAGATGTGGCTGTGTTTCTGTAGGTGGGTTTGATTGTTTGCTTTGATGGCGCTGCTTCCCCAATTCGGGACATCCAGCGCATGGGCCGCACTGGGCGCCATGACAATGGCCGGGTTGTTTACCTCCTGGCTGAAGGCAAGGACAAGGACAAATTTGAGCTCAATCGCCAGGTAACCATTGTCCCACATCCCAAATCACTGAAACCTGCTTGTCACACGTGCAAGGATAGCATTGTGTAGATTCATGAATTATGCAAATTTTGATTGTTGGATGCATTTTGTGAAGTGCATCAAAAGCAGAATCAACTTGACAACAAGCTGGTTTCTGCAGCAGTTTGTAACATTCTTCAGAGTTCTGTCGTATTCTGCAGAAATCCCCATTGACTGCATTTGCCCAACACAACAAAGTGCTCCTCTCACCTATAATCCATGTTGGGCTTGTGATCCAACAGTCGATTTGTTTGCATTGCATCTCAGTATGGTGCAGCAAGGCTGCTGTATACAAGTGGCCCCACACGCATTGTTGCCAGTTTTCTGCAGAGTTTTGCAAGTGCTGGTTTCCTGCCTCTTGATCCTGTTTCCCACCGGGACTGATGGCAAAGCCAGTGATGAGTTTGAACAATGTTCCTTTCTGGCCTTGCTCATGCTTCAATGGCATGCCAGCAGTGTGCATTTTGGTCTCAGCTGCTCTGATCACGTTGGTCATATACAACAGCTCACAGTTGTTATGTCATGAATGCGATCATGGAACACTTTGTAGCCTTGGGCAATTTGTTCTAAACACAGCATGCTGGTGGGGAATACGATCTCCAGATACTTCTGTTGCAGGTTTGCTTCAGTTGACCATTGAATGTTTGAGTCAATTAATGAATGAGCATATCCTTAAAAAAGAGCAACGTGGAAGTACAAACCCTTGGTCATGTCATGTGTCTACTGAACTCCAATTGTGAGACGGACTGAGGCTTGTAACAACCTGCACATGACCTCACAATGCTTTGCAGGCAAACCTTAACCTCCACGTCGTCAGAGCATGCAAGCCCACAGGCTCACTAGTAGCACGAACACACTGTGCAACTCACCATGGAATTTGCCACATGATTTTGATTTGCACGCGGCCAGGAGACAAGGAGGATTCAGGCGCTACTGAGGAATGCAGATGAGTACTTTCGGCTGTTTGACAGGAATCCGCGCATGGTTCCCCACGAATTCAACCCACAGATGCTCATGGTGGACATGGAGACGAGCACCATCGAGGTGAAGTAAGAGGCCCATTGTGACACCGATATGCTGGTTGTCGCTTCAAAATTGGTGGCTATTGCAGTTGGTTATTGATGGTAATGTATGATCCTAAGTCTGTGGTATCCATTTGTCCAGAAAAATGCATGATACCTGCACCTTGCTGCCCTTGGTGTAGAAAGTTTTCATGGATGTGGCAACAGAGCATGCCAATTACAATGGTCCTGGACTTCTGGCTTTTAGGACATACGAGCAGGAGCCAAGGGGCGCAAGAGGGGAGCACGTCGATCAAAGCCTGCCGACAAGTCAGGAAAAGCTGCAAGGGGATTGACAGGTATGGTTTTGAGCCTGTATAGAGGACACATTGTGCATTGTTTCTTCTGTTTGGCTGTGCAGCTTCGTGCTGAGCATGACAGCTATTGTGTACACACCATATAATTGTACAAAGGACTTTGGATAGTTGTGAACAACTTTGGTGCTCAGAATCTTTTGAATGTTCATGATGCTGCGGCGCAATTCGGGCAACATATACCTGGTCAGATTGGTTCAAAAGCTCGGTGCATTGAAGCTGGGCACAATGGTACCTCCCAATGGTAGCAAGATAAGGCACATCAGAGCCACATCAAAACTATATGTGGAGGAGTGCATGTTGCTTTGTGCCTTTACGCTAGCCACACACAGCATTCATTGTGAAGACAGACAGCCTGGTGAGGGTATTGTGGTATGTGCCTCTTAGAACAAGTCTTTCTCCCCTTTCCATATTCTCTCTGCATCTGAAAGAGTTAAACTGAACTTTCAGTCTCTATGTTCTGTATGTGGCAACAATATTACAAAGTGCATGCTGCGTGCTGGGATTATCAGTGTATGACAAACAAAGCACTAGGTGTGTAACCCTGGTAGGTTTTTGTCAGATTTTACCTTTAGTGCCATGTTGCAAAGCAGGAGGGCAACACTCAACTGCATGCTGGAAATGCAATGGAATAGGATCTTTTGTGGACGACCATGAGACAGGGTCCTCCTTGGTTGCGTCCAGGCACAAGTCAACCACTCTTTGCACAATCTTGTCCCCAAGGCGCAGATACACTTTTGTGCATATGTGGAATGAGGGTAATGTAAAAGCTGGGACCTGTCTCATGAACGTCAGAAATGCCTGCCATGGCCTTCAATGGCAAACCTTTGCCTGGCCATTTCAAGTGCAGCCAAAGGAACTAAACCGAGAAGGCCGCAGATAGTGAATGAAACCGATCCTTCGTGGGGGAAGTTCACTGCAGATGCTTGCCTTGTTCAGGTCAGGCAAGCAGATTGTGTGCCCCCAGTGCGAGACGCCTTCAGAGCCACTTGCCAAATCAACCCAGGAACCGTACGGGTGGGAGCTGTACTGCAGCTGTTGCTGAGGCAACCAACCGATTGCATTCATCGGATGAGGAGGACTTTGTGGGTCCAAAAGATGGAAATGAGACTGTGGTGGATGGCCATGACCAAGGTGACCTCTCTGCTATTCCGGAAGTTGCAGGCCCCCATCTCGTGGGCACTGACACCAAAGGTTGCCATGGGAGAAAGGATTCCATCGTTGCTGGCAGGATTCTATGGAAATTTTGCACCAGATGCCCTTGACTGTAAACTAGAGCGCCATAACATTTACTCCAAATTCCTTGCAGAGTGGTACAGACACTACCATAGACAGGCAAGTAAGCTGTGCCTTTGAATGGTATCCAGGTGCCAATCACCTGCTGCATGGGATCTGGTGTGCTTCGCCACTTGCCATGCTCAAGCACCAAATACCAAGTTTTCAGTTTAGGATGCGATGCATATTTTTGTGCAGCCAGAGCTAGTAATGCACTCTTTCTGATGGCAATGGGTGCCATGTGCACAGGCTGCGATTGGTGCGTTGAATGCCCTAGGGTGGAAATATGTGTTGAAGGTGTGAGTAAAACCCTTTGACAAGGGCACATAATGTCCCTATGCACAGAACACACAAGCTTGGAATGTTGTTTGCAGTTATTCCTCATGCACTTCTGCCTCTATTGTGTGGAGTGGGAACAGAAACTGGTGCTTTAAACAGCACTGAACATTGCATTTTTGCGGGTGCAAGAGCTCTGATTTTCACGTCGCAATGGGTGTATGCAGTGCTGTCATATGCAGCCTTTTTACCCCCCCAACATGTTGCAGGTCCTAGGGAAGCTGAAGTTCAAGAACCTGCACAGATCGCAAATCAGTTGCAGAGCGAACAGGGCATTGCGTACAACTCCCCAGTCCAGGTCCGCGAGGCAGGTTGGCTGTGGAAGCATGGATTTGCAGCATTGCCTGCCTGGAGGGCGCAGCGGGCTGGTGCATCGAGGACAGTAACAGAAAGAAACCCCAACGAAACCAAGGTGTCTGAAACCAGAGATCGAATGGATAATGGTGGCGTGCTGACCACCAATCGTGAACTTCCAAGTGAAGTTGATGCGACACAGAAGGCCTGTGCAGACAAAAATGCACAAAAGGCTGCATGGTGTTCGAATGGCGATGTGAATGATATGGGCAGGCCAACAGCTCCCTATCCATTGAAGGAAAGAACACTGCCAGGAACAGATTGGGTACTTCACACCGCTTCAGCTTCAGTGCTCAGGTGAGGAAGAAAGCAGGCACCCCACCCACAAGTTTGGGAGCCGAACTCTTAAATTTCAAAATAATCCACTATTTTGAAGGTTTTCACATTCCCGCATTGTGTTGTAATGCAGCATCCCGTGAACCGCTGCTGACATGGGCAGTTCTATCTGCAGGTGGGATGGCACCAGTGAGCTGCAGGTTGCACCTCCTCCGCTTAGTGCTCTTTCCCTTCTTGCCTCCCTTGATGGGTTGCCAGGGGTTGCAACATCACAGCCCCACAATGGAAGGAGAGAAGTTGAGTGCGTAGAAACGACCCCAGGCACACACGGCGCAAGGTTTAATCCGGCACATATGGGTGGCAGGTTGCAGTGCCTTTCTGCAACAGGGGCTGAGAGCGATTCAAGAGCTGCAGAACACAGGGCAAGGGAGGAACTGACGTCCTGCCTTCATACAGGTGGGAATTGTGGCTGGAGATTGATAGAATGTGTGAACGATGATGTACCAGCAATTGTTGACTCGTCTCCAACCCATTGTTTTCAATAGCTGCCAAGGCCAGTCTCTTCAAATCGGATGATGATGATGGTGTGCACAGATGGAGGATGCGCAACGGACAGAATGGAGGGAGTGGAAGAAGTGTGAATGAATTCCTGAAACAGTCTGTGTCCTTTTGTGCACCTGGGAATCATTGATGCTTTTTCCTGGCAAGCTTGCATTCTTGAGGGGAAAAGGACGCCATACATTGGGCCCAACTCTCCTCAGTCGTCTCAGCAGAGTATCCTGTGTGGCTGCTTTCAGGAGGTACTGCTGATAATTGCATTGAAAAGGAGGAAACATGGACTCGCTCCAAAGAGGCAGCCTTGCCTATGGACCCCATTCCTATGGACTTCAGTTCGCCCAATGTCGTCAATCTTGTATCTGGGACACCCAGTACCGGCTGTTCACATGGGGTTGTGTCAGCTGCAGTCCCAGCATGTGATGCAGCACGAGGACAAGGCACTGTACACAGACAAGAGGAATGTCGACTGGATGCAGCTGACAGTAGTGATGTGGCCCGTAGGGCTGCAGTACAGTGCATTGAACAGTACTGTTGTCATGACAGCGATCCCGCAGGGCAGGATGTGGGGAGTGTGCGAAATTCAATAGCTGTAAGGGGGCCAGACAAGGAGACCAACTGGCAGGTGGAGTGCTTGAGTGGAATAGAGGAAAGTAAATGTAGTCAAGAAGCAGCCTTGGGAGATGGGAAGGGCGGAAATTGTGGTGGAGAGGATGGACGAGCAGGTGCCCTGTGTGGAGACCGGACATGCAGACAGGCTGAGTACAGGCTTCACAATGACTGCATGGCAGCGGCACGCAGCATGTCTAGCCATCCACCACCACAACAATCGGGGGCAGATTTGGTGGCAGGTGCAGCTTCAACGAAAATTGCAGGAGAGCTGCCATCGAAGGACAGCCTGCAGTTCGGGCAAGATGACAAGCATCATTTACGTTCTAGAGTACCTGATGGAAACCTGAATAATGGCAATGTGGAGAGCGTTTGTCCTGCAGTGCTCCCAGCACATCATCAGCAAAACGCCCCCAGGCCAGCACATACTCCCAATGTGCCAGAAGATGGCCATCAGAGGCCATTGATCACAGCACCAGTGTCGCCCACGAGTGGTGTGAAAGGCCCCCAGCATGATGCAGACGGCGATGGATACCACATGGCGTATGACGATCCCTTTGCTGCTGCAGACATGGATCTGTGGCCTGAAGATGACTGGAATCAATGCCCAATGTCACCCCAGGAGCCAGCCAAGTGCAACAGTGCAAACACCACTGGCCCCATCTCCCAAAAGTCGAAGGCAGGCCCCCACCAAGACAATCATTCGCAAGGATGCCAAGAGATCTCATTGTTGACACCAGAGAAGAGTCCACGCACTGTTCTTGGCCCAGTCTCAGGGAATTTGTGCCCCCAGTTCAGCAACAAGTTCAGCCCAACTGTCGATGGGGAACTGGTGAAGACTGGTTCAGAAAATGCTGGATGGACACCTGCGGCATTCACAACGTGTGCTGCTAAGACCCCAGTTGCAATGAGCAGTGAATTGGTTGTGAAACGCAAACGCCGATCAACAGGTGGGTTTCAGAATCCCTGCTGGCCAGTGGAGAGGCAGCTAGGACTCTTGTTACAAGCAGCTGATAATTGTGAGTTGCGAGCAAGCGTGAGGGCAGAGACATTTCTTGTTGGACGGATGTCCTTGGTCGCAGAAATTGAACTTTTTTGGCTCAAAGTGCCAGGCTTGACTTGTGCTGCAGTTTACACTGGAGACTGCAGCCAATACACGTCACCAAAGGACTGTGTTATACATTTCTAGTAGGATTTTTTCAACCTGGGTTTTGAGGCTGAGGCCGCATTTTTATCCTGGTGATAGGGCAGATCAGCACATGTCAGAATATCTCTTTGTGTATCAACACATGTCTTATTTCACTGCTCCAACTGTGACGCAGTTGTGTTGGAGGACACTCCCTCCGTCGCACACCCAAATTGCACGTATCATAGCGAATGGAGTCCCTCACCAGCAGCCTGGACTTCCTGCAATCAGCACGACAAGCGGAAGGTTCTGCGCTTGGGCAGAAATCGTGGTGCAGATCTGCAACACCAGATGGGAGGGAGCCACAGTGAAAGGGGAGAAGTTCCTGCCAGAGGAGCAATGTTGGACCGAGCAGACAAAGCAAGGTGCCAAAGATGAGATCTGCACTGTTGTCTTCTTGAATGATGCAGCAACACACAATTGTGTTGCTGTTTGCATAAGCGCCAAGCAATGTCACATTTCAAACACTGTGCCACGTTGTACAATGTGTCAGCATCAGGTCACCATCACCTTCATGAACGTTGAAAGCAATTCACAACGCTGCACTAGGGTATGTCTGGAATCGGACGCAGAGGTATTGAACAATGCTTATGCAACAGTGTCTTTACTCACCGTGTTACTGACATGCCATTTTGTCCTATTGTGTCATCCGCTCCAAAGTAATATACACAATTGCTGAGCTGGTTCCACAAGATTGTTGTGGTCTCAGGGAGCTTTTGCCAAGTCACAGTCCCTTTTTGGTTTCAAGGGATTGCATTACCGCTCATACATTGAACTTGCACAATTCAAATTTTTTGACAAGAGCCATGTGTCCACATACACCTGGATGATTGAAATTTTAAACTGCACCACAACTGCCATTGTTCTATGCTTTCGATGCTACAGTGGTTACATCGCATTCCTAATTGCTAGCTGTGAGTTGCCTGTTGCACCAAGAAACAATACTTTTGCAACAAAAGATAGCTTTAGAATAGTTTTACACATTGGCATTTAATAGCCTCCTCTATGTTTCACTCATCCCTATTTCTATTGTCAAATGTGTTGTGTTTTCAATTCTGCATCGTTGTGGTGGCGATCTCCTTGAGTTTGTCCACATTTCTTTGGTGCACTGCACTCACGTTGAGATGCCAACAATCCCACCTGGAGAGAACTGAACACAATGGTACTTGCAAAACAGTCGACCATACCAATAAAAGGGAACCCAGTTTTGGTCAGCAAATTAAGTTCCTTGAATGCTTGCACGAATTGATTTCTACACTTCTTGTCCAGGCAGACAACCAAGTTTCCTTTGGTGACGACAAAGGTTGTGATGTCCATAGCAATGTGGAATAGGAAACCAGCAGCACAGATCAGTATTGCACATTTCTGTGGATGTGGCACTGCGCTCAGCATGTGTAGCGGTAGATGTCCTGCACTCATCCAGACAAGGCATTGCCGTGGCCTCTGTTGTTTCCTGGGTTGCGTCATTTTTGGTGCAAAACTGTTGTCTCAGCCCTGTGCAGTACAGACTCCATTCTTTGCATGTATGCTGTCTACCAATCTCACCTGGGACGCCCAAAACACCTGGCCCCATGAATGCCAATCGAAAGCCTTGTGTACATCAGAATGCCATCAGACAGGACTGCAATTTGAAGGGCAAATGCAAGCCCGAAGAACACAAAACAATGCCAAAAAAGGGCTGCACCTTTTTTTTGTCACACGAACCACCTGCACAGTAACTGCTTTTCTACTGCTGAACTGGCACCATGACAGTGTAGCCTACATCAATCATAGTATGAAGGTATATTAGGTGAATGTGCAACACATAACTTGTTCTTGTTGAAGTTGTTGCCTAGTGAATGTTTGTGCTGAGTCATTCAGGATGAAGAAAGCACTCATCTACATCGATGACGAAGCAGAGCGTTCTGGTGAGAGCAGCTCGTGTGATGGAGACGGTTCAGAGCAAGACGGTGGATCTGGGGCTTCAGACTTTATTGATGATGCAACTGAGCCAGGGACTGCGTTGAGGTCGGTTGCTAGCTACCCACACCATGGAGAGCACACGAATCTAGGCACAATGTGTAGCCGAAACTTTGCAGCCTGTAGCATCCTGTACATGGCTTGCCCAAGGCGAGTCTCCAGGCTTGTATTAAATAGACAGATCATCCTGCCAAGCAACACATGCCTGGAATGTCCAGGAAACAGTTCTGCAATCGAAAGTGTCGCATTCATGCACCATTGGCTATTGTTTTGTACCTAGCTTCTGAGAATACGTACCTGAGTGCTCACCTCAGCACTTTCCAGACAGTTGCGCTCAGGAAAACTCAAAGGGCATTGAGATTCTGGGGCACAGACGTGGGCTCTGACACTGGAGAATGGTTTTGCAGTGCAGGAAATTGGCTTTGGACACATTCTGCGCTATATTGAACAACAAGAGCAGCAGCCCTATTGTAATATGCGATGTGGTGACTTTTGGAATCGCAGAAGGAACAGCAGCCATGGTAGTGACGGCTATGATGTGTGGCTGGTGTTGCGTTTGCTGTGAAACAGCTTTTCTCAACTGTCAGTGCTGCGCAGCGTGATATCTCTATTCCTGTCTAGTGCAACTGCAAACAACACCACCCCATCCTCTGTAGGGGGCTACAATGTTTCCGTCTAAGGTGATTTGACTGGGTGGCCAGGTCTGCAGAGGATCTGATAGCGATGTATCAGAGGTCACTCCTTTCTGTAACACCTGTTCCGATGAAGCTACTGCCAAGGAGGCTCGTTCTGGACACGCCAGGGGCTACGCAGAATGAGGATCACAGTGACTATGGTGGATCTTTCATCTCTGATGGTGAGCCAGACTCCACAGACCAGGGGCGATGGCCAGGTTTTTGGCACCTGTCTTCAATCTTTCTTCAAATGCTATTTGTTGCTTTTGGTATGACAGCGATTTGGGCTTGGATTCAATATGTTGGTGCTTTTCTGTGTGCTTACTTATTGGTGAGTTGTATTGGCTTTTGTTTCGATAGTATATATATATATATATATATATAGATATATATATATATATATATATATATATATATATATATATATATATATATATATATATATATATATATATATATATATATGGTTGATATTCTGTGTCATTCATATTGATTCAATAATCCAATATTGCTTCCTGATCAGGCAGCACGAAGCCGGCGGTGTCGGACACTGACGGCTCTTCAACAGAAGGAATGAGCGACGATGCGTGCGCTGCATGCGGAGGAGATGGCGAACTCATCATATGCGATGGCTGCTCGCTGGCATTCCACCTACTGTGTGTCGGTCTGACAACCGTTCCCCCAGGTAATTGTCGAAAATTTTCATTTTCCGTCGAAATTACAGCATCTTCTGCTAGTTTTGTGAGTTTTTAGACATATTTCAGATTGTGTCGTGCCCCATTTTTGTACAACACTAATTCTCAACAACGCAGAAAAATGCTCCACAAGTCTGCATGATCGTCTCAAGAGTTCCCAAAGTGGTTGCTCGTGCAGAAAATTTTACAGCCAGATTTGCCTGCCTTGACGGGCACAAAGCCCTTGCTCTGCAAGATAGTAGACAATGAGAGGAGCACAATGCCACTGCGATGATTGTTCTCCACTGTGGGAATCGAACTTGCAGAAACCCCCAAATATCCAGAAGGTAGACCAGCTTCAGGAAAGAGCGAAGCACATAAATACGCACCGCAAGACTCCTGTTGCTGAGGGCCCAGAAGTGCACCATCGTCACTGCTGCAGGCAGACATCTTCAACAAATGCTGGTGTTTGTGAAATTGGCCATCGCAAATTGATGACTGTGGCAATGTCAACAGCCTTGATATTGTCAGTTGGTTTCAGCACACATCTACTGGATACGTGTTTAGCACCTGGTTGGTGTCTATGACTCCTCAGGTGCGCCTGTCTGACACCAGTGTGCAAGTTACAGGTGACTGGTACTGTGCCAGTTGCGCTGCAGCGGAGTGAATAACTACACCTCCAATAGCAGAGAAGAATTTCAGGCGCCAATTCTGTCAAATTGGGGCAGCTGGAAGAGCACAGGCAGTTATATGTATGTTGTGCTGGCTAGAGTAGCAAAATAGCCGGACAGTGGTTTGGGGATGTCATGCTTCACGGTGTTCGAGAAATTTGTTGGTTTTGATGTGGGTTACAGTTGGGTTTTGGCAATCTGTATATTACAAAACTGTCAAGATGTCAGATCCAGACCTTGGGCAGTGCGATCTTCCGACCCTTTTGCGCATTGGAGGCTGAGGGCCCTTCATCATCATTCAGTCCCAATGCTCCCATCTTCACCTGCAAGGTGCAAGGCGAATCTGGACAACAGAACTTAGAACACCCAGAGTTTGATCAAAATCAGGCAGTTTGAACGCTCAAGTGTCTATCACACGTGACAGGCTAAGACAGCAGTAGGTCAGTATTCGTGGCATTCTGGGGTCCGGTACTTTTTCAGTGCGTGCAGGGGGGCAATCGATGTGCCACTCCAAGCTCGCCAGCGCGGCAGAGCGTGATCGGTGCGCCCAGTTACACACGTACAGCGTCGTTACATTACTTCACACAAACTGTTTACCGGTCGTCTGCCATATGCGTGCAAGGCGAGTGTTCCCATCGATCAACGAGCCGGTCGATCGCGCGGCGCCGCGACGGACCCGAACGCGATGGATCCGTCGCACTGGACCCACAGTACAGCGAGGCGCCTCGGTGCCGGCACCACACGCGTTGGAAGAGGCGTCCCAAGGCCACACTGCTCTGCACATGTGCCATGTCTTGCTTATAAAGGTCCTTATTCTCTCCTCACTTGCAAGAGGGGCTCGCGCGGCGTGGCGTCGTCGGTGCCCCCTGGCGCCCCCTTCCCCCACGTCCTTCGCGGCGCCCTTTTATTTCCCACGGACTTCGAGCACTGCCTCGGAGGTCTCGCGGCGCCCCGCAGCGCCATTGCGGGCCCCAGGGCCCCGGCCCCAGAATCCCCTCCTCCCTCGTCAACGACAAACGCCACATGACGGCCTGTGCGCATCTCCCCCCTTCATCTGACCCTCGGTGCAGTCGACGCTTATCTTCCTCCCGTCACAACAGACGACCCGGCTCCGGGGCATCCTTCCCGCGGCGCCCGTTCTCCCCCTCTGCCTCCTACGTCCCCAAGCGACGCGCCCCGTTGGCCGCCCGCAAGGCCGCCATCGACGCCGCCGCCAAGCACGCGCCCCCCACAGCGAGCCACCCCGCCCTCCGCCAAAACCCTCCGCGCGACCCCTCCCTCCCTCCATCCCCATCCCCCTCGACTTCCCCAGCCTCGGTCCTCGCGCCGCAGAGGAAGCTCGCGCGGTCGGCGTAGGATGCGCCCCGCGGCGACGTGAGCCCCGCCGAGTCATCCGCCCCCGTTTGCGCCGCCCGCTCCACCACCTCCGTCGTTTCGTTCTCCTTGTGCCCCTCGATTTCTCCCCCCACCATCGATTTCTTCTCCCGCATCTCCTCGATTTCTCCCCACACGGTCGATTTCCCCTCCCGCCTCCGCCCGATATCTCCCCCGCCCGTCGATTTCTCCCCCTGTGGCTCCTCGATTTCTCCTCCCCCCGTCGATCTCCTCTCCCGTGGCGCCTCCACGCTCGCTCGGCCGCCCCTCACGCCCCCGGGCAGCCGCGCCGCCCCCCAGTCCTTCCCCTCGCCGCGGCAGTCCACCGCGCGCGCCTCCGATCCGCCGCGGTCGTCGATCAACCCCCTTCCCGCGACGTCGTCCCCGCTCTCCGCCCCCTCGCCTCCCGATCCGCCATGTCGCGTCCCCACGCCTCCCATCCCCGCCTTCCCGCCCTCACGCCCCCCCTGCCCCCTATCATGGCCCTCGAGGTCCGCCGTGGCATCCGACCGCAGCGATCCCACGCTCAGGTCGCTGGGCGTCGACGTCCGGAACTCCGAAGGCGGGCCGGACGACAGCCCGTCCTCATCGCCGGCCCCCCGCCTGCCCCTCCGGCCCCCCAGCTGCTTGAACGATCGCCCCGCGCGCCGCGTCAGGCTGCTCATCGCGTCGAAGAAGCCGCCCGCGCCGCCCCGCCGGCCTTCGGATGCCATGGTCCGGCAGCGCGGCGGCCTGCCGGTGGGCCTCCGAGCGGGGCGCTCCGCCAGGCCGCCCGTGTGCCCCGCCAGGCCCTTTGTGTCGCCGTGGGCCGGGCGCGTTTCTGTCGAGCCTGGGGACAATCTGGCGGCCGGCCCGCATGTCGGGCTGCCCGAGGGCTGTACCATCAGGGAGTGACAGAGCGACGAAGGGGCGCAGCGGCCGAGGGGGTGTTGGTGGGATGGTGGAGGCTTGCAATGTACCTTCGGTGCCGGTGCCGTGGTCGGTTGGCTGATCGTTGGAATGGCGCCAATCGAAAGGCGGTTTTCCGTAATGCTCAAGCCTGCTGCGTGCGGTCTGTCGGCCTGGTCTCGAACACGAGCCGAACTCACTCTTGGGTTGCCGTGGTTGCAACGTCCAGCGCCACCAGCGCTGAAAAATTCTCTCTTCGCTGCACGGAATCATCATGATTTGATCATGGTTAGCTTTTTGCCAAAAAGCTAGTTGGGACACAGTGTGTCCCAACTAGCAGTCTTGCAAACAGGATTCTTTTGATGCATGATCACAAACATGCTTCCAAAAACTACTTTCTCCGTCCCATATTAATTGTCAGCTATTTGGAAAAGAAAGTCGTTATGAAAACGGCATCTGAATTACAAAAGAGACCAGAATCGGAAAGACCAATTTGCAAGGAGAAAGTTAGCCCTAACCACTGTAAGCAGCCCCCCAAATTGCCTTGACTTGATCCAGAACGTCTGCATTCAGACTTTGCATTTCCTACAGACCCCATGGTTGTGGACCGCTCCTGCGCATCCGGGTGGCAAAGCGGTGTCGTCGCCGCCGTCGTGGTGAATGGCGGTGTCTGACACATGGTATAACACATGTCAAACACACTCGACCATGCATGGATTCTCATAGTAGAAGACCGTCGTCACAGCGTTGACGATGCCCCACATCTTTGCCATGCTGCATTTCTGATGCACAGAAATGCACTGAGCTGTCATGTGCCGAAAAGGCCAAGGTCCAAGGCGGTCAAGCTTGGGCTTTGTGCAAGCTGCCGCTACAAGTATATGTGGCAACTTTGCTGGGACATTTTCCCTTAAATGACGGGTGAATCGAGGCTTTCGTCCCCAACTTAGCCCACAATCCATGGCAACCTAGCAGCTCTTTGTTTTTGCTTCAAGAGACAAAGCTTTATCCATCCAGAGCCCAATCCTTCAAGTGCCGAAACGAGTTCGATATGGCCATCCTTGCTCCAGTGGCCCTTTCACTAACTATCTGCCCTTCATCGAGGCCATAGCCACCGCCCTCCCTTGCGCCCCGTTGAGGGGTTTGTGAGGCCTCCCACAGTTGCCTTAATGGCGGCAATGGAAGTCAGAAAGTTTTGGCTCAGAAATCTGGGCCTGGAACGTAGTCGTACACGATTTTTGCACACAACCAACGAATTTCAGAACCGTATAGAACCCTTCAAAACCGTCGTTTCATTAGTGAGCTCTGACTCCAAGCCTGCAAGTCGGAGACGGATCGAGCTCGAGTTTTTCATGTTTTCGATCACGGCGAATCCTCTTGACGGGAATTCAGAACCAGTGTCCGTTCTGGCTCTTGGAACGTGCCGTTCCCGTTTCTTTCCAGGCCGTTCCACAGTCTTTTTCACCCATTCATTATGGGAGGAATTGCAACAGACCATGAAGAAGACACCCAGGAAATGCCAAATGGCCACCTTGCCTTCTTTGCTGAACGGGCAGTCATTCCTCCGATGCATGTTGCCATGGTCGGAAAACAGCTAGCGGCAGCGTTCTTGGGTTTCGGGCTGCATCCTGCGGGCAACGCCTGTGCATCCCCTCCCTCACTTGGGTAACCAAAAACAACACAGCATTTGCACGCAAATCGCGTACAAATCGTGGGGGTTTTGTAAGTGGGTCGCGTGCAAATATAGCCCATACAGTGGTGTTAACGCTGATGCACATTTTGACAAACAGCGGCTGTCTTTCTACACTGCTGATAGGTGTCCACCTTGTGCGGGCGTTTATTGAATGCACACAATTTGATGTGTTGTAAGGATGCACACGGAGCGCGCAAGATACTACATTGCAACCGGAATTGGAACCCAATTTTTGATGTTTCCCAGCATGGTGTGGCACAGTATTGCAAAAGCTTCTGTTTTGATGCATGATTGCAGACAATGTCTCTCAAGCAACTGGGCACAATTGATTTCTGGCTGTTAACACACTCGAGAAATGACAACCGTTTCATTTTAATGTGCAAATGACAATGTGCTAAACGGGTGAAGGGCCACAGCATGCGCCTACACTGCTGTCAGAGGCAGTACTAGTCGTGGCGGTTCCTTTCCTATAATGTGTTTGAGCCCCACAGAGAGTTTGGCAACTTTACATCAAGAGGGGGATTGCGTTACGTTTCAACGTGAATGCGCCCTTTCTGAATGTGGTGGAGATCAGCTTTGCGGCCGAGCGCCCTGCCGCACAACTATACACAATACGTGCACAACACATCCGATCCTCTGAAGCACGCCACTTCGCATATCCCGGTGTTCAGCACATAGTGTGGGAACTTTGAGGCAAGGCATCAGCGCAGATGTGTGGACACCGTGCTTCATGGGCAAAAATTTCCAGTGGAAGCAGCACAACAAAACATTGGCAATGGCTTAAGGACAAACGTCACAACGTTTCCATAAAACTGCTCCACATCACTCCCGCCTGCGATGTCTGCAACATCTAGTGCCGGGGAACAGCGCTTGTGAAATTGGCTCCCCTCACGGCCCCAACTTCCCCAATCGTTCCGTTCAATTTTCCCAACCACCGAATACAAATCTCCCAGAAATTCCAAATCCCCGGAACTCGCCAACACGCCCCCTGCCCCCTGTCAGGCCCGTGCTGACGTCTCCACCACAGCGACCGCCTGCGGCAGCTCCACCGCGTACTGCTGGTCCAGCCCGATGTAGCAATCAGACATCAGGAACAGCGTGACGGCGTCGCGCCTCCCGTCCGGCACATTGAACTCCAGCTTCACCGTCGCTGGCTGGCCATCCCGCAGGGACAGCCGCTTCAGTGCAAGCAGCTCCTGGCCGCCGGGGTCGCCCAGCACCAGCCACCAGCCCTCGTCCTTGACCTTTGGGTACCGTGGGGCGAAGGCTGGCGCCACACCCCGGCCGCGGCCCTGCAGCCTGCCGCACTGCAGGGTCACCTGCAGACTGCAGAGCTCGCCTTCATCCGTTTCGGGCGCCTCCGGTGTGCCGTTCTCGGTCCCGCTTCGGTCCTGGGGCGGGGCGGCCTGCGCCACTGTCGGGGCCTCCCACTTGACGGTGACCACAGGCAGGCGCCTGCAGACCTGCGACATGCACCGGAGTTGTTGCCATGTCAGAGTGGGTCGAGTCAGCGCGGCCTGGGGCGTGCGCCTGCATGACAACGGGAGCGCCCGCAGCAGGCAACTCGGGCGCATCGAACTGCCATGGCATAGTACGACGTTTTCCTGCTGATGATGTGCTCTCTGGTTAATAGTATTGAGATGAAGAAAAAGAAAGAGAAATGCCCAAGAAAAGAAATGGAAAATGACAAAAGGAGTTCCTCCGTGAGATATCTTCACAAAAGGGAGTCCTCTGCGGGGGTGCGAAAAACAAAAAGGGGCCCTCTGGTCCCCCCTGTAGATTAGACGCGTTGGCAGACCGGCGCCAGTCTTCAACTTGGGGCCTCCTACTGGGGGCGACCCCGCAGAGGAGACCCTATTGTCATTTGCACCCAGGCAGATGACCCCTCTTGTCAATTTTCCTCTTGGGGGTGCTGAGGGGGGACTTTGCGATGCCATTTAGACGACTACGCCTGGCCTTGGTGTATCATTTAAGTGCAATTGGTCTCCATGAACTACACAAATCATTATGAACAATGACCTGGTTGTGTTTGCCGCTTCCAAAAACATTAAAAAACTACGTTTGGTGCGAAATCTGAAGAGGTGACTTGCAACACTTCATTCTTTCCAAATCGTTAGCTTCTCTGGACATTTACTTCATTCTAAGCATTCCAAAAACATGCATGCTCACCTATATGACACCAAGGGGTGAGTATTGCATGAGCTTCTGAGCATGTGCTCATGAAATAAAGTTGGCTTGCGTTGGGTCTGTATGCATGAAGCAAAATGGTTGCATGTTATTTTGAGAACACAAGACAGTACTTTGTGTCCTTTTGGCGAGTTTCCTGCCATAAGTGTTGATTGAGACGCAATGATCGCTCAGTACATGGGCAAGGAAGAAGTTGTAGAATTGCTTGAGAATGATCGTGAGCTGTGATTGATGGGATGCGTTCGGTGAGCAAGGTCCTTGGTGACTGTTGCAATGCAATGAGATGCATGCAGCATATTTCTTCTGACAAGATCGGGCTTGGCATGGCCTGACAAATCCGAAAATGGCAGCCTGACCATTTTCGGATTGTGGGTTTTCACAACTCAGTTGTGAAAAACGTCAGTATGGCGTTGTTTCCGCGTTAAGGTGTCATTTTCTTCAAGTACATGCTGCCGATGACTTCGCTTTACAAAGAGTTCTTGCAAAATCAAAGCACAAGAGGTGTCTTGAATCTGCTAAAGTTTTTGTGTTGTAGACTTCAGCTCACAGACAAACATACCCCCGCAACACCCCAAGAGGGAAATTGGCAAACGGGATTTCCTCCACAGACGTCCAACTACAAAAGGGTTTCTTCTGTGGGATCGCCCTAGTGCGACCGAGTTGCAGACTGTCCGTCTGGCGCCGGTCAGCCAACGAGACTAATGTACAGGGGGGCGGCCAGAGGACCCCCTTTTGTCAGGATATCTCACAGAAGACCCCCGTTTGTCATTTTCCCTAAAAGAAACAACTAGTGTCCATATAGCAGAACATATTATTGTTGCAAATGCGCACAATGTGCTCACATTTCTGTAATGAACAGCGCCACTGATTTCGCGTGAGGGATGTTGAAGTGGTAAAACATGAAAGCGTGGCGAAAACAGGCGAGCAACCGGTTCCCTTCAAGAGGTCGCAACGAGCCGGGAAGAATGTCGACACAATCGGCAAGACATCAAGTGCGTGGATCGCAGCCTCTCCAGCCGCATTTGCTCCTCCTCGCACAACAACAAATTGTCACAATTATGCAACGCTCCCGCTGTCGAACACTGCGCGAGCGGCACAGTGCCCAAGAAGCATTCTACCTGCACGGCCTTCTCCGCCGCGCCATTTCCAATGAGGGGTGACAGCACGTCTGACACGAAGCTGCCGCGGTGCTCCACCACCTCCAGCAACTGCGGGAGGCAAGAAATGCCGACCTCCTCAAGTGCCTCTACGCACCTTGCGTCAACGCTGGGCACGCTCAGCAAGCTGCTGTCCTGCACCCACCTCGCCTGAGACAGGGCACAAACCAGCGCCTGAGGTTTGAAACCGCACAGCCGCCGTGGACGCAGCGAGTCCTGAGTCGCTTTCCACGGCTTCTGTCAGCCTGTTTCGGACATTCAGGAGCCACGTAACCGGCCCACCCCGTCCACCTCGGTGAACAACGCAGATTCAAGCCGATTCGCAATCACTGCAAGACGGTTCGTGCACATTCATTTTGCATTGCAAAGGACACCTGCATTCTACCCGGGCGCCTCTGTGCTTCCCACCCCCCGCATTGCCAACGGCGTCCATTAACAAACGGAAAAACTGCCGTTACTATGCGCATTATTACTTGTCACAAATCCACGGCACAAATTGTCCACTCAACACAGTTTTCTTCCGTGTTCGAGCTGATGCAATTACCAGGCGTCCAGAAGGGGCAGAAGCGCTCGAACCTCAGGTGGTGCTTTTGGGCCATTGTTCCACCTATGGCAGGAAGGCCGCTCACCTGCATGACGCTTTGGATCAGGTTCATGACTGTAAGCGCGGTGCCCAGCCAGCCCGCGTCGGCGGCAATGTCCACCATAGCCTGCATGATGCGCAGGCTGTTGTCCAGCACGCTCTTGGTGTCCGACACGTAGTCGCTGATGGGCAGCGCCTTGCGGGACAGGTGCGCCTGCAGCAGGAGGTTGGCCTTGGTGTGCGGGTCCCCCAGGGTCTGGGGGTCCACTCGCCACCGCACGCTGCCCGACAGCACCATGTTCAGCTTGTCCTCGTTGTGGCGGACCGGCAAGTCGTCATACTCGGACGTATGGCACAGGACCTGCGTCAAGCCGGCGTTCAGCACGGTGAGCGGCGAGGCGCGCTCCGCCAACCCAACTGCGCACTGTGAATCCGAAGGGAAACCTCAAGTGCTCTGTCGCGAGCGGAAAGAACTTGTGGGAAATTGTCGGGGCCTTTGTCGGACACTCATAGCCTGGAGGTTTTGTTGCAGCAGCAGGGAAGAAGCTCGTCTAACTACTCCTAAACTACAACCACGACAATATGCACAGCGCCACCGTTAATCCCTCTTACCAAAGTACCCACACTGGGGCAATACAGCCCAGATGTGTTTTGCGCCTGTGTTGTCAATTTCAATCCGACAGCCAGCGATTACGCGCCTTATGCCAGCACTTGTTCCCAACACCCTCTTGTTCTTAACTCGTGACTCCATGCAATGTCCCTTCGTGACATGTGCAGCCCGACGCAACAACTGTCAAGCGTATGCAATATCCCCAAACAGGTTATATGACTGCGGTTTGCCATGCACTGGCAACCGGAACCGAACATGGAGGCCTTGTTTGCACAGACCGTCTGCGCAGCGTACAAGCCATCGACATCCCTCCAAAGATGACACTATGGGCACTGGACACGCGTTCCAAGTCCTTTTTCATAAACCCTTCCGCATAGTAAAGCAACGTTTGGCCTTTTTTTGTCGAGCAAAGTTAATGAAATTTCCGCAGAGCGACACAAAAAGGTAAAACACGCTCTGAAAAAAATGCGGAGCAAAAGCGTGACTGAAAATTTTTTGATGTGGCAGGGTTGATTGTTACACGGTATGCATCACCCAGGCCGCAGTCACACTCGAGAAGGCTGCACTGCGCACAGCGCACACCTGCAGGACTTGCTTGAAGTCCATGCCCGCCTTCAAATTCGCCATGAAGACCGCCATGGTGCTGTGCCTGAGGTAGAAGAACGAGGATATGCGTCCCATCGTCGTTGCCTCCACAGTGTCGTCCTCGTGCACCGTCACGCAGCCCGCCGTCTCCAGTGTCTTCAGCGTGTCTTCCACCATGCCGGACAGGAATTCGTTCACAGTGTCCTGCTCGATGCTCTTCAGGTCGTAGAAGGACGGGTTGCGCAGCAGGCGCCGGAAGAAGAACGTCCACGTGAGATAGTCCACGGCGTCCTGCTTCGTGGCGATTGTGCCGGCAACGACCTCCGCACTCAAGTGCTCGGCGAGCTGCAGGGGGAACAAACGGGGGCGTGTCAGATATTCAGAAACTACCAAAAAGTAGGACACAGGCGCTGGCCAGAGAACTCCCCTTCCTGCACAGTCTGTGTCTGAATCGCGGTGCAAATTACTGAAATCGCATATATGCAGTGTCAATATTACTTCGTAGTGTTTGCAATCTCAGCCATGCTGAAACGGAACCAGCTCGTGCAAACCGTGCCTTGGTGTGATTTCAGCTGTATGGGCGCTGCTGCTGGAAGTTGTGCGGCAGCGCGAACTGTGCCTCTCCCAATTTGCCACAAAGGCTGCTGGGACGCGGCACCGTGGAGACGGCGTGTATTGCTGGAAGGTCAGCATAGCTGAAGCAGCAGCGCATCGCAGCCGGCGATTGCATAATGTCGAACAATCCACATTACCAGTCATTGTAACCCAAGGTGGCCTGAGCGCGGCATGGCGACCGTCTTCGAGGCAAAATTAGTCATCGGAGAAGCACATCGAGTTCCTGCCACCGTTTCCATATTTCCACCTTCCCGTTTCCATGCAGAAACTGACCGTGTCACGCACTCGAGTCAAGTGCCTGACAATCGATCATTACTTCCACATGAGTCAAGTCGCTTGACTCGCTACGAGTCAGGCATACGACACGCAATGAATGATCAATCATGGGATGTTGCTGCGCCCGTCATGAGCTGGAATGCGCTAAGGCTGGAACCTCACGTTACGTTGACAAACTGCAATCTGCGGAAGTCAGCAGCCATACACGGAAGTAGGCGACAGCACTGATGTGTATATTCGCCGAATGAAACGCGCCCGCCAGCGTCAATGAGATCAAGCCCTCACGTGCGCCGGAAGAGAAGATTCTACAGGGAAGGGCTCGTAGAGGAACTTCTTGTAGAACGCCTTCTTCGGCTCGTGCACCATGATGACGGCCACGCCGTGTTGGTCGAATTGCGGCCTCCCCGCGCGCCCCATCATCTGCAGCACGTCCGTTATGGGGAAATCCACGTACCGGCGTGTCGGGGCGTCGAAGTACTCCGTTCCCTGCATGAACAGCACAACGGCGTCGCAACTGTCAGGTGCGGACGCGAGGAAGAGCGGCCCCAGCTGTGCACAGCCAGCGGTGCATGAACGTTGCGAGACGACAAGACGGCCAAATGCTCAACAAGGGGCACTCGTCGACGAAGGACGACAGGAACAGATACCACGTCCTGCGGAACAGCGGCAACTCCCTGGATTGGCATGTGGGGAAGCGGTCAACCTCCCATGAGAGCCGGCCCCATCATGTGACCCATTCTGCACTATGATTTACCTCACACCGCCATGTGCTTGATGGCCCGCAAGCACTGACCGTCCTTTCCATGACCGCGGAAAGCTGTCTACAACAGCGGGTGCAGGTTTTCCTGTGGTGACCAAGGGAAGGGCGACCAACGCACCTTGATGATGACCAGATGAGCGGGCGTGTTGACACCCCACGCCAGCGTCGACGTTGCCACAAGCAGCTGGATTTTGCACTCAACGAACAGGCGCTCCACGATGCTTCGGTCGCGGTCGTTGAGACCAGCATGGTGCAATCCGATGCCGAATTGGAGGGTGTGTTTCAGGTTGGAGTCCTGAAAAGAAAACCGTGCCTGTTCGATGTTGTATTTGTAAGGCATTGAGTTGGCACCAAAACACCAGTGCCGTGCTCATGCAGGAGCCAAATTGGAATGCGCGGCCTGCAAGCGCCGACAGACCACAGGGGATCGAGCTGTGATCCAAGGCGACGACCGCGGTACAGCCTTTGAAGCAACAAGGAAGCCACCATCTACGACTCTGAATTCAGAACAGCAGCATCCGAGGTTCCCACCGCCACGCCAGGGAAAGCAGCTCGATTCCGCGACAGACACGCCAGTAATACAGCCGCAACAACATGACTTCCCACAGCAGTCCGAATGATTCGTCAGGTCAAGGGGCGCAATCCCTACCTTCACGATCTCCAGCACCTCCTCCAGTTCGTCTTGCCCCATGTGCAGAAATTGCTCTGGCCGTTCATCCGCCGCAGCGAAAGCGATGAGGTCCAACGCTGTGAGGCGCGTCTGGCGACGACTGGAGACGAAGACAAGCACGGGCTTCACGGGGCAGTACGTCTGGATGGCGGCATAGGCGGGCTTGTTCATTGTGGCCATGCGTGGGCAATAGAATTTTCCTGCATACACCGGGAACGTAGATAGGGTTGGAACCGAAAACGCTCATGACAGAGTCTGCTCAGCATAAAACACAACGGCGTCACGACTGGAATTTAGCGGCAATGCTACGCAGCACAACGCTGCCAAACGCGACGTTAGTCAATTGGGAACGTGATCAACACCCAAGACCATGCGTTCCACACACGGCTTCAAAACCATTCTACGGCAAGCTCCTAACGACTGTCTTGCTCACGGAAGGCAGCAAGCCAGATGATGTGCACACCACACCCACGCCCACATCCGACCATATGTGGGCTGTGGATTGCACGTGGACAAGCAGGAGATGCTGTAGCAATCTCTAGCGTATCAGATACTGTAGGAGGCACTGTAGAAATCTGCTGGGTAATCTGCGGCAGTCAATTTCAGTCCAGGAATGCACCAAAGGAAGAGTCGCCGGGAGGGGCGCTTCGCCTCACCTGGGTACCCTTGGATATGGCACTCCAGAGGCACGGGCCTCACGCTGGGCCTGAAGTTGAACAGGCCGTCTTCTTCCACCCCCATCCAGTCTGCGACGTCGGGCGCGTTCGCAAGGGCGGTGCTCAGGCCCAAAAGCCTGACCTGCTGGTCCGTCTGCGAGGCAATGTACCGCATTCTGGACACGATGACCTCGATGATGGGTCCGCGATCGGCCCCAAGCAAATGGATCTCGTCGATGACCATCAGGCAGACGTTGCGGACGTAGGAGCGGGTCTGCCAGTTGCGGGATATCCCATCCCACTTTTCCGGAGTGGCGATAATAATGTTGGCGGACTTGAGCGCCCTGCCCATGTAGCAGCTTGTCAGTGGCGAAGTGGCAGTCTTGAGGAAGTAACGAGTCAATTGGAAATTGACACCGCGTGGGATCATGTGGGGATACGCACCAGAGGAGACAGATAGATCTGAATTGACAACAGGCACAATCTTTTGGCGAAATGCAACGAGGGTTGGAGCACCGGTCTGTTGCTGTGACAGCGCGAGACTACTACAGCAACGATTGCCAATGTATGACAGAACCTAACATAAGCGTCTTTCATTAAAGTCGTCGACTCCTGTCATCAGCTCAGCCAAGTCTCCACCTGCCCTAATACAGACAGAACCCCACCACGCTCATGCGCGCTGCTTGTGGTCAACCGGCCACTGCACTGCATTGCTGCTGTGCAAATTCATACTCCGCAGAACTATCACACTGATGCTGCAAGTTGCCAAATTCTGCGAGCAAATCAGCTGCCACAACAGTTGGTTTAGGAGCTCGAGTCGCGCAAACTGCTGGAGCAGCTGACATGTTTCCGGTTTCTGCACGCCGATGACTGCATATTTTGCCTAATCAAGGCGTCGAAACAGTGATCAACTCGACGCCGCCCTTCCAGCCAGTGACTTCAACTGCACCTGATGTCTGGCGTGTAGTCCCCCGTCAGTTCAACCATCCTCTTCCCCAGAGACGGGCACAGCCGCCGACCCCAGTCATTCAGGCGCTCTCTCACGAGCGCCTTTATAGGTGCAATGTAAATGATCTTCTTGTCCGGCTGCTCGTTGAACACGCGCATCATGGCCAGCTCGGCAGATATGGTCTTGCCAGAGCCCGTGGGTGCCCCAAGCAGCACATTCTTGTCCGTGTGGTACAGGGTGTGGAAGGCTTGCGTCTGTATGGGGTTGAAGTGCGTGAAGTGTGAGTAGAGTGCCTCGTAATGTGGGTTGTTCAGGACGGTCTTGGGAAGGGGGTCCAGGTCCAGCAGCTCGGTGTGGGGGCCCATGCGGCTGGGGAGCATGAGGGACTTGAAGGACAGGGCGGCAAAAGCTTCGGACTGCGATGCAACACAATCGATGATGCCACATTGGTTAAAAGTGACCCAACAGAAACAGCCACGATCGCCCAGTTCGGTCCCACTTTTCTTCTGTTTTTACTGCCACCCCACGTTGAATATTTAGCGCGGCATGAACAATTGCGAAATAAGCAACAACTTGCCAGTGAGGGGCGCAGCGCATGAAACCCAATGGCATCAAGCCCCCTGACAGTTGGGCAGGCAAAGACCGTCACGTGGCAACGAAGCGGACCCCGACGCAGCCTGATAGGCGGAAGGGCATGGCCTGGCATAGTTCCACAGTTGCAAGGTTAGACGCCACCGCACCTCCACCCATGAATCGTTGATGACACGGACAACGTAGTGCGCCGGCAGCGGCTCGGATATGGGGATGGTGAACACCAGCCTGTGTGGCTCCTGTTGCCTCATCATCATCTTTGTCAGAAGCCACGTCTCTGTGTGGTAGATGTGCTCATTCTCTGAGTCTTCGACCCAGATGATCCACCGCATCACGCCGCCGTGATGGGCATCCTGCGCGTTGCCACAGACAACAAAGTCAGCAAGGATGGACAAGGCAGGACAATGGTAAAGGTGCACGTCAGGGAGCGCAATTACACCTACTGGTGAATTTTGGCGCCCAGGGCGCAATTAGAATGACACATTTTGGTCAAGTCTGCACAATGTACACCATTAATGCACAGCTAACATTACTGGCCTTCACCAATGCGCATTTGTACTCCATCATACACCACTATCACACAACATCACACTGCAGTACACAAGCAACACACCAACAATACAGCGCCACAGGATTTTCATGGCGGAGATTATCGGAGATGGGATGTGTTCCCACTGATTAGAGGGCACGGTGGCCTGTCATAACAGCGTGAGTACGAAACTGATGCGCGTTGCACGGTTGGCTGTACATCATCAATCATCATCAGTGATTCAAGCGACAGGGCACTGGGCATCCAATTAGTGCTGTATACCTATTCCTGGCACCTGCACCTCCTTAGCAGTTGGCGCATTTCATGTTCCTCAGACCGAATTACTAGCAATACTGCGGTTCAGGCAAAACTACAGCGTTTGACATTGTCTCGGAGAGGTGCTTTCCTACTCGAGTGAAGCAGCAACGCTGAGTTGTCGTGGCTGCACAACAAGTCAGCGCCCAGTTTCGTCGGCTGAGCAAGATTTTAGACAAAATACTATGCAGCCAAAAGTGGTGAGATTTGGTCTTTTAGGTTAGTTCCCGAACATGGCGAGCGAAGCGTTTCCAGGAATTGGAAGCCATGAGCGACAATATACTGATTTTCACATGACTGCAAACTTCTTGACAATTCGCAACACAGCTTGAAATTCAAGTAAATCGCTGGTTCATGAGCACACACAGGCAATAGATGCAATGGAATATGAAACATTGTCTCTCAAGAATGCGTGGAGGCGAAATGCAATACAGTAGAACACAGCCGAAAGGGAATCGCACGGCGAACCTGCGATGGTGTCAGACGCGGTTAAGTCCACAAGGCCCCACATTAAAAAATCGCATTGACACATTTGAAAACGCACCCTCCATTTGAATGCGGGGGTGATCTCCAGCTTGACCTGCAGCACCGACCGCGTGATGGGATGCAGCTGGACCACCAGGTCCAGCTTGGGAAACGCCGCCAGGCACTCCTTGATCAGCGCGCCCGCGTTGGTGTGCCGGATGAGGCGGTCGATCTCTTCCGCGCTGGACTCGTACAGCACGTCCATCAGCACGCGGCGCTCCTCCAGCTTGTGGATGATGCCCGGCGACAGGACGGTGTCGAACTGCCTCAGAGCGTGCTGTGTGGTCCACAGGCGGCGCTCGAAGCACTTGCACAGGGTGAGCAGGATGTCAGCCAGGCTGCTCCAGCCGCGCCTCAGGCAGATTTCAAAGATGGCGCGGGCGATGCGGGCGGCGTTCTGGGAGATGTACATCATGTCAGCGATGAGGGAGAAGGCCTCCAGCGGCACACGGGAGACGTACGCCTGCGTGGGCACATGTTGGGAGCCTCGTGAAGGGGTCCGTCGGCATTTGTGTGATGTAGAGTCATGCGCTGGCGATGCGGCCCGTGCGTTCTTCCCAACGGAACCAAATCCTAATATGTTGCCTAATAAATTGTCGTCACTACAAGTAATATGCCACCTGCTCCAATCTTTCCCTAAATGCTTGTGTTGCATGATGCCAATGCATAGTGATACCACGTTTCTGAGGAATTCGTCACTGGCGACGTAGCCAGTGCAAAATGCCTCAGAAACACGGTTACGATCAAGTACTGGCTTCATGCAACATACGCTTTTGTCGCCCAGTACACCGAGCGCTCGCACCGCTGGTCCCCAAATTCGGTTGCGTCCCACTAAAGTGCGAGCAGTGGGACGTGCACAATTTGCGCAGGCCCTGCACAAGACTCCGCGCTCTGCAATTGAGGTGTGCGATCCGTCATAATCTGCACGAAGTGTGTGTTTCACACAAGCATAATTGGTGCCAAAAACCCCATACTGTTGAAAGGCGCGTACCTGCAAGGCAATGTTTCCGAAGCCATACCTAATCCTGTCATGTGGACGTCTCTTCTGGGCCACCGTTTACTAAGCGCAGGCAGCAAACGGACCAGGATACACGATTCAGAGACAGAAGCGTACAGATTAGCAGATTTTGCGTTCCTGTGGAACATCGTGCAACGAAGCCTTTCATGTGGGACTCCCTTTTCCACCTGCATCAAGACGTCCACTTTTCCCTCCTTGTTCTCCACGCCGCCTCGAACCTCATAGGGGCACCCCTGGGACATGACGCGGTCCAGCTCCGGCAGCTCCTCCTCGCGAACCATCATGCTCTCGAACTCACTGCTGTGTGACATCATCGCCAGGACTTCAGCCTCCGTCATGGTCTTCTTGAGAAGGCCGTTGAAAGTTTCGACCGTCTCGTGGCGGATGTAAAAGTGACTGGCGACGCGGCCCAGCTCGGTCACGTACAGCTGCCCGGACTTCTCGTCGAACCGTGCCATTTTCGACTTCTCCAGTTTGCGTGCTGCCTTCACGATCAAATCCCTGCGATGGGCTTCAAGCCGCTCGTCGGACTGCGATGGAAAAGGGAAGGATCAGTTGATCTGCGGCGCTCAGGGGTGACGACGCCATGTGCACCTTCACTACCGTGCATCCAGGAGAAGCGTGGAACATTTGGGCACGACTGCGGAAAACGGCAAAGGGAATGGCAGGGGCCCGGAAGCCATGGTGACGCCCGGACTACGGCGAGGGGCAGATGTCTCCGCGCCACACATCGAATTTGGCCGCCGGAAGCGCCCGTTGGAAACGAGGGCGGTGCGCTTTCCACGAAATCTGGCCAAGAACAATTTGAAACTGGCATCAGAAGGCTCGTCGACGGACACTCCGTGTCAAATTTAGACGAGCACCTCCAATCCATTACCATGCGAGCCTCCCACGAGATGCCGTATGGGAGCGGATTCTGCAGCATTCTGACGAAGAGATAAGTGTACGACAGCCACGTGATCGCCTCCTTCACGGTCGTCACCGTCCCGAGAACGATCTCCGCATTGAGGTGGTCAACCAGGCCCTGGGTGAACTGGGACTCAATAGGGGCTTGGTGCGTCAGCATTCCTGCAACACAGGCATCAGTGCACACCAACGTTGGATTGCCCCCGATCGACTGTGGTCCGCACTCAACGGCTCTGCCTGTGGCAACGCAGCGTGGCGGTTGCGTGGCACGAAGGTGTATGCAGTCGCTCACTGGCTCATCCACTGCAAAGTTTTCAATCGAACCTCACTTGCCAGTGGCTACACATTTGAGTCAGCAACGTTCACTATCAGGCAACTTTGCATCTTTCAAAACCTCATAGGCAGGCGAACGGAGAGCCACATTTGACGCACAAGATCGACCAGAACACACACACACACACACACACTCTATGGATGAACTGCGTGCCACAAAATGACGAGGGCTTGACTAGTCACACAGGTATCACCAGGTTTCTCGCTTATCAGCGACACACACAGCGCCTGGGCGGTGCCGCACCCAAGTAATGAGCCAGCTTGTCGTGCGAGGTGATGATGATCCCCTCGCCAGACGTGTCGAACTGCGGGCGCCCGGCCCTGCCGAAAATCTGCTGGACGTCCAGCATGCCGACGTCCCTGAAGGCGCCCTTCTGTGAGTCATACAGCTGCGTGCCCTTTATGATGACCGTGTGTGCGGGCAGGTTGACACCCCATGCCAGGGTGGCCGTGCAGCACAGGACCTTAAGGACCCCCGAGGCGAACAGCCTCTCCATCATCGAGCGGTCCGTTCGGAGCATGCCCGCGTGGTGGATGCCGAACCCCGAGGGGAAAAGCTCGGCGACCTCCTTGTTGCGAGACTTGGAGATGTCCCTGACGGCGGCGGGGTAGTCTGGGTGCATCTTGTCCATGAAGAGCTCCGCCTCGCCAGCGCGTTGGGCGATACTGCCGAGGATGCGGGCCGACTTGCCAGTCTCCTTGCGCGAGTGGACGAACACCATTGCCTGCTTCCCTCGCTTGATGGCGGATACAATCTTGCAATGGCACAACGAATCTGGTGAATTTTGCAACAGGGGTCGCAAAGGTACCAATCGTGGCAAGACAAATTAGCATGGCGCCCCATCACATGGTATCGTGGACAGCGCACATCAGCCCCGCATCCAGTTCCTGCTACATTTCTGACATCCGACACATGTGTATTCTTCTGTGTTTAAGCCATCAATGGCCCCACATGTTTTGAATTGCGGGCATCAAGCGTGAACCATTCAGCACTGACATAAAGCAGGTTCAGGCAAAACACCTCGTCACATTTCAGAACAAAATTCCCAATAGAAGAATTCCGAAACAATCACCTCCATGATGCCACCATGGGCTGTACCTGTTGCAGAACGCCTGTTTTCCATTGGCTATCCATTGCCAGGGCTATGACATTTAGAAACCGCATCTCGAGCGTACCTTCTTGTAACAGACCTCGTTCATGACATTGTTGCGGTTGACAAAATTCTTCTCACTGACGCCCACAAACTGCATTGCCAATGGCACGGGCCGATACGAAGCATCAAAATAGAAGAGGCCCGTCTCCAGATTGACTGCTAGAAACGTAGCCACATCCCTGTAGTTGGGAAGTGTAGCCGACAGACCCACTATCCGGATCATACTTTGGCTCACTTCCACCTGCACATGACAGCAGAGATGAATCATTCTGGAGCAACATGCAAGAATTCATGCCAGTCATCGCCTCCAAGTCGCAAGGCATGAGGAGCTGTTGCTGAAGGCGGCCAATCCACAGACAAGCAAAATCCATTCCGTGGGGGCTGCCTTGCAAACAGCTTTTCATCAGCTGACTCGGCCAAAAGTGTCACCAAATCTCAAGCGCAGGTTGGATGATAGTGGCATGGACTGACGACTACAAGGGCAGATAGTCGCCATTTCGACAACATGCAAAATCCTTTGTCACATATTCGCCGTCCGCTGCTTCGACATCTTTGCACCGGAAACTGCCTATGGGCTGAAAATCAGCATGACATTTGGAACACGAGTAACACACCTGCCGGAGTGTTCGAGCGATCAGCGTCTCAATGACAGATCCCCTATCGTCGTTGAGCAAGTGCACTTCATCGATGATGAGGAGTCGGACAAGGGCGGCCATGCTGACATCGCCTCCTTTCCGTGTTATGACGTCCCACTTCTCCGGTGTTGTGACGATCATTTGCGTTTCTGTCATCTCCCTCTTGCTAAGCTGCGTGTCCCCTGTCAATTCCCGAACCTTCAGGCCTACGCCACTCAGACAAGCAGTCAGCACCATGCAGCAGTCTGCACGCAGGCAGTGGGCGTTCTGGATGCCATCAGTGGTGACAATGATCGATTCACCGATCGACTGATCAATTTGGCATACCGCGTTCATAACGCTGCCAAGACCCCATCTCCCTGAGTCAAAAATGCTGAACTGTGTGTTCCAGCTTCAAGGGCACCGGATGGTCACATGGGCTCACAATTCAGGCAGCAGGTTCGGCGCACTTGAGGACAACCTTGTCTCAACTAATTTGCAGCAGGCCACCCATCCAATCTGACGGAGTTGCCATTCAAAGAGAAAGCAGCCAAGATCCATGGAACACATCTCACCAAGTGGGGCGAGTCGCCTGCTAAAGTTCGCTGTCACCTCAGCAGCCAACGCCTTCATTGGGGCAACGTACACAATCTTGAACTCAGCCTTCTGAATAATTTCAAACTGCCTGTGCAGGCCAATTTCACGCAGCACAGTGATCATGGCGATGTTCGTCTTGCCAGCCCCCGTTGGCGCACACACGAGTATATTTTCGTTGCTCCTGTATGCTGTCTGGAATATTCGACTCTGGATTCGGTTCAAGGTCTTGTATCCCTGGAAGGCCAGCTGCGCCCAGTCCTCAAATTCCTCGATAGAGATGAAATGCTCGGATTCAACTGCAGGAACCCTGACTGGAGGAACCCTGACTTCTTCATACCCCTTGTGTGTACTGCAACACAGAATTGGACCCATTCTGTTCAACATATCAATGTGACGTTTCAGTCCAGTACGTTGCCACTTCTCTGATTGTTTCCCAGACAACAACACGTTGACGCCAGCCTCTCAGAACTGTTTGTTGAGAATCTGAATAATTTTTTTATTGGCACCACCATGCTCAGACTGATCAAGAGAGGGGCGTCAAGATCTTGCCACATGTCCTTACGGAAGAGTGCATTGCGCAAAACCATTTTGCATGTTCAGACACGTGTGCTGTGTAACAATGCATCTAGACAATGGAGCAATGCAAAACCAGCAAGTGCAGTTGGTCAGCCAAGATAAAAATACAGAGTCATGCAGCAGAAGTGCCAAGATGGACCTTCTGGTCGAACCCCATACAAGACGTCCATTTCTGCTTGCATGAGTCCGCATTTGTCATGCTGTCATCAGAATAACACGAATCCCTGCCATAAAAACCCATCAGGCGATTTCTGGGTGAAGGTCACACAAGCAGGCTCCCATAGTCTTGCTCATCTCGTTCCCCACCTCCGAACAGTTCCCACTGGCAGCACGCCCTGTTTTACATCCCCGCTGGTCATGGCCACTTGAAATTCACGGTTTCCATCAAACAGCCACAAATTGGTCCTCTTGGTATCTAGCAGCGCGTCGAAGCCAGCGTCTGATAGCCACTCCAGGTCCGTATCTGTACAGCAAGTGCCAAGAAGCGCACATCGCAACTCACAGAGCCCCGATTATTTCACATCGCAATGGTGCTCACACAACTTTGGAACATCACTAGAGCCAACATCCTTTCTGGTAGAGTGGCCACAGCGGAACCCTGAAAAGGAGCGAGTAAGGCACTGCATAAAGTAGTGGCAACGCTCTTCAGGTGGCAATCCAGTCCTTCGCGGCGGCAATGCTGCTTTTTCCGCATGGCAATCAGGAGAAATCTGCATTTAATTTGCAAGCGAATTGCCCGTGTGGGGCAGCCATTGTGCATGCTTAATCATAGCCAAACTGTTGACCAAGTATTGTGAACCATGCAAGAGTATGACAGGATTCTTGCCACCGTTTTTCACCAGTTTCGTTCATCACTCATTGATGTCAAGGCAATTCAAATAGAAGCACCTGAACATGGGAGCTGTGCAGACAAAAGAGCATATGACAATATAACGAACATGTTCCACTGCGCATACCAGTGACGCCGCCTTTGCTCTTTTTCTTGGCCTTCCTATCCAATCTGTCGAGCTGCTTTTCTGACTCTGAGGCAATCGTCATCATCCTGGAATACGACGGCCCAGATTTCTCAGCGGACTCTGCAGCCCTTGCTCTTGCGATTGCTTCAATCAAAGACGTCTTCAAGTCGGTCCTGTTGGCACAATGACGGCGTCTCAATTGCTTTCTGGGAGAATTGCTGCCAGCGTTGTATTGTGCCGAAGTGGAGCAATAACAGCCTTGTGCGTGCTTCAGCTGGCACTGAAACGGACTGGACTCGGTGGAAGACACCGAAAGAAGGCTATGCAAGCTGCACAGTGCAACAATTGCCGCCATTTGTTGATGTGCACTGGGCTCAGAAGAGCATGGCGATCAGTGGAGGAATCAACAATCCTTTCACAGTTCATGACAAGCCGGTGCTCAGCAGACGATAAGCAAAGAGACAGCAGTGCGTGAGCTATCCATGTATGTTCACCTGTTCTCAACTACCTTGCTGATGAGTTCAAAGGCATCCCAGCCCAGCAAATCGCACAAATCGGAGGCCACCTGGTCACCTGCAGCCCAACAGCAAGAGCTTTACCAGCAGGGAAAAGATCACAACTTTCGCCACAACAGTGCTTTAGGCACACACATCATTTGCTCAACACTTCACATTGTAGACAACACAAGCCTGACATAAACATTCTGGGATGGTGCCTGCTGTCACACCTGATTCAGTAGTCAGGAGAGCTCTGCAGACTGCCAACGCCAGCTCCTCGCTTTGGTGCCCCACACTGCTGGCCGTACTGTCTGCCCATTGCTTCAGCCATTCGATTCCAACCTGCTCAGCAACATGGACAGCTAAGGCATCAGACAGCTCAAATGTGTGCCAAAGGCATTGCAGCAGCGCTGAATCAAATCTACAGCGCCTGGCACCAAGGGCGTGACATTCCCCTGGGCATTTTGTGTGCACACCACCTTGGCAGGCGACAATCAAATTGGACGGCATCGGTTGCAATATCCAACAAACACGAAACATTCGAAAATGGTCTGTGCCGCAAGGCCCAATCAAAGAGCAGTGAGTCTATATTGTGCTCTGAGGCACCATCAAACATGAATGGCACCTTGACAGTGTTTAAACAAACAGGGCACTGAAGGCAAGTGAAACAGGCAAGGGTAAAAGAAAAATACAAGCTGCCCAACATGCAAGTTTACTTTCATCTGTGCCTCGCCTTCATCATCGCTGCTCTCTGGCTCAACGAACTCTGTTGGTGGCTGGCTTGTGTAGAGAGCCTGCATCTCTTGAGCAGAGATTGGCTTGGGGAGGGCAGGAGGAAGAGGCACAGACGACACTGAAACTGTATCGACAGCATGCAAATGTCCTCAACACCACATTCTCTAAGGGAGCTTCAACACCACATTCTCCAAGGGAGCCACAACACCAATGACCCTGACAATAAAAATCTCCTGACAACTCCAGGATGCGGACACATTGCACAAATCGCAAATATTGGACATGGATGCCCAGTGCCATGCTTTAAAGCCTTGAGCCAAGGCGGACGACTGTGCTGCAAGAATCCATACTGTCAACTCGTTTCAAACTTGGGCCGCGCTACAGCAGGCTTGTTGCTACATTTCAAAGCATCCAGTCGTTTGCCACAGGCTTGAACACCTGCTGGCCAACATTCGCAGAGCATGTCCCTGCCCCAGTGCCAGCCCTTGCTTGGGGTGTCGATGGGGGAGTGGGAGCTGCTACCCGTGATGTGGATCGGCATTGCAGCATAATTGAAGCTTATGACACCCACAGCAGTTGGTTCTTGTGCACATATTATCTTCTCCATTGCATCTGAAATACAGATGGTTTGTTCTTGTCAACAAGGGTGCACACAATCACAGTGTCAAATAGCTGTACTGCAGCATTTTCTGTCGAGTGACCATGCCTAACTTCCCAGACGTTGGGCAGACGATGCATCGCTTTGCAGATGCAGACCTGAAGTGGCTACAGAACGCTGGTTTTGATGCGCGCTGAGAGATACCAAAAGCATCAATTTGTGGCTGTTGATGGAAACCAGGAATTCTAGTGGCCATGACTAGTGGTGATATGAACAGGGTCAGCCGCCAGTGGGAACTGGTCATATGTGGGGAGCGGGATGAAATGATGTAGCTATGGCATTGCACCAGCAACACATTTGCGACTAATGTTGACTGCCACAGAGCAGCAAACGTGCTGATTATGGTGGATCCATTCACCTGCTTCTGGGCCCACACCGTACGTAGACAAAAGTGCATCCTCTTGGCTTCTGTTGATTTCTGGAAAAACGAAATCAACGTCGGAGCCAAATTCCTGCTCCATCTGCTTAAAACTTGCTGTGGGGCCAGGACTGCAGGCTCCCTGCAGGGAAACAAAGTGTTGCTTAGCGATTTGTGAAACCACCAAATGCTTCTCAAATTGGCAGACAGCAGGGAGTTGCATACTAGCTGCTTGTGCACATCTGTTGTGCTCTAATCCTCACTGCATCGTGCACTTGTGCTGCTGAAACAGGAAACCAACAGCAAGGCGGACATGTCAGCAGATGTGCACGCAACTGAACGATGGGCAGGTGTTCAAGATCAGGAACATAACTATGGGCGAAAAAACAGTGCTGATTTCGAGCCCCATGCACCAAACACCACAATGTGCCTTGATTTTACCCATTCCATCCCCAAATGGCTTGTCGCTGAAAACGGTACCCTCTTTAGCAGTTCAGCATGCAGTCCAATTCCAGCAGCAACCTGTGCCTTCTTGTGCTCTATTATGGGCTTTGATAGCTTGTCCTGCCATTGCTTGAGCTCGTACTGTGCTAGCACCATTGACTGCAGTGCATCAACCTCGATGTGCCCAAAGGTTGAAATCAGGGCATCGCTGGAAAGCAACAGGCAGAGCGATCTGAGCGACACATGAATCATGGTCCAACAACACTGACATCAGCTGAAATAGCACATCAGTAGAATCTTGCCTGGAACAAACTGCATACTTGCGCCATGCAGGCATTTTTGTGGAACAGTGTACCAAATCCGCCTGGATAGCTTTCAGCACAAATGAACGTGGTGCTTATCACTGCCACCGGAATGTGATGACATCAGGGCCATAGGATCACCACACTGCAAAGAAAATCCTAAACCTGTCAGGATTGCAGGAGCTGTGGACAATCTGAAATGATCTGTGAGAGGAATGCTGTTGGGGCACGTAAACTAACACCCCTCAATGCCTTAGCAAGGGTGCATTTTGGATAAACTTCGGATTCTAGTTTCAAATATGGATTTCATAGAGCGCATTGGGACAGTCTGAGCATCGAACTCCTGTCATCGCCTGTCGTCGCCTTGTAGGTGCAGAGGCAGCGCTGTGCTGTCCCGACACATGCAATCAGGGTTTCACATAAAGTTGTGATCCCACAGGTTGGCAATGGCACAATCATACATATTGTTGGCTGCACCATTTGCAAGCTGCACTGACTGCGCACCTGAGCGGCTGCAGTGCTGCTGTTGAGCCCCTGCCCTTGATTTTGTCCTTTGGGGGTGCCAAATTTCGTACACCCCAAACAGTTGCAGCATACTCCTGAAGCTCGTCTGAAGAGTGCTCACCACCAACCAACTCAGACACCACCTGTGCAAACGCAGGTCAGCAATGACTGGTACAAAGCAAAGTGCCAGTGACTATATGATGTTGTTGTGCAAGTAGTGAAGAATTGGGTACACTTGGGATGCATCTGTCATGTGCTTTGTTATTCGATGCAGGTTGGCAGCGGAAAGCATGGTTTCAAAGGCATATCTAAATGGTCCATCTCTGAAGTTGAGCATGCTAAGAATCTTGGAGCACAGAAAAGTCAGTAGTTTTTGCAAGGCTGTAGCAGGATGTTGGAAAACCAAAATTGGAGCCTTGCAACAGCCAGCATCGGCAGCCCACAATTGTCAGTATTAGGCCCTGATACCAGTCCCACTCACCCATCCACCCACCCACCCACACACACACACTCGATTCCCTGGATTCTGATCTGCCAACAGCGCATGAGGAGACAGAACCCTTGGACGCACCTTCAAGAAATTTTCATATGTTTGCTTGGCTGCCTTTGGCGCTGCAAACAATATCCGATGTCAGGTACACTCAGCAAATGGAGCAGCAAACAGACAGCAGCAGAGGCAAAGATTTGGAAGCACACCTTTCATCCATTCCCCAAGAATATGCTGTGCAAGTGGTGTCCGTCCTGGGGCACGCAGTTGTTCCAAAGTTGCTCGTTGCTCCTTCCTGTTTTTCAGGGCTGCCCTGCGCTTGATGTACTCTGCATCAGCGTCGAAATCGGATCCCCGAGCTGTGGTGAACGCACGTAGCATGGTGGTGAGACGTGGCGCCTGCCACAACGAACCAGCTGAATGCACTTTGCCAACAGTCAACGGAAAGCATCTTGCCAGCTGTGATTGTGTGGACTGCATGTTGGCCACATCAGGGTGGCAAGGTGCTAATGGAAGAAGCAGTGCACAAAGATCCTCTGTTCCATTGGATAGTCCAGGTGATCAAATGTGGCTGTGCCAATTAGCAGAAATGTTCCTGTGGCTAAATGTCAACTTGAACCGATCTACTTGCATTGTGCAACAAACTCAGCATCTGACAACCTGACACAAAAATTTCCTGCTTTCAATTTGTTGAAGATGGAAAGTGCCATTGAGGTGGCCGTTGCCTCGATGGAACTACCGTCAACATGTGTGGGTCAGCTAATGTTATGCTGGGATTAGCCCTGATTGCCTCCACTGGTGGCGATCTGCACTGAAAGCGTTTACAGCCAATGTCCTTGTGCATACTGGGACACAGAGGCACCTCTACAAAGATGAATCTCACAAGCATGTCAGACATTCTTGTGCAATTCTTTGCTGGTTGTTTGTTCCTTTCTTGCTTATTTCTTGCTATTTTCTTGCATTTTGTTGCCTATTTTGTTTTGTTGCATTGGATATTTGATCTGCCTCAGTGCAAGACAGAGTCCTAAAAGACTGTTTCTCAAGCCGAATGCTGCCATTCTGTCGAAAGGAAGTCAAACATGCGCCCACATTCAGCTTCATTTCTGGAACAAGCCCACGGGTGAGTGGCGCTGAGATGCAATTACAGGACCAAAGGACATTTTACGCCTTGAGGCAGCAACTTTGCGCGCCGCTATGGATGGAAAACGGCGTGTAGTGGACGGAAAATGAGTGTAAGCAAGGCGTGCATGAAAGCCACGCCATGCAGCTCAAAGGAGCGACCCAGCGACACCGCCAGCAGCGCCTACACATCAGCAATTGGGGCCTTCGATATCCCCCGAAGGACTCCCCAATCACTGTGCAAATTACTTTGGTTGTCGAGCACTCGTAATGCCGGACGGAGCAAAGGAGCCGCTGGACCGACAAGCCCGGTGGGTTGCAATTGGCGAGGCAGTGGGCTCCCTCACCTCAACCTGCCCGCCACCAAAGGCAACCAGCACCCCCCCGTCCCCCATGGCGCCCGCGCAGTCGGTCCGCAGCGCCGGCGGCCTCCGTCCAAGCTGCGACCTCGACTTAGTGCCACCGGCAGCCGTCCACGGGGGCAAGCAGGTCTCGGGGCTTCAAAATGTGTCCGGCGGAAAGAGGCTGGAAGCCGTGCCGAACGCGCCGTGAACGTGGCGCCCCCATCCCATTCAATCCATTTGGGCGCATCATGCCCCGCGCACTGCAATCGCCTCCCGCAACAGTGGTCCCTCCAGCCCACCTCCTCGCGCGGACGCGCGAAACGGCAAGGGTCCGACAGCCGCCGCGGAAAGGGGCCCTCCAGCGCCGGTCGCACAGTCATCCAGCCGGAACTGATCGGCGGATGCGGAGACCTGCGGCGCCGATCTCCGCGTAAATTGCTGCGGTGCCACGTGCCGCGCCGCGGCAGCGATGGCGTCCCCCTCCACCGTCTCACCCCTGGCCAAGTACAAGCTGGTGCGCCCGCGGCGCCCCCCATCCCGCGATCCGCCCTCTTGGGCCTCTGTGGTGCGTCGGTCTCCTCCTGACGCGGGCACCCGCGCGTCACCCAACCTCCAGGTGTTCCTTGGCGACCAGTCGGCGGGCAAGACCAGCATCATCACCAGATTCATGTATGACAAGTTCGACAACACTTACCAGGTGGGATGGGGAGCCACTGAGGGGCTTTTGGCTTCAGGATCTTTGGCTTGCCGTGGATGCACCCTGACTGATCACAACTTTCGCTGTTCTCATCCCTCCAGGCGACGATCGGCATTGACTTCCTCTCCAAGACGATGTATTTGGAGGACCGCACCGTGCGACTGCAGCTGTGGTGAGGACCCCTGCCGCCGCTGTGCCCCTTCTTTCGAAAAGATTGTGAAAGGCTGCCGGCCGACGATTGGCGCCCAGGCGCAGGATGGCTGTCGCTGAGCGTCCGTCCTTAATCCCGCAGGGACACGGCTGGCCAGGAGCGGTTTCGAAGCTTGATCCCCAGTTACATTCGCGACTCCTCCGTGGCCGTCATCGTCTACGACGTCACGAGTAAGCTACTTCAAGAGGGTTTGTGTTTGCGTTTGGGCTGATTTGCTTTTCTATGGCCTATGCCGTCGGTGCGTGTTGCTGCATTGATCAGCCTGCGCAAAATGCCAGCACCGGGAGTTGCTGCCCAGTCACCTAGGATTGCAACTACCCTGTATTGGTAGATCTCTGAATAGATCCACAAGCTCCCAAACCACAACATATTACATGACAATGGGCCAGCGCACAAGTGTGAGGTAGCATTTTTCCAAGCAGTGGACCGCCAATACTGCTTGAAACTAGCAGAGAATGAACCTTTGCTGAGTGATTTTGCTATAAGGGGTAGTCTTGGGACATGAGGGGGACGTGTGCTGCAGACCGTCAATCATTCTTGAACACCACAAGATGGATTCAGGAAGTCAGGCAGGAGCGTGGACATGACGTGATCATCGTCCTGGTTGGCAACAAAACTGATCTGGTTGACAAGCGGTGGGTGGAAGCAAAAGGATTGGTTCTCAAAGGCAGCAATTGTTTTTAACCTTTTTCAAGCCCTTTCGCCCTGGCAGGAAATGTGTCTGCACACCTTGCGCATGTCTTTCCCCTACCCTGGTTGGTCTGTATGCTTTTCATCCTGCTGGAGTGGGAAAAGAAGATTGTTGGCGTTGGGAAGAGAACCAAAATATGCTGTAGGTTGTTTTGTTTAACCTACATTCCCTATTTAGGTGTGGGTGCTTTGCTGTGCTCTTTGCAGTTCGTGTTGTTGCTTTGTCTTGTTACTTTGCAAACCCAAGGATCCCATTGCTCATGTTGGTACATGCACTGGCTGAACTGCACCTTGTTGTTTTTTGTCTCCCTTTCCAGGCAAGTATCGATAGAGGAGGGGGATGCCAAGTCCCGGGAGCTTGGTGTCATGTTCGTGGAGACGAGTGCTAAGGCAGGCTTCAATATAAAGGTGACTTTGTTGGGAGAAGGGTATCATTGCGATGTGCCTTATGGTGTTGCTTTGCAGACCCCGTCCATCTGTCAAAAACAGTGGAAATTGCTGCTGGTGTGAGAGGCCTTTTGAACTTTGACAGCACCAAAATTCAGAGCCAAGTCTCAGAGCAATTGGACAAGCTTTGATGCCTCATGGCCATGAAATGAATACACCACAGACAGTCCAACTGCCTAACTGGATTTGTGGCTCTTGAAACTGTGAAACCTGGACCAGCTTGGTCTGAGACAGTAAGGAAGGGTGTGGAAGTCCCTTTCAGCCACTCAGTTTTATGACTGCATCGCAAAGCAGTGCCTTGCATCTTCAACATGGTTGCGGACACTGCTCAGGTACTGTGTTCTCAGGAATCTTCACAGTTGCCCAAGCGGCTCATGCAGCCCATCCGCACAAAGCTGTGTCTGCTGACAGGACCCTCGAATGAAGCCTGGAATGACATCTGTATCGATCCTCTCATACTTGAGTGTCTGGGCAGGCTGGTGCCTTTGCACATGGCCAGTGGACTGACTGAGAACAGGAAATCTGAATCTGCAAGGAGCAACGACTTTGCATCTTAACTTAGATAGCCTTTGAATGCCATTCTTGTGGATTCTTGACTGTTCAGACTGTGGCCACACAAGCACAATGTCCCAGCAGTCTGCACTGCCATCTGTCAACATAGCGAGAAACATGCATGCTTGCGTGCATCCAAATGTAGGAGATGACTGTGCATGAACCGGTTAGGTGATGTCAGACACTGTTCCCGTCCATGTGTGTGTACTTTTCAATCGTGTTCTGGTTCCTATTCTCTGCCAAGCAACCCTGAAGCCACCAGTGTACTGCTGCAGGCCCTGTTCCGGAAGATTGCAGGAGCTTTGCCGGGAATGGAAAATGTATCCACAGCCAAGCAAGAGGACCTTGTGGATGTGAAGCTGACACCATCTGCGGGAACAGGTGCAGCCGGCAGTGGGCAAGCTTCACAGTGCTCCTGCTGAGACTTCCCTCTGTTGTCACTTTATGTGGCGCTGTGCTGTTGAGAACATTGAAGGTGGGGGAGGATGAAGTGCCTTCACCAGGCACTGTTTGCAAGGAATGAGAAACGGAAAAGGAAATTTGGAGCATTGCAAATTACTGCGTGGATGCTGATGATGCGTTATTCTTTGTTGAGCATTGCAAGCTTTGCGGTGCCACTTGTGATCTGCAGGCTGGACGTTCAGCATTGTGCAGCGTGCAGTGTGTATCATATCGCAAGCTGGCAAGTGGGATATGAGTGTGGCAGGCATGAATGTACATCAAAAGCGATAATCTTGGGACGGGAAAGAGGGTCGTAGGATCTAGGGATTTGTTTCTGATTGTGGCATTGCGGATTGAGAGCAGATTTGCCAACTGGCATGGGGCATTTATCTGTTTGCAGTTGTCCCTTATTTCAGATGGGCTGACGTCATCAGGATGGGTTGCATCATAGCAGCGAAAGATAATCATTCAGCAAGCCACGTTTGGTAGAGGGGAGATTGTAGTCTGTAGATGAACCCGAGCGTCTCTTCCAGATCGTGACGTTCAACTAATGCATTGCCCGAGCAATATCTGACATAGTGCTGTGGGCAGGGAGATGGCGCAACCCATGCCATTGTGACAGATTTCCCTAATTCTTTCTGCCTTGTGAACTTGGCACTTGATGAAAGAGAGCACGGCATGTCCTACTACTGCTTCAAACCATGATATCTCTTCCAAACACTTGTCATCGAGATGCATCCCAGCATCACCATATGAACAGTTGTCTCCTCATCAGCGACCCGCTGGTGAAGAACCGCCAGGTGGTCTCCCATGATTGTGATGTCCTTCTAAAGGGGTGTTAGCTCAATTGGGAGCACGCGAGCATGGAGGGCCAGCGAATGGCATGCGTAGAGATGTGTAGACAACGACAATGCACGGCAAGTACTGTTCGCCTCCGGAAACTCCGCAGTGACATCCTAGGCCAAGTCAGCGACCACAAAATATTGGCGTTGCAACAACTTCAAGCCAATGCAGCTGTTTCCACTAGCCCCCCACGTGTAGCCAAATTCCCCACGACGGCGGTGTGCAGATGACGCTATGCAAAAGTCTGGCCAAGAGTCGCCACGGCGTCCCGCATTGTTTGCCTTCTTCAAATCCTTCGTTCTGATGTGCGAAGCGACACTAGTTCCTTGAAGCCCTCACTTGGCGCACGACCGAATCAACTCATGAGTGCGTGGGGCATCTGCATGCCTCCCATGTGTACACACGCAAATCATGTGCACTCCTGTTGCAGCAGCTGCTTTGCCGTGCCATTATCGCCATCTTCCTGCTCTGCATTCGTTGCATTCACACGCCTTTTGAATGACGCCTTTTTTCTTGTTGTGCATTTGCACAGTATTTCAAGCACAGGTTCCTGTATGGCAACCTATATATGGCAGGAATGTTGCCGACGGGTCCATTTGGTTCTGGAGCCTTGCTCGTTGCCCAGCAGCCGTTTGCCAACACTAGGCCATTGCCGAATCAATCACCAACCCATGGGAGGAAACACTACACCCGAGCTCCAAGCAAGTGTCAGAGCTCGGCGCTGGCCACCCGCTACCATCCATTAGTTACTGTACCGTATCTCCGATTTTTTTGGCCGTATTATCCGTTAAAAAGTGAGAACCCACCATATTGTCCGGTAATGTGGGGTTGGGGGGGGGGGCCACTGTACCGTGTGCACCGTTGCAGCCCCGCGGAGTACTGTTGGGGCCACACGAGAGGAATGGCCCCAGCAGCATGGCAAGCGGCCCTCCGCGGGCACCCCAAGGCTTGCCGTAGTGGTGTAGAGCCACAAAGTGGATGGTTGATTGGCGCTCGCGGCGCCCATTTCCATCACCCGCGGTCGCCTAGACTCGCTGCCATGGGTGACGGGAATGGGTGTCCGCTAGGCGCCACAGTTGCCGCGCGATTACTGCCTCGCAGGCACCCATTCTCGCCACCCAAGGGGACCAATCTTGGCCCCCACGAGAGGCGGGAGTGATCACCCACAAGGTGCCAGTCTTGCCAAATAATTGGCGCATCGTGGGCGCTCAGCCCTGCCACCCAGGGCCACCAATCGAGGCCCCCAGTGGGTTGCGGGAGTGGGTGCACACGGGTGCCTGACTTGCCAAAAAGTGACGTCTCGCAGGCGCCTATTCCCGCCACTCGCGGGGGCCAATTTTGGCCCCTACAGGTGGTGGAAGTAGGCGCCCACAGGATGCTAGACTTGCCCGAAAAATGGCGCCTTGCGGGCGCCCACCCCCACCACCCGCAGCAACCAATCAAGGGCCGCGCGGGTGGCGGGAATGGGCGCCTGCGAGGCGCCGTTTTCGTCAGGAACCTGGCACGTTGTAGGTGCCCATTCCTGCCACCCGTGTGGGCCTCGATTGGCCCCCGTGGGTGGCATGAGTGGGCGCCCGCGAGATGCTGTTTTCTGTCATGAAAATGGCACCTTGCGGGCGCCCACTCCCGCCACCCGGGGGTGCCAATCGAGGTCCACGTGGGCGGCGGAGCGAGCGCCCACAAGGCGTCATTCGTTTGGTAGCTGTGCCCACCCAGGTCACGTGAAATGACCCCGTGGCTAGCTGCAAGGCAAGCCCGCGGAATCCCCCAATGTTGCGCCCTCGCCCCAGCCTGCTGCACCGTACACTGGCCCTGGCCCCAAACGGCGAGAGAGGGAGCGCTACGGTCGGCGACGGGATGGGCCCAAAGAGAGGCTCTTGGCAACGCAACGTTACTTTACAGGCTAGTAATGCTTCCCTGCCGCTCCCATCCGCCCCCCAGGCCCCGATTACCGCTCCATCTGCTCCCTGCCATCACCCGGGCCCCAATTTGCGCTAATTTACAGTTGTTTTATTGACAGTAGCACGGACCGCTAAACAGCGGACGGTAGGGCTGAGCTCTAGCATGTGCCATTCATAACCAAAAGGGCTGGGGTGGGCAAAACACGAGCCAGACTCAGCATTCGTTCTACACACCTGCTGCGCTGTCTGCTGGCTCCCACATGTGTCACGCTATGAGTGCACCACACAATCAACATGCATCTTGCCCTGTTGGCATTCTTTGGCATAGGTCTGATCGGCCTACGGCCAGGTGCATTCCGGAGAGCATGTAAGCTGGCTTCCTGCGAATTCGGCGCATCACTGCCTTAGTATGAACACAAAGAGCCCGCCTTTGGTTCATCCCTATGCCATTATCCCATGCACTCATCTGTAGAGGAAGCTCGGCAAAATACTGTCCAGTCATGTCGCACGACTCTTGTACCGGCAGCAAACAATGCTCAACGATCTCCTTGGCACACAATGAGCCGTGCGACACAAAAGACGGGCATGAATTTACGATATCTGCCATTGCATTGTGGCAATACATCGTGAACGTGTGTAGATATGACACGCGGAACCCAGCTGGGGTCAACACTGGGGCGCTCTGCCAGCAACTGGTGTGGCTGGATGACGCACACTGCAGGGTGGGACAGTGCACCACAGCAAAACAGACATGAAACCATAGTGGGTGCGACGGTCGAACGGTGGCACCTGCAAGCAAGGGAATCAGTAAGGAGTAGACAAGACAGATCCACACTGTGGGCAACACCCTCTGCTTCAGCTCTATCTACAGACAGCACCGCAGAAAACGTGGTGTCGGCGCATGATGGGCAAGAGCGATGCATGTGCGCACAACTATAAGGTCACACGTGCAGCCCACGATGACCCCCCACCCCACCCCCGCTGCATCCAGCATGAACAACAATTAAACAATGAAATGGTCCCTTGCAAGGTGGTTCCAACACCCCTCGCCACTCTTCAATCGTCGCCTGACCCTTCGTCGTCTTGAAGATGAACATTGGGGACACTCGAGCTATGACGCAAGATTGGAATGCATGCATCCCCTGCACTGGAACTTGCCTGCAGCCCCACAACTTTCCGATATGCCTTGCGCACAATGTGCCTCATCTTGGACCTGTGCTCCCTGGATCGGTGGGGGGAGTGCAGCTGCGAGCTCACCCCATCATGCGAGTCCAAGGGCCCTGCATCACTGTCGCTGGGCTCTGAGCTGAGCAATTCGCTGCCGTCAGAGGACTTGAGGGGCTCACTCTCGGAGCACACCAACATCCTTTCATGCACCATGTTCGCCCGAATCCTTTGAATCTCTTCGGGCGTCACCCCACAACTCTCAAGGTATCCCTCAACAGATCCATACTTCTCTTCTATGTGCTCCAACGTCCCTTCGATGTCCTTTGGAGGCGCAGCAATGACAGAGTCGTGCTGAAGATAGTCTGCAGCAGGAAAAGGGCCCAATTCAGAAGACGGACAAGACACCACCAGAGTGACGGGTCGTAATCACAGACAGGGGGACACAAGTCCCAGTGCTGCTTTTGAGCTGCTGTGCATTCCCACAGTATTGACGATTGCTGAACTGCATCGCCAGGCATTTGCGGCCAGCAAAACGCCCATACGGCAAAATTTTGAGAATGAACTATTTGCTGAAGGTCACAAACCCAGAGAAAACAGCGGCAGAAGGTGGCACCAGACCACTTTGATACCTTCCTCTTATTAACTGCTACACCCTGCACAAGTCCAATCAGGAACAGTCGTTCCCATGTGCACACGTCCTCGTAGGCTGTGCCACGCAGTGCGCATTTGCTCCTCTTCTATCTGATGGTGGTAACTGGGCCCACAGCGAGGCCTCCTTCTATATTTTGACCTGGGCTAGTATTCCTATTCGTGATGAGCGAATGGCACTGCTGTTCTGACGGTCATGTCGGAAACAAGTGTCAAGGCATTTATTCACTTGGAACGATAGGCAGCACGTTCATACAAAGGGTCTCATTTAGTCCCGATGCCACCTGCTCAACCAGCATATTGTGGACAACGCAAGACAATTTCATGGAAATCAGCAACACACAAGGAGTAAATGGGATGCCTTCATAAGGGGCATCCATCCTCTTTGCGCAGTGCTGTAAAAATGCCCCAAAGCAAGCACGATCATTCTTTTGTGCTGTGTGCATTGCAAGAATCACCCCACAGCAGCAAACTTGCATGGCCATGGACACAGCATGTCTTTGCTGCTAGGTTCTCCCGAAAAGCAGAATGCTGTTGGCACCCCAGCTGTGATTCCTATCCTCCCGCTTGGCCTATTGTCTTTTGGATTCCCACCCAGCTGTGCCTCTTCTGCCATCGCTTCCCATAGGAACATGTGCAGAGTGTGCACAAACTGCGCATTACTGTTGGTTGCAGTTTCCTTATGTCCATATATTGAGATAATGCAACGACACGGAGTCTATCCGTGTTGTGTTAATGCCATAGAAAATCCTGCCTTGATTTCTCTTGATGCGCGTCCTGCCTCGCCATAAGTGGCAAACACTTGCCAAGCTCGCAAAGCAAACACACAAACAACACTGTGCCTTGTAATCACCTTCTCCATCTGCATCTGTGACAGGGCACAACAGGTGGCTGATTCCTGGCTACAAGCGCCGTTGGGTGAGTGGAGGACCAGACTGTATATGTGCAGAACAGAACTACGCGACTGAGCCGTACTGAGCTCCAGCGACAAGCCTGCATGCCCACCTGCCATCTTCAGCTCATTGGCCTCCTTCCCCTTCCTCAGCTGCTGGTCCGACTCTGTGTAGTCTTTCACAATGGACTCCTTCGGCACCCCGCACACACTCAGCAGCAGCATCACAACCAATCCTGTCCTGTCCTTGCCATGCATGCAGTGCACCAAGATGGGGTAGTTGGATGCCTGGGCAAAAACCCGCATGGCCTTTGCTATGTTGTCCTTAGACTTTTCCAGGATGGCAGCATAGAACCACCTGAAGCCAAACAGCTGGCTGTCCGCAATGGCAGGACAAAGGACAGTGGCTGGGTCATCCCCCTTGTAGACTGTTTTTGCAACCTCCCACCTGATGGATCGAACAAGGAACAAGTTGTGCATTGTGCAGAGGCAAGGGCAAGCATGTTGCCCAATGAGAACCGTAGGAGCAGCATGCCGATGCTTGTTGTTGCATTTTTCAACTGCACAGCATTGTATATGCCCCTGCAAAGATATGATCAGGCTGTTCCCCATACAGCGCAAATTGATACACAAGCTTTGGAGCTGCAGGAACAGTACACAACAAGGAGCAACAGGTCCAGCTGAGCAAGAAATCTGGAAATGGAGAGACTTCCACAGGCCCCAGCTGGGGTTCCAGCAACAACTGTTACCAATGCTTCCCTTGTACCATGCTTTTGTGCCTTTCTGCAAAGGCCCACTTTACACATCCTTTGCCCAGTCACAGCCACCAGCCCATCTTGTTTGGCAGCGGCCCGCTTAACGTTAGTCTAACCGCTTACCTGCAACACTGCTGTTGTTGCTGTCCATCGCCTTATGTTCAAAAGCCAGGCGCTCAAGTTTAGATTTTGTGCAGATCGATGAACATGTACTTTGTCTGAAACTACCACCTTACCAAGTTTGCATGCTACATTTTGCTAATCAACCCAATTTTTTCCATGCAAACCTACCACATTTTGCAGGACATCTTTGCCACAATGTGCATCTTCAGAGTCAAGCTGATCAGATCCACATGCAAAACCCGTGGGTTTGCGATTCCGTCGGCCTGCCATTGACTGCAGCAGACTCGACATTGAGAAGGTACAGAAGCTGTCAAGTCCTGAACAGCAGCAACAGCACATCGTGACTTTTGACATACGCAACCTTCCAAACCTGCCAGACAATAAGAGTTAGCTGGGATTGAGACCTCGATGTGGGTGGCATCCTTAGGGCTGTGCCCTTGATTCCGCAAATGTTCAATCCTTACCGGATCATGAGCACAGCAGGGTGTGGGCATCAGCCACTGCCAGTCGCACAACTGACTGAATGGCAGGGATCACAATGATGTGCAACTCGTTCAGCTACAAACGATCAGCATGACAGTAACTGGGAACAATGTCTGCCCTTTTCTACACTTGAAGGGGCTTGTTCTCACTTACATTCTCCCTCTTGCAGGGCTCTTTCAGCTTGCGAAGGTCGACAATGGTCTGCACACACACACACACACACACACACACAACAAATTATCGGGGGCCGCCTGTGCATCCTGCCAGCACTGGCAAAGCATCTTTGTAACTGTGACTTTGCGCACGGCAGAGACAAGGGCCAAAGATGCGCCAAACTGCTCCGGCCTCAAGTGCCGAATTGGAATTTGTGGCCGTCGGATCGTGCAGCACTATGAGGCCATGTCCATTCTTCGACTTTGTCAGTCCCAATACAACAACAGAAGCAGCCCACACCACGAAATTTGCTCCCCAAAGCACGCGTTTCGGACCACAACCCCACATTAGGCCTTTTCCAGCACCACTGCAGTGCTTGCAGGTGGATTGGGGCCAGCACAGCTGGCTTCCCGTGGGTCAACCCCTGTCACGACCCTTTGACACAGACAGACACGACGGAACGCCATTTGACCCTGCTATTCCAAACAACAGTGACATGCTGTCGGCCCAAGCGAGGGACACTTCCCAGCAGCTCACCTTTATCCCGTTATTGTTGATCACCTGCGCGCTGCGACACAGCAGGAGGGGACATCGAAGCACAGACACACCAAATCGTCAGCCGCTAGGAACGCACTGCAGTCCTTATCTAGGGCACAGCCAAAGCGACGAAGGGTGCTAGCGACTCCGCAGCCCGCGGCCGCGTCGCTCCGCTCGAATCCAAAGATTTCCCCAACGCGATCGCCAAGCGCCAGCAGAAACATCCGGCCCTCTGGGACCCCTCCCCCCCCCCTCTCCCCCCCACCCCACCCCACCCCACACACACACACACAGGTGTCGACACACTACGCCGATACATTGAAAATGCGGCTAAAGCGCGGCGCGCCGACACCTCGTGGCCGCGTGAGGGCCGAAATCCTTGCCCCAAACGCGGCTCCCCCGTCCCTCCCCCCCACCCCCCCAAAAGAAACCCTTACGTGTAGAGTTGCGACGACCGGAATATCCTGCCCTCCTGCAGCGTGCCCTGCCAGGCGCCCGCCGTGTCCCTGAAGTTCAGCGCCCCGGCCTCCGGCTCGCCGCAGGCGCACCAGCCGCGCGGCTCGCCCGGGCACGCCGCGCCCAGGTCCTCCATCGCGGCCTCGGCCCACGCCCGCGTCGCCTCGTGGACCATGCCGAGCCGATGGCGCTGCGTGGCAGCCCGCGGCCCACGGCGGGGCGGTCGCGGTCGGTCCGGCCACACTCGACGACTGCGTGCAGCCCGGCTCCCAACGCGGTGCGCGGCTCACAAGCTCACCAAAGCCATTGGTCTGTGTGTTGGGATGTTGGCCGAACCTGGGACACATGAAGTACTCCAATGGCCGGGAACGCTGACACAGGGGAAAGGCTTTACCGGCGTACGTAACTCGCGGGCGCCCGGGTACGTGATCAGCGGAGGGCGGTGCCATGTGTCAGCGACGCAACTGCCTTACGCCTGGGCAGACGCCGAGTACCTTCCAGAATGCAGAGGAGCACGTTCACGTTAGCTGGCGCTGCGCCCCCGTGCGACGGATGTCGCCCAGCGGCCTCGCCCGCGCGTGACTTTGGCATGTTGCAACGGGACCCTTCCGCGAACCTGTCGTATAGCCGTGGTAAAAAGCGATGCCAGGGAGATCAATGCGTTACTCAGCGCCGGCGCTGGCCGGGAGGACGCACCCACGGCCCTCGCAGAATTCATTGAAATTCAATGCATCAGATATTCGATCCAGAAGGGATCCATGACAGTTTGGCACAGCGCGTTTCTCGAAAGGGCGCGCGTTGCGTTGTTTACCACAGCTGAAGAACGCAGTCGGTGTTCTTGCCCCGTTGTTCTTGCCCATCCTTCTGTGCTTCTATTCTTGAGGGAATACTGCCAGTTTGACTGTGTTGTCCACCACCAATTGGGCGCCGAAGTTTGCGGCCATGCCAGCCATAAAGTGAACGCTTTCGAACAGCTGTTGTGACTCCGCAGCAAGAGGACGTGGGTGAAGTACTAAAGGATGGGTACATGGTACCACGAACAGGCTAATCACCAATGGCTCGGTCGCAGAGGAATTTGCAGGAACTGTGGTATGGCGCACCAGGGGTGCGGTGACGTTTTGTTTCGCTGTTGGGAGGTGATCACGGGGTCTCCATTGGAACACCCGCAATGTAGGTACCACAAGGAGATGAAGGCCATCCGAGTTGGTGGGGAAGTGTGCGGCTACTGGATGCAGTGACGGATCGAGGCGCAGGAGGTGTGCATCATCACTGCCTGATGGGCGGACAACTGTTGGGACGATTTGCATCACGAAAGCACTGCTCTGTGGGGTCATCGGCACGAGGCGCAGAATTCGATTCATGTGGATGCCTGCCCACGATGGCATTCACGGGAACGAAGCTGCAGATGCCGAGGCGATTATTGCTGGCGAGAGCTTGGGCGGCTTCCAATCCAATAAACGTTGTATTCTGCTGCTGCAGACATCACCAATAGGGGATATTTGCGGGCGACATTGCAGACAATAATGTCATCACTAATGAATAACAACAATGGTGTTAATGACCCAGTTTCCTTTTACTTTGTCAAGAGTTCGGCTGTGATTCATGGAATATGAATGCAGCATAATGCCGTCGCCCAGCTGCAGGTGTTGTTGTCATGCTGTTGCGCATTTTGCTGAGGCCACGTGGCGTCCAGCGTCGTCTCCCAATGACGGGTCCCTTGGATGCGCCTCGCACTAGGCTTTTCCAGGATGCTCTTTTCTTCATTCCTCGGGGTGGGCGGATTTGCTGCGGGTCTGTGCGGCCGAGCGGCTTTGGCAGCAGCGGCCTGCGGCCGCGCTTTTGTACCTATCATGCACCAGGCCTCGCAGGCAGGTGGGGACTCAGGCAGAAGCGCAGAAGTTTGGAAAAGCGGATTGCGCGGTGCCTACACAAGTACAGGTCTGCATTCATAGCGTGCCAAACTTGCACTATAGAACAAACACAATTTATCGTACACTGAAAGAGCATGGATCATATTGCACAGAGTTCTACCATCCTGAGCTGAGTCTATCCTCAGTTACATATTGTCAATAAGGGGATACGCTATGTCGATTTTGTTACTAAAAAGGACGACAGACAAACCTGCAGCGATGTTAGTGGTCCGAAAATTGAGATGCAAAAGCCATGGCAAGTGACTGGGGCCGGTTTTGAATGCCGTCAACTAAGGTTTAATGGGTTTTTTTGTGAAGACTAAATTGCCAAAAGGCAGTTTGAGGATAAGTCATAAGTTCATAAGATATGGCCACTTTTCAGCTGCGTTTTGGGTATCTTCCAAGCCTATGTCGGTTCTGTTGCAGTTACATAATCTTCGCGACACAGGTCTGGACGGCCCCCCCTAGAAAATTGACGTAAGCGTGGAAATTTCGACATACTGTCTTCCCTAATTGAACTCAAGTGTTTCCTTCACGGACTGCATCAAGGATTGGGCAAACGATTTCTTGATTGCACGAAATTAGGGATCGGAGTCCTGGGCGCCAAGGGCCTTAAGGACAATTTTACTGCCGTCAAATGAGGCTGGAGCACAAGGGATGGACCCTCCAGGGGGCCAGCATTTTAGGGGTCAAACGTTTCGGGGATGCGCATCATTTTTAGCCTAGTGGAACAAAGTTTTCTTGTAAAGACATAGGCATATCTTGGATTTGGACTTCTTCTTTTCTCTTCCAACAAAGTCCATTGGTGTCGCGTACAGGCAGGCTTGTTTTTTACATCTCAAACACAACACGGATTTACGCACTTGGGCGTACAAATGGTATTTACATTTTTTGTGTAAATACGCGTGAAAACACGTTAACACAGGCCCTGTGCACATGAAGACATCACGCACAGTCTCAAGGATTCTCGGGAGTGGCACCCAGATCCGCTGAAGTGGGCAGCAAACCACCTGGTGTTCGACGATGCCGTTGCCCTCGCCGAGGGCGAGGTGGACGCTGTGTTGCGAGTGCTCAAGGCGCCGGAGGACTGATCATTATTTGCGACTTAATCATGTCAAACCCGGGAATTCTTAACGCACTTTAAAAATACGAAAATATAGCCGTAAGCCTAGCCGTTCTGTATTTACCCACATTTGAACGTAAAGCAACGTACGCGCAGAAAATGGTGCAGTAAACGTAAATAACAAGCCTGCGCCCAGGAAGCGTGTGGACAATGAAGAGGGCAGGGACAGAAAACATGTCCCAACGACAGCCTGCAAGGCGCAAACGCCCGCCTTGTCTCATGAGGGCAGATGCAAACAAGGGAACTTGGCAAGAACCAGAGAACAGCGCAAAGCCAGGAACGTCTTGACTGATTCACCAGATTGTGCATTCCTGCAATTCCCCCTCCACGTCGTTCCTCCTTGCTTCCCCTGTCAGACAGGCAGGATATTAACACCCGCGAACCCCCACCGCCCTGCAGCCCTGCGCCACGGCGCCCCACGTCCCCACGCAGCTTCTCGCTCTGGGGTCGAACCCCCGGCCACCGACCCCAGTCCTCCGCCATGCACTTCGATCGAAAGCTGCCGGGAAGCGGCGCCTGGCGGCCGGGCAAGGAGAGCACGAGGTGCGCGAGGGCATCGCGGAAAATTCGCGTCGCACCGCTATTTGGCTACAAACTCGCAGAATATGCCACCGATGCTCCACAGACGCAGCGGCGTGGGCGGCGATGGCCCCCGCGTTCGGCCTCACCTTGGTGGCTCCTCCTTTTTTAACACATGTTCGCTGCGCCGTCTCTCGATTTCGTCCCCGCCGCGCGTCGTGCCGAGTGTGGCGTGGGGTCATTCACAAAAGGCGAACGGGCAATTGGGAGATTGCCCACCATCGCCATTGAAGGTGCGAGGGGGATCTGTTTGCATCTACTTGGGCGCATGCGATTGCGAGGATTCCACCCCGACAGAGTTCGCCCCTGGCCTATGGGCCGCAGGGAAGAGGTGCTGCGCAAAGCGAGAGCGGAGCGCAAGACGCGCGCCAAGGACCGGCAGCGCAGCGAGGCGGCGGAGCTCATCCAGCGCGTCTGGCGCGGGCATGTCTGCCGCCGGCGCGTTGCTGCCGAGCGCCTGCGTGACTGGGTGCACCGGTACGGTGCCGTTGTGGGGTCCACAGGTGCCCTGCTGTCCGCGGAAGAGCTAACAGGTGAGAAGGGGCTTTCTGTCAGGACGTATGGGCCGCATTTTGCGTGGCTTAAGGCAGCCCTTGCATGAGAGATGAGTTCCTTGTCCTGACGTCCATTTTGTGCTTCCATACCCATCAACACCCGATTGTCAGTGCTTGAGGGAGGGATACCTGATTTGTTGCTGCTCCAAAGCTCTAAGCTCTTGGACGAAGAAAGGAGCACTGGAGTCGTCGATCTATCCCAATACGCCTTGTGACACTGTGTTGATTGCCCAAGATGGATACAATTAGCCCAAGAGAAGCAGTTGGTTAGCCGTTGAACATTGGCGACCAATAATGTCATCATATCCGTGCAAAACTGAAACGGCTATGGAAGACAATTGTGTCCTGGGTGGTCAGTCAGCTCTGGTGGTTGCTATCTGCGTACGGCACTCCCTCCTTGGGACCCAGAGGTCCATTGGGGTGAGATTTCTGGTGCGCTTAGAACCATACTCTTGGCGCTGCCTCAAGTTTGCATTGTGTGGGCACTTTGCAGATGCTGTGCTGCCACCTGTCCTGCTGTCTGTACTGCCACCCCTCTCACAGCTGATGGGTGCCGTGCGTTCTGTGGGCTCACCTATAACTGCTGCCCAGCTGGTGGAGCCTGCTGCTGCTCGTGGTGCCCTAGCATTGGTGCTTCGCAGCCTTGGCACACAAGACCAAAACTCCACATGCTGGAGTCTGTGCCTGGATGCCACCAGAAAGGTACTTGTGCCTTGTTGCCTGCCCTGATATGGCTGCCACTTGATTTTGAAGAAGGGCAATTCGTTTGACTGGACAGGCATGTTTGCCGATTTTTATATACCACAGATCTCATAAGCAGGCAATTCCACCAGTAGAAGCTTGCTGGATTTTGTGCATCCTTGATTCTTGTGATGGCGCACTGTGACATCAGTTTCTTGTCTCTGTACTCTTTCCCAAGATGCTGGGAGCAAGCACCCAGAGCTGTTGCAGCAAAACGGATTTTAGCATGTATCGATGCAATCAATGTGTTTCAAGCCTGGCTGGCTCGTTTCAGTTCTAACTTGTACCAAACAGAGCTTATTTCAATGATCGTATCGCCTGCACACTCCCTTCGAAACTGCAGCACCTTTCACGTGCATTGTCACGATTGGATTCATCAGGAACTCACAAACAGCTGCCCACGTACCTCCAAAGCATTCACAAGGAGGTCATCCACTGTTGTTGTCACTTGGCTTGATGCATTGATCATGGCGCACAGGCAAAGTGGCGCAGTCAGTGCCTTCAGCTGGTACTGCTGTGTTGTGGAGTGCTTGGGGCTCAAGGAAGTGGAGGAGACCAGCTGTTGGAGGCTGCAGCAGCCCGCACCCTGCTACTACTAACTGATGGGCCAAAACAGAAGCATTTCCAAGGTGGTTGCGCTAGAATGGCAATGAATGTACTGTAAACTGTGTGATTTAGAATATTCCAGAGGTCTTTGGGTACACAATGAGAGAATGGACTTTTCCCAGAGGAAGGTTGCTGTGCTTGTTAGGACAGCATGAACTGGCATCGGACCTGCTTGCTAAAATTCTGTCAATGGCAACCAGACAACAATTGTGGTTGGCCCTGTTCTTTTTTGACCATCTAGCTACAAGTTGTTGACAGGTTGTTACCTTCATTGTTCAAATGACCCTAGGCATGCTGTGTGGACAGTTTAAGCCCATCTGTGTTGCTCCTTGCAACTGACATGGCTGCCTCTTGCGTCTTGCCTAACTGTTGTGTTTTGCTTGTGCAGACAATCCTGATATCTCTGCACTCCTCAGGGAAATAACGAGCATGCTGGCCAACAGCCCTCCGGTGTTTGCTGCATCTCGCAGACTTGTCTTGAATTCCGGAGCGAACTCTGCAACAACCAACCCAACAGATGTAACTTCAAGAGGTGCGCTGTCTGGTGTTCTACAATTGTGTCGTGAGATGTTTGCATTGTGTGACACAACGCAATTGCTTTTGTCCAAGTGTTTGTATGAATATGCCCCAGAGAAGTTTTGCTGGTGACCATTCAACTTTCAAGCACAGCCACTGCTCGGCACATGGTCTGATCCTCATTGTCTTTTTTGGTTTTATCTTCAGTATAAAATATTTAGGGATGCTTTCCAGGCAATGTGCAAGAGGGGTTTCACTGGGCCCATCAGCACCTTGAACAGCAAGGGCAATGATTAGCAAAATTCAAAAGTGGAATTGAAGCAGAAACACACACTATCATGCAGTTGTCCACTTACACAGGTCTCCTGTTGCATTCAAGGGCAAGTTCTGGATTGGACCTTCAGCGTGGCAGTCAAGCTGCTGGATTCAGAATGTGCCACAAGCGCTGCAGACCATTTTGTCAAGTTTGTGCTGATGGCCCACAACCTGGTGGACAGCTTGATGTCGAATGTAAAGCTTGCGCGGGCCACAGCAGTCCTGGTGAGGGATGCCAGCCAGACTGAAACCCGCGCACCCTCACATATATCTCGGCTGCTGGGACGTTGCAACCTGCTGCTCTGGAATCGCCATCTTCACTAACCCAATCTGCATTCTCATCACTGGAGTCCCGGCACAATGGTTGGATAACCGATTGACAGCATTCAACTCCTTGCCTCTTGCAGACGCAGCTATCGCAGCATGCGCTGCAACTCCTGCAAACAATGGAAGCAGCTCCTGAGGGGATGCCCTTGGACCGACTGCTAGCCTTGTCGAATCTGACATCGCTGGTTGTTGGACGCCCTGTGGAGCGAAACCCTGGCAGCCAGAAGGGCAGCATGCTTGTAAACAGCAGCCTGCTTCTCAGGAAGCCGGAAGATGTCAAGGCATATGCTCAGGCTGTGACCAAGATTTTGGAGGTGACGACCGAGGAGGCCTTGTCAAAAGGAGTTGGAAAGGGGGATTGGGCTGGCGTGTCCCGTGGGCTGTCAGTGTTCTCTGACAGGGCACACCTGCTGCAGCTGCTCAAAGCTCTGGAACAGCAGGCGCAGGGTGTGGAGCTGCTGGCAAAATTGTACTGTTTGTTGTTGCACAGGTGAACAGAACTGCCAATACACTTTTTGTTGGGTTTCTGCTGCTTCTCATTCTCAACTGTCTTTCTATGTGATATGGTATTGCAGCTCCACAGGGGCATCCCATTTATTCAGTGCTTCAGACATTCAACTTTCTGAAAACTGTATTCCTTGTGCATCTGAAGCAGTGCACTGTGCCTCGTTCAGTTTTTCTGGTTTCTTCATGGTTCTTGGAACATTCGTGCTTTTAAACCAACCTCTGTTGTTGGTTGTGTTTGAGTTGCCATAGGCTGACACTGATATCTCGTTATGTGTTGATAATAACAGGCTCCCTTTGATCACTCCATTCAGCAAGTCGTTCCCAGCTGGCCACCTTCTGAACACTGTGGCCTTTGCCCCCCACTTCCTCCCCAAGCTGTGGCACTGGTTAGCGGTCAACATTCGTGTGCCCCTGGAGGCACCCCTGGAGGCCACTCGTGGCTGGATAGTGGAGAGCATGAAGGCTGGCTACGCTGGTCTGCAGACGAACCACCTGCATGTACTTGGCCTCTTTTGCCAGGTCTACTCCCACTTGCTCCTTGTTCTCGATGACAATGACTTCCACGACCGACAGGATCCCCTCACATTGGGACAGAATAGGGCAATTGTGGCGACTCTCAACAACTTGGTCTTCTACACATACTGCCCGAATGCCTCACAGCATCAGCCTTCTGTCAGTCGAGGCAACCCCCACTGGTCCATGAAGTTGCTGGAGGAGTTTGCACCCGTTCTGCTGCGGCGACTGTACGAAAGGGATGCAAGGAAGTCGTTTTGCAGTGCCTTGCTGTGGCTGGCGCCGTACTCGGCAGTGGGAGATGACCCAAGCCGTAGAAATGTGCTGTCAGCTGCAGTGGTGCAGGCCTTGCTGAACAAGACCTCAGGTATGGGGCTGATCATTGAATTGGTCAGTGCTTTACAGCTGTGGCTGTTTAGCTCCTCTCTTTTGATACCAAGTTGGTACATCATGTGTATTAAAGCTTATTGTGTGTCTGTTGGTTCCCCTGTGTGGGTGGCATAAGTAGCCAAAGTAAAGGACACTGGTCCACAGCCTGAGGGTACTGTACTCTGGCGTTGCTCTAGTTCCACTGGCCATCCTCAAGACAAAAACACCAAAGTCAGACACAATCATTCAGCGATTGTACTGCACTGCCAATTGGCGCTGCCACCCAAGGAAGCAGCTGTGACCTGCTCCTTGTACGGATGCCCCTCTTACCCAATTCACCTGTTGTTTGGTTGTGGTGTGTGCAGGCAGGCTTGATCCTGTCTCTGTGTCCAGCGCCAGCCGTGCTGTTGGCTTGGCAAATCTGCTCCTGTGTGCACCTCAGTGTGTTCCATTTGATGATCGTGTTGAGGTATTCAGGGGTCTCATCCTTGCAGACAAACAGGCAGGACGATGGGACCTGTCCAGGGCAGAGGGGGGCCCTGCACCCCACCAGGTTGGCGTTGATGCCTTTGATCACAGTTTGACAGTATCACAAGTCAAGTACTTGTTGCCATTGCAGTTTGCAGACGATGTTGGGTGGAGCAACATAACCAAAGACGATTTTGTGGCCCTTGATGTTCTCTGTTCCATACTATACAAACAGCAAACTGTACAAATAACGGCAGAAACCGGTGGCAGGGTCACAAAGGTTCTTGTTGCCCAAGAAAGACAAGAATCGGGGATCAGGCCCCTGTGCAACAGTGTTGTGAGGCCTTTTGTATCGATGGGACGCTATCCGAATGTGATGAATGAAAGAGCATGTGGTTGTACCTTGGGTGTCATTGTTGCTGTATGGCTGTTGCTTATCATGAGCTAGGCAATATTTCATCCCTGTGCAGTGACAGTACTGGGCCACTCAGCTGTGCAGAGTAGTTTATGCCTGTTATGAATTATGACGATTTATGGTTAGTCACTGCCACGTACTTGTGTTAGTTGTCCCCGGTTCTTGACTGTAGCAGCGTACTAGGCTGACAGACCAGTTTCTCGGTATTGCTGCTTGCTCATTTGCAGGTTTTATCACACCTGAGCTGCATGTTATGGAGAAGAAAAGGGGCCATATGAAGAGCGCTGTTGCTGCCCATAGCAAAGTGCTTATATGCACCTGCCTGTAAAGGAATATCTCAAGTTCATTGTCTTGCATTTGGTTTTGAAAGGCATTCTAATGTACTAATACAGTACGTATGTTGTGGGCTACAGCGGAACGCCATAGAAAAGCCCACGAGCACCAAGGCCCAGGGCTGTTGCAGTTCATGGAACAAAACTGGCATACACAGGGGTAAACAGTAAAACTGCAGCATGCAGATAATTCTGGGGAACAGCGCATTCAAAACCTATCTGTTTATGCAAAATATCACTGAAGGAAGATAAAAAGAAACATACAGTTGTTTGGCATTGTTCAATGCAGCACTTCAGCTGTTTGTGTCACATACAGGAGTAAATGTATAATAAAAATTGCAGTGCCATGCCCATTGCATGCCAGGCAATCGCAGATCTGCGGCAGCGCACAGCGCTGAGGCACCCTTCTTGTCCGTGACCCCTCCCACAGAGATGGTTAATGTGATAACAGTTGACCGTCAGGCGTGGCAACCTTTTCGGCGATGCGATGGTGGACCTCAGCCGACTAGGGCCCAATATGAAGGGCCGGCTGATGGTCACCTTTGTTGATGAGCATGGCATCGAGGAGCCTGGCTTGGACCATGGGGGTCTCATGAAAGAGCTTGTGGAGGAGGTCATGAAAGCGGGCCTTGACCCTCAAGCTGGCCTGTTCAAGGCGAATGCCGATGGGCTGCTGTATCCCAGCCCGCTGGCTGAACGCCTACAACAAGGGCCTCAGATGATGAGATATCTGGGTGAGTGCCATTGCTGTGGTGCCTTTGCTGGCATCAAAGCATTGCAGCACATGTAGAGTACAGGTGCTGCCCCCATCGTATCAGTAGAGCTGCTTGTCTTGTGCCACCAGCGACCATCGTTGCTTTCATGAAACTCTCATAAAGTCGACCTTATCGAATGTCAAAGGTAGAGTTGTTTTGGCTTCGTCCCATGTTAGTAAATCTTTGAGCATTTGCACAAAAGGCAAGTCTTGTTGCGTGAATGGGCCAGGTGGGTAGGTGAAAGATAAGGAGTGATGAGGATGGGGGACAAGGCCTTTGGATTCATTGTTGCTCACTACAGCCGTTTTGTGGTTCTGAACGTCATTTGATGTGCTGAACTGCAGTGCAAGGGTAGGGAATATGTTTGTGGCTTGGTTTCACTGACAACAAACATTGTGTTGAAGATCATGTTCTGGACTTTGGACAATAAGCCACTGTGATGTGGACTCAAATCCAAGAAAATGTGGTGCAGCTTCCTAAGTGCACACAAACACATTTGCCATTGATAATTCTGCTTCCCCTCCTGCTCTCACCTGGTGGTTGACGATGCCACCCCTTCCATATGAAGGAGGACAGCAGGCTGCCAGAAAGAACACAGGCAATCCCTTTATAGGACAACAGTGCTGCTCATTGTCCAACAAGAAGGCCGTGACTAGCTCACTGTTACTGCAGGACACATCCCACAGGGCCACATTATGCAGAGATTCTGAATTTATGGTCTGATGCGCTTCTATCGCCAGCAAATGAGAGCTTTGTCCAGTGCTTGCTTGCAGTCGCAGTTAGTCTTTGTGAAGTATTGCATCACTGTTGTCCAGCAAAAAGGGCTTGTGTTGCAAATTGACAGAGTCGACGGTTGTTCGTTGTGGTGCACCTGTCTCCAATCTTTGTACTGGCAATTTTCCATGCAGGTAGTGGAATTTAGGCTCCTTGCAGTTTCCTTTTCCAGCAGATTTATGCGAAACAGCAAGCATTCTTGAACAAAAGACTATGGAAGCAAACCTATGATATGCTGGAAGGTTCGAGGACAGTGCTTTCCCATGTTGGTTTTGGTGCAGTTGAAAGGAACCCTCTGTGCTTGGCACAGGCCTGATGCTTGGAAAGGCGCTGTACGAAGGGCTGCTGGTGGACATCCCCCTTGCCCCGTTCTTTCTTCTCCGACTGCAAGGCCGGATGCTGATGTTCGATGACTTGGCCAGTTTGGACCCTGAGCTGCACAGGAGCTTGCTGCAGGTGGGGGCATATTGTGCCCTCTGGGGGGCGGGGAGAGGACTGACAGTCATGGCAAAGATCGCCTTTTGAGCAAGAAAATTGCCACAGTAAACACGCAGTGTGCACGTGCTTCAAGGTAGTTTGTGGGGCTCCTTCACATACTCCAAAGACAATGCACAAGTTTCTGAATGCAACAGTTGCACAGCATCAAAGAGGCAGTGAACATTCCATGTAAGGAATTTGACTGCCTGAACAACACCAACACAAGGATGTGCTGACTCCATTTCCGTGAGGTGCCGTGCCATTGGTGCATAAGGCGGGAATGCATAATCGCGTGCATGCTGTTCTCTTCCGATGTATTCATCGTGTGGAACCATATTATCCCAAACCAATTGCCCTTTCAGTACACAGGTCAGATGGGTTGTTTACCAACTCAGAAAGTTTGTCACACACTGATCAGCGCAGTTTTGATTTGTAAACCGCAGTCTGCAAATACCCACAACGGAAATCCTAATCCAAAAACAAACAGAAAAGATAACAAATGGAAATAAATATCTCACAAATACTCGACAAAATTAACAGAGTCTATTCTCCGCTTGCACATCCACTGTGCACCCCTCCGTGGAGGCCCAGGTGGGCAGGACTTTGTTAGCTGAAAAGAAGCTCATTCGCTGCCGCCTATTTTTTCGGACCAAACCATAGATTTTCAACACTATTTGACCTTCAACAGGCACTGAAACACTATCACTCACAAGGTGCAAAAGGAAGCGCTATAACCATGCAGTGCCCAAGGCACCAACTCGAGGAGTTGGTGCAGGACATCCCCTCAATACACATAACTTGAGTCCCAAGACATGAGTCCAGATGATTATGTTCCATTGCTCAAAACCTGCCTTTGTTTCTACGGTGCAGTCACTGTACCTATTAGTGCATCAATTGATGCACAGATTGGTACAACAATCATTGCATTCAATCGTCCAACAATTGGTGCACGAATTCATGCACCGACTGATGCACCATTTCACACACAATTTGGTGTGCTTAACTTGATCCTAAGAGGTCGAATCCAGGTGACTGAAGGTCAGTGCGATTGAACATGTTCAACTCACGTTGAAACTCGATTGCAGTCATTTGCCTCCCAACCCCTCAAACACTATTTCTATTTGGCCCTAGCATTATACAGTTGTGTGTATTGTGTCACAACCATGAAGGAACATGAGGGTAGTTCGGCTGACCGCACAATGCTGCACCATTGGGTTAATTAGAGGACTGCACTTGCGTAGCGCGCACGGATATCTGGCCTTGTAAACCGCAGTCTGCAGGTATTTGTATTCATTCAGGTTAGAATGCAGCTGTAGGCCAATCATTTGCTCCTGGAAATAGGGCGGCCATTAATTTGTCCGTGCAGCGATAGTGGCTTTGACAAATGCAGCCAAGTACTCGACATTGCTTGTATGTGGCTCCTACAGCAATGATGAAAGCGAATATGTTGCTGCTCTGCTGCAGGTGAAGCACTACGATGGGGATGCAGCTGACCTATGCCTAGACTTCACTGTCGAGGATGAAATTCTTGGCCAAAGAGTGGCTGAGGACCTGCCAGATTTGACAGGGTCCCACTTGCCGGGATCAGAACGGCCAGTAACCAATGACAACAAACTGCAGTATGTGCATCTCGTCGCCGACTGGCATGTGAACGTCAAAGTGGGCCGCCCGGCGCAAACCTTTGCTTCTGGTTTGGCCGAAGTCGTGCCGCTGCCCTGGCTAAGGTGGGTTTGAACATGTGTTGTGACGTGTTGTTACCTGCCGTTGGCATTTGAGGTGGAAAAGCCCAGTTTTTTGTGGTCAGCGGTCGAACGCGCCCAGAGGAACCGAGTTACAAGAGTCCTTCTGGCCAAGCTGTACTGGAACCGCTGCCGCTGTGCTGCTGGTCAGGTGCTTTGTTTGGGGATATCCGACTTTGCGTAACATTGTTGCAAGCCCTTGTTGAGTGTACTTATCTGGATTTTGCAATCATTGCCTGTTGCTCACATGATAGGAGAAGTCGATTTGCCACACTGTGACAATATGTTTATTGTGCAGCTGGCCTGGCTGTGGTCAGCCCCCATCCGTACCAGCCAGTTTCGTGTGCTGCCTAGTCATTGTCAACACTCAACAGGCCTTGAGGCATTGCTAAGGTGGCAAGAGACCCCTGATGTGATGCAACAGAGGTGGCATCCAGGTACACACAAGAACACCATTATCAGCTCTGTTATGGTCTGTGCTACTAGGGCGCCAATATGTGCAGGAAACGTTGCTAGTTGACTGCCATCCTCGATGGAATTCGTGGCAAATGGGTTGTGGCATGAGGTGAATGAAAACCTGGCATGTGATTTTGTTGCTGAAATTTGTGGCATGCTGAAGTTGTTGCTCGTTCATCCAGTAATCAGCAGGATGGCAGTACCATGACGGTGAGAAAGAAGAGCTTGTGGTCAATAATGGCGTCAGAGTACACAGAAACATCAGGCAGAGCAGGAACTGAGACACCAGCCCTCCTCTCCAGGGACATGTGGAAAGTTGGGTCAGCTGATGGGGCCCATATGCAAGCACCACTGCATTAAAAAGCGCCATCAGTTTGCCTAAAAACTGTGCCGTGATCGAAATTGACATGAAGTATGGTTGTCTCCTCAATGTTGTTGAACCAGGTTGTTCAGCCCAAAGGAATTGAACGCGTTGTTGAGCGGTGGAGAGGGCGTCGATGTCGACGTCGAGAACATGAAGAGTTTCACAAAGTACAGCGGAGGCTACAGCGAATCCAGTGCGACAGTGAAGCTCTTCTGGCACGTCATGTCTGGATTCACCCCTGAGGATAGGGCAGCCTTGCTGAAGTTCGTGACGGCCTGCAGCCGGCCACCCCTGGGGGGGTTCAAGCACCTTCAGCCATGTTTAACGATCCACAAGGTGGGCTTTCTGAATTGGCGGATTCCTTCTGGGCTTTCCGAGTGGTTGGGAATGAGCGAACATCGTGGAGCAGTGTGCACACGAAATCGTGCCCATCATCACCTTGTAGCTGCGAGTGTGGCCGTGTACCATTTGGCACTAAATGTTGTCAAAGGAGTTGCTCATGGACTTGCAAATCGAAGGCCCAGCAAGTCTCGTGTAAATCGAAGCCAATGAAAGCGCACTGGATGCTGAGAGCACCGGACTTTACGACTGTGTGCTCTTGCATCAGCGCAATGCAAATGTAGGGACAACGAATGCTTCGTCTAGCCCTGAAGTCAAGGTGGATTCGACTTCCTTCTTGCGTGCTTCTGTTCGTCGATTGCGATGTCTGGATTGGCCTTCCTGTATTACAGCCGTGCATCCAGTTGGGAAACAAGTGCCCAGAGTTCGTTCACACCCTGACTGTGTGCGTCAGGTGGACTGTCCCGCCTCGCCGCTGGCCGCTCTTGGTGGCAAAGACGTCGACTTCCTGCCAACTGCCTCCACATGTTACAATATGCTGAAGCTGCCCAACTACAGGCGAGCGGCGACACTCCGCAAGAAGCTCCTCTACGCCATCAGGTCCAACACCGGCTTCGGGTTTTCGTGAGACCTGGCTTGGTGGCGGTGGGTGGGGTGGGTTGGTGTGCGTTTGGGCGGGGCTATGTATCGAGGTTGACCGCAGGCGGAGAGCAGTTATTAATTTCTTGTCTCGACCGTTGTTTTTTTTGGTTACTTTCTGTTGGAAAGAGTGTGTGTCGTTGATGCTGCGACTCTTGCGTTGATGCAGAGACGATTTAATTCTCTTGTTGTCGAGAGTGTCATATCAAATGCACCTCGGATGATGCCAACTTGTGGCCTCAAGGGAGCCGCGGCCTTGTGCCGTGAGCTGTCCACTGCTGGATGAATCTGTCGTTGTAAAACACCGTCCGGGGCAACACATGACAGTTAGCCTATCCATTAAGACCTGCACCCCGCCAACGTGGTGTTCTTGTGTGAAGAAGCACTGGCGATGCAAGTACTCGTTCCAATTTCCGCGAGGAAAGGGAAGGACCGGCGAAAGTACGAGAAAGAATGCGTCAATTTTGGCAGCTGTGTCGCGAAGTTGGTATTAACTGGCCTACCACACAATATAAATGGTGAACGCCAGTACCACTGGTTGGCAGTCTATTTCACGTAGATGGAAGCATGAGCCTGTCAATCGCTTGTGTCATGAAATGCACGAGATGAGGCCCCCAGGTATCAAAAAGCTCGCCTTGAAATATCTTGCTCCGCCTTTCGCATCCTCCACATTGCATGGACATCATTTGGGCGACATTACGTGGGCAAAGAAAATGATTTGTCGTGTTTGCCTGCGTGCCTCAGTATGTTTTTATATGAATAAGCACACGAACGTGAGTTCCCTGTTTCACCCAGATGAAACAGTATCACCAGCCATCCAGACAGTGTCCGGAAGATGCCACCTATCCGTTTCTTTCTCAGGGCTATTCCATTGCTGACTTTTAAGCATCGGAGATTCTCCTATGGTCGTATTGTTCAACAACATCTTGATGCTACTTCTGGCGAGCACGACCGAATCAAGATTTAATACTTCAACGCCTGGGTTCAAAATAGTTTTAAGGGAAAAAGCAGTCAGTTGTGTAAAGTATGCGAGAATCGCAGGCAGTCATTTGAAGACTTGTGCCCCAGGGGGTCATTTGGATAGGCTATCCTATTTGGGGTCCTTGTCTCACGATGACTCAGCGGAATCAACTGGTGGAAACTCAAAATCCGTCATGATGCTCGATTTGTGTGTCTATTGGGAATTATCCGTGCAGAAACGCCGAACGCTTCTTTTGGTACTTTGCTTCTGGGGGCAGTTGATCCCTCCATTATTCACACAATGGAGCATCCAAAATCTCCACCACATGAAATGGTCTTCTGACCTGGATTTCAACAATCTGCAGCCAGCGCTCGTTCGTGGTAACGTTACACCGTGTTGCTTTCTGTCCACGACTCTGGCCTAATTTGATTTTTTCATTGTCTTTGATTGTTTTCGCCGCACGCAAGCATCTTTCGTCATAGCAGTTCGGTGTCATGCTGTCCTTCTTTACCTCCCGCAAAGGCCCACATTTCGAAGCACAGCCATTCACAATTCGCTCCCCAGCGTATGAACTCGTGGATTCTGGACCGTATTGCTGCGATACGTGAGGCTGTCATTCGATAATTGCTAAGAAGTGTCAGACACCGAATTCCATGGCTATATAGGGTGCTAACGGCTAGCTCCTTGCCTGAATCTGCACATTAAATTCATTCATTTGGTTCCATGACTGATTATTCGATTGAAAATGTGTCAATCAAAGATTCAAGCATGTCCAGCTAATTTGAAATGGAATGTCCAAGAGTTTGCTCTGGCGAACAGCTGCTGGCCCTTGCAATGCTCACACTGTCTGGGATTTATTAATCGCAGATTGGCGACCCTTCCTTCGTTGCCGCTGTCTGTGAATGGCGCTAGCCGGCTATCAGTTGCCCTGCCATGGCCGCGCCTTTCCCCGCCTGGGCTTAGCTTCACGGCTACTGTGCGCCACAAACACCCACTACTGCCCCCCCGTGGGAACCAACCCTGCAGAAAACGTGTTCAAGTTCAGAACTTGAGTGCCTAGAAGCAAAATCTCGCTTGCCGCGCTCATATAACAACACCTGGACTTTGGTCAATATGACTGGCAAGAAGAAATAGACAGTCAGTGGCAGGAGAAGAACGTTGAAAGAGCAAGGTAATTGCTTTCATGGGAAAACCCTGGATGGTGGGTTGACAGCTTTACTTATTCCTCCTTGCCATCGCTGCCAGATACTTGTCCTTTGACTGGCCCATGACAAAATCGCCAATTTCGAGCCTGTTGCGATTGCAGGCGCACTGTTTCACAGCGACGCGTCCTGTTGGGAGGGCAACACAAGCCAAAACCTGCCTGGCGATCTGGAAGGGTTCAGGATCTGCTTGAAAGTGCATCCCTCCGTCGCAAAATGGACGACGATATGGAATTAAAAGGTCCTGGCTACGATGCCATAGCAGACGAGTTTGAGAGGCAAGCGAGGGTTTCGATGCAATTCAATTCAGCTGACCTCAAGGAATATTGAACATACAACAAGGAAGAGGTAGCCGAACAGCTTTTATTTTGCACTTTTGCGAGGTCTCAATCTACCCCATTTGCCAAAGACGAGGAGGAATTGCCATTTTCATCTTCAAGGCAGTGAGTGGGCAACATTTCATCCGTTGAATGTCCCGAGTGTTGTCTCCATGTTCTTCGCCACGACTGGACCTGATTCTAATGTGAGGGAAACTAAACTCATGCGACAACACAGCTTAGCTGCTGATCGCCAAACATTGTGCGATCCACAGCTACGAGGACTACCTGGACAGTCAAATCACCAGCACAGATCTATACTATCTGGAAGACATCGAGTTGGCTCGTCAGCTCGTCGAACTGGGGTAGGCAGGAGGCAACGGACTCTCGTCAAATGAAACAGGTCAAAAAGAACACGTGTTCTCAGTAAGTACTTCAATTTCGCCCTTCCTAACCCAACCCCTCCCCACCCCATCCATGTTTTCCATTTATTCCCATTTCAGACAACATTGCATTGCCATTTTAACACAATTTGCTCTAAATGTGGCCCGTGCACGCAATTCCCAACAGTTTCTCATTCAATCCCCCCGCGCTGGAACCAAAAGGTGTCGGAAAATTATACGGAACTAAACCATGTCTCGCTCGTCCAATCAAATGGCGACCGATTACGAACGGTAGTAGTCCATGTATCGCAACTCATTGTGTAAATAGTATGGTGCCGCATGCCGACGCTGGTGTTTACAAGTATGCCGCCGTCACAACCGCAAACATGTTTAGCCACACCGGCACACCACGTGCTCTGAATTGGCGATCGCCATTCCCAGTGCGCCACGTTCTGGGCCTGCAGACTCCGAGGCAACGGAGAAACGATCAAGAGGGAAGAGTTCGATCAAAGGAAGGAGGCAGCCGAGGCGGCGCGACAGGCGCGCTTGAACAAGAAGCCCAAGAAGCTAGCGTCCCAGGGGAAAGATGTCGAGGACATGCCCCTCCTTCAGGTGGTGCTCTTACTCTGTGCAACTAGGTCGATAAAGCGATTCGATTGTGCCTGAAGGCTTGTCCAACTGGATAATCCATGCAGTGGAAGGACAGATTAATCGAGCTTTCCATATCGAATGCCAGTAGTCGCCTGTTTGTTGCAATCTGAGATATCGATATTACGTTATTAGACCAGTATCGTGAATCGCATATTGTTTTTGTGTAATGCACGCAGTGGCGCGCAATATCTTCCATTGTGCAGAATTGTAAAGAGAGTGACTTGCAACCGGGCTGAGTATGGAAATTGTCCCTTGATCCTCCGTTCTACTCCCCCCCCCCCCCGTGTGCTTTTTTTTTTGTGACTACTGAATGTTATCACTGACGGTGCAGTTTCTTCGACACTGCCGTGGACCGCAGTGGCGTGTCCAAGATGTCAACTTTGCTTAATGGCAGTTTCACCGCGCTGGTGTTTTCAATATTATGTGCGATTCACTTTTGTGTCGCAGGCCCTCAAAGATCGCGAGGAAGCGGTGCGCAACGGGAAGCTTACAACCATTGTCTTCATCAGGGATCACAACGCCAGGGGGCAGGAGGTGTCTGGATATATCGACTACGGCAACAGGCTGAAAAATGAGCATATGGAGCTCATATTTGAGAGAAAGAAACGTCTCATTCCCAAACCATCCGACCTGAGCTTCTACAACTGGGACACACAAATGTCCACGTCGAATCCGACGCCGAACTTTCAGGCAAGCTGATCAGTGAGACTTCCGCTTCTGCGCACTGTGGATGCCGATCTGGCTTCGGACAACGGAATCCATGCACTTTTTCCGCCAAAGGGACGTTATGCGAAGTGAGTTTCCAGCTGTTGCCAACATTTTTAGGCACCTCGTTGACAGTGCCGCCTTGTGGTGTTGGCAGACATCGGCAGATTCCATTCTCCCAAACAGCCCAACTAAAACTGATAGAACATCAATTCAAAATTCCATTCAATCGCAAAAATTTGCACCAGCAGGTGATTGCCGATAGCGAAAAGGGACTCCTCTTCAAGAACAAGCGGGACAGAAAGGTGATTAATGTGGACCCAAGCCAGAAGCCTGGAGACAACTCAACCCGAACAGAGGTGGACACAGACGAGCACATGCAGGTGGTCATCTATGACCACGTCACAAGGCGCAGAAGCTGAAGCGAACTAACGACGCAAAATCACTTTGGAGAGCAGCGGCAGGGGAATATCGAATTTGAGTCGGTTGTAGCAGGAAATTTACTTCTGGATGTAATTAAATTCGGGGAATATCCATTTGCGCCTCTGCACCTCTGCCATTCAAAATTCCCAGACCCTTACTACAAATAGCATGTATTTCTTCAATCGCCAGCCAAAACCTGCATCCATGTCCTCCATGTTCTCTCTTATGTACGTGGTAATGAGCGTTGTTGGTGCGTCCGACAATTTGACGGTGTCTTTGATCGTGCTGGCGCATCCAAATACAACTCATCGAACACTTGACATTCGAAGCAGCGAGGTCCGTCAAGCATGAACATGCCACCATCCAAGCCAGTACAACTGCGTTTCGTCGTAAGTGTTTGCTGGAAGAACAACGCAAATTTTTCTGACAGATTGGCGACAGTAAATGCGGTTCAAAATAACACACTTTCGCCAATTTGTGCACATCCATTCTGAATCCAATTTTAGTCCTCGCACTAAGGAGCTTCGCAACATGCACATGAAAGCACCACCTTCCCAAACGCATGTGAACTCCGATTTGGTGGGAGCTAAACGCAACAAGGGATATTTAGTTTGGGTGAAGCCCAATGTACAATGTGCGGTTCGTCCAATAGACGAAAGACCCCAACCAGCTTCCCCAAGGGAGAGAGCAGGCTGATATTGTCCTTAGAAATGGGGTGCACAATAGAGGTGGCCACACTCGGGTACCGTCCGCTCCATTGCGTCCGGTTCGTAAAAGTGAGTGTGATATTCGTCCGGTAACATCCGGTCCGCTGTTTGCCGTACTGCCGTCCGCAGAATCCGGCTCTCACTTTTTCTTCACCGTTATTTGCCGTTAAATTAATGGAGGGCGTGCGCGGCGTCCGGTCCGCGACAAAACATCCGTGGATTCATAATTTTGGTCCGTTCTGTCCCGTAGGTACTTGCTTTCCAGCCACGGCAAGGTCAAGGCGAAGTTGCCAGGGGTTTCCATTTTGCAGCGGCTCGAATTGTGTTGGTTGCACGCTTCATAAACGTGTGTGGGCGTTTTCCAGGTCATGTATTCTGCGGTTTGTAATACATGGAGTGTTTTGGAGAACTGAACAACACACAAGCCGTGTGTAAAGTTCCAGTGTATGGCATGCCAACCTGCACCACTTGCTGCGGCTGGTACTGCTGCATAGTACGCAGTGCGCACCACACTCCCATTGCAAGTCTTCCCGGCCATTGCAGCAAGGGTTCGGCATAGTTGCAATACCAAACGCGGACACACAAACACCCACATCACTTGAGGCAGGCGGCAAAGAGGGTTCACCTCTGAACACAGTTGAGCCACTCAACATACTTGGGAATGGGTGATACGTATCACATATAACGATGGGTTGCTGCGGCGGTACTCCACAGTTTCCACGCCAGGGCAGCGAGTGTAAAGCCCATCCAACATAGTACGTCGAAGTTCAACAGCTCAACACATGAAAACGGGCAATGAATAATACGAGTCGTTATTTGTTATCGTCCATCTCTACCTATTGCACCCTCACTGCGGCGGTACTCTAGAAGTTTCCACGCCAGGGCAGCGACTGTAAAGTCTATCCACCAATCGCAGTACTTGTTGGGACGCATTTCTTGAATAAAATTTTCTTCTATCTATATGATACCCAAGGTTCATCCACCACTCAACATAGTGTGTTCAAGGTGTGCACATCAACACAGGACAACGGAATATTACAAGTCATGATATCTTATCTTCTATCTCTATGGTAACCGCACCCTTGCTGCGGCGGTACTCCACAGTTTCCACGCCGGGGCAACGAGGGTGGTCACCGGTGGTGATCCAAACTTTGGAATCCAAAGTCACTACTTCCCTCCCTTCCCTCCCTTCCCTCCCTTCCCCCCCTTCGTGCGTCGATGCGCTAGCTTCTGCTGCGACCATCCACTCTCTGCCATCTGCCACCCTAGCAAGCTTAAATGATCCACGTTCTCGGGCTTGAGAACCATGCGCTTGGCCCGAACTATTAGACCGGCCTTGGAAAAAGATCGTTCACTACTGGCGCTGGAGGCCTGCAACACAACCAAAAATACTCAGTACTTCTCAGCCTGTGAACTTCATAAGGGCACTGTGGCATGTATGCACAGCCAGTTGTACTCAACCACTCACTGTGTTGCTAGTATTCGACGTGCAAGCCTGGCCACCAAGGGGAAGCTGGTATGATTCTCTCGCCACCAATCCCCTGCACTCCATTTCTTTTGATACTCACATGCTGGTGTCCATTTCAATTCAAACCACCTTTCGACTTCGGCCTCGATGGGGTCCATATGCTGTGGGGAGGATGGGGCCCGTCTTCTCCTCTTTGATCGTCGGAAACGTAGTGGTCCCTTAGGTGGGGGTGATGCCGCGTCAAGCCAGCTCTGCTGCACAGCCTGTGCTGCAGCCTCTTGGGATGATGAGCCCGAGGATTGGACTTCGGGCGCCTTCACCACGTGCCTCAACTGCAGAAGTCATATGCATGCTGTTATTCACACAAGCAAAAACTATCAACAGTTGGATGTAGACATTCACAAAGGCAAAGGCCACAAATCAGACCTCAACTCACCAATGCCGTCATCTCTTTCTTCAACATCGCTTGGAACTTTGCCAGGGTGTCATATTCTTCCACCACATTCGGCCAATCGTCAGCGTTGTTCCAGATCCTCCTCATCCAGTGCAATGTATTCCTCCTTCCGTCCACAGCCGCCGCTAATGCCCAGCAATATATTAGATTGACATTATCACAATCCGCACACAATTTCTGTGTGAACTCAAAGGCGAAGTCATGCAACACAGGTTTTGCGTGTGCATCGGTGTCACTGACATACAGCCGGTCGTAAAGCAACTTCAGTACATTATATAAGACATCCGATATGGTGATGTAGTCGTCCCCCTCACATCGCTCAGACAATTCCCGTATACACTCCAGGACTGGCAGCACTTGTTTGAAAATGCACCACCCAGATGCTGGTATAATGATCTTAGCAATTCTCGCGTTTGCTGTATACTCGCGGATGCTTCTCTCCAACAAAACCGCCCTCTTAATCAAAAAATACATGCTGTTCCACCTCGTCGGGCACCAAGTCCCCAGACGCAATATTCGCTTTGGACAAGCCTGCTCCATTTCATTGTCAGGAACCGTCAGATCTGCATCAGGATCATCGGGCAACACAGCAACATCATCATCTTCCCTTACACCCGAGTAATCCTCCTCCTCATCATCTGATGATACATTGCCGGCCCCTGCCTCCTTTAGCAGCTTCTTTTGCACGCGGCGGAAAACACTCCAAGCAGTGGGCGATTTGTGAAAATGAGTTGCCAATTCGCGAAGCGGCTGCATGAGCTGCTGAAACTCGTCAACATTTTGGAAAGCGGCCTTGACTGCGGTATTTAACAGATGGCAAATGCAGGGGTGCCAATCAAAAATATCCTTCTTCTCGGCTGCTGAAATCATATTGGAGGCGCAGTCCGTGGTGAGAGCCACACGATCGCATGGCGACTCGTCCTGAAACGCACGCACAGGGTCCGCTTCCATCTCCGACTCCGTCATGACTTGGTCACGCGGAACTACAGGGTGCAGGCCATACTTCAATCGGATCTTTAGCAAGACACGGCTTATCGCGTCTGCAGTGTGGCTCCCAGGGAAGCTGGTAGTCCCTGTCACCACCAACGTGTTGTGCTTTAAAAGACGGGGGTTACCTTTTGCACATGATATACGTCATACTACACTGGCCGATGGCAGGCCAGTACTGATGGCTATCGTGCCATGGCAACACAGCATCCACGATTCATGTTCAATCAGGCGTGATTCCCGGCCAGTGAAGGCCGGTACTAGCGCAGCGAGTGCACATGACACGGTTGGCAAAGCACACAGGAGTGGTCACTAATCACGGCATGCATGCAAACAGTAAAGAATTGATATTCATGACATGTCACACAGCATTGGCCGATGGCGGGCCAGTACTGATGGCTATCGTGCCATGGCAACACAGCATCCACGATTCATGTTCAATCAGGCGTGATTCCCGGCCAGTGAAGGCCGGTACTAGCGCAGCGAGTGCACATGACACGGTTGGCAAAGCACACAGAAGTGGTCACTAATCACGGCATGCATGCAAACAGTAAAGAATTGATATTCATGACATGTCACACAGCATTGGCCGATGGCGGGCCAGTACTGATGGCTATCGTGCCATGGCAACACAGCATCCACGATTCATGTTCAATCAGGCGTGATTCCCGGCCAGTGAAGGCCGGTACTAGCGCAGCGAGTGCACATGACACGGTTGGCAAAGCACACAGAAGTGGTCACTAATCACGGCATGTATGCAAACAGTAAAGAATTGACAACCACGAATATTGAAAATATCATAGGACACAGAATATGCCATCCAAACTCACCCAGTATGCGTTTCTTCATGCTCCAATCGGCATCCACCCAATGCAATGTCACTGTTATGAACGGGTGCGTGTTCCTGCTTGTCCAAATATCCGTTGTCATGGCAACTCTCGACTCGTCTCGGATTTGGGACACCTCTTCCCTTATTTCCCGCTTGATGTCATTGGCCTGTCTAGCCACCGACCTCACAATTGTTTGCTTACTAATAGATGGCCAACGGGGAATAAAGGCTCGCATTAAACGAACGAAGGGCGCCATCTGAGCCAGGTGGTATGGTGCATTAGCAAAACTGACGTACCGGGCAACGTGGGCCACCGCCCTGTTCCATTCTGAAGTCCTAGGGTGCCATGTCTCTAGGTAGGTTTCCAATGATGTACCCAATTTCATCTGCTGGTTGGCCGCAGGATTACTAAGTTTGTCTCGAAGTGCGTCAATACTGTAAACGCCATGTTTCTCTTTCAAATGGTTTAAGGGCCCCGTCCAACTGGCATTGTTCGTGTACTTCTTTCCCGGGTTGTATGACAACACTTTGTATTCCTTGGCAATGCCCCTCCC